AACTCGCTTGAGAGATTACGTTTCAGATTTGCTTTTTACTTGGGTACAACCCGTCATTAAAAGCATTTACAAAACCAATGACATAGACCTTAAAGATGTGCCTTCTCAGAACGTGGACCTGACTTGTGACTATGCTTATACCAGGCTTAAAAAAAACTGGGAAAAGGCCGTAGAGAAAGCAAAAGTGAAAAGAGACAAGAGATTGAAGAAGATATCAAACCCCACAGAGGAAGACAAGAAGTTAAAAGTGTCTTTACTTTATGTTTTAGCTTCTACCTATAGCTTGGATATAGTCAGTACGGTATGGATGGACACTTTGTCTCTTTTTGCTGAATTTACTCAACCATTCCTATTGCAGCAACTTATCATGTTCTTTGATGCCTACAATTCCTCATCGGAGGGCACTAATCATCCAATAGCAGGCTACACGATTGCAGTGGCTATGTTTTTTGTATCAGTTTTCAGATTTCTTACCTCAAATAGATACTTTATTGTGGGATTCAGAGCTGATAATTCAGTTGAAGCCTCATTGACTTCGATGGTGTACGAAAAAGGTATGAAACTCTCTCCAGAAGAGAGAAAAAATAAATCAACTGGAGATATAGTCAACAACTTAGCTGTTGATGTGAATTTGGTTTCTATGTTTCCGTTTCATTTTAATGATGTTTTTAGTTGTCCTATCAGATTAGTTTTAGCGTTGATGGCCTTGTATAAAATATTAGGAAATGCAACATTTGCTGGTGTCGCCACAACAATCATATCGGTACCGTTGACGATGACTGTAAGTTCAAAAATTTTTGCTTTATACAATTTGAACATGGAATATAAAGATGCAAGAACTAGATTAACATCTGATATCTTGAACTCAATAAAAAGTATCAAGCTTTATTCTTGGGAAGAACCCATGCTTGAACGATTAAGTGAAATCAGAAACGGTAAAGAGTTAATTACCAGTAAACAAATTGGTATATTCAATTCATTTATACTGTTCTTATGGGCGTGTGTTCCTTATTTGATATCTAGTGCCTGTCTCATAGCCTATATTACTTTGGGAGGAAATATTCTAACCCCATCGGTAGCCTTTCCGGCTTTGTCCTTATTCGACGTAGTGGCCTTGCCTATCCAGATTTTACCAGATGCTATTACTTCTTTGTTTGAAACGAAAGTCTCTTTGGATAGATTATCAGAATTTTTTTTAATGAATGAACTTTCAACTGATTATGTTGAAAGATCTAATGTTTCGGTGAAACTGAATGATACTTCCGTTATTGCTAAAAATGCAACATTTTTATGGTCTCCCAAGAAGCAAGTTTTTGGGCAAGACGAGGAATCTGATATACAATCAGAATCCAATAATGTTGCTTTAACAGACATTGACTTCACTGCGAAAAAAGGAGAATTAACGTGCATCGTTGGTAGAGTAGGAAGTGGGAAATCAACTCTTTTGAGGGCATTATTAGGAGAAGTTCCCTTAGTCAGATCAGAGGATACAATATTAAGAATTAATGGATCAGTTGCATATTGCTCTCAGGCACCATGGATCTTAAATGGATCTGTTAAGGAAAACATATTGTTCGGTTATAAATATGACAAAGAATTCTACCAGCGAACAGTAGAATCATGCCAGTTATCAAGTGATTTTGACATGCTTCCAGATAGAGACCAAACTATTGTTGGAGAAAAAGGAATTTCTTTGAGTGGTGGCCAGAAAGCGAGAATTGCTCTTGCTAGAGCAGTTTATGCAAGAGCAGACGTGTATCTTCTAGATGATGTCTTATCTGCAGTTGATGCTCATGTCGGAAAGAATATCACTGCTCAAGTATTAGGACCAAAAGGACTCTTAGCTAGCAAAACCATAATTTTGGCAACCAACTCAATTAATGTTTTGCATAACGCTAAAGAAATAGTCTTATTGAAAGCTGGGACAATAATAGAGCGTGGCTCATTTGATGAGGTTATGGCAAGGGATTCCGAATTGACAAATTTGTTAACAGAATTTTCAAGCGCTACAAAAAATATCAGTGAGCCGTCTATTGAGCCGTCAAATTCAGACGAAGAATCAGAAAACATAGATCAAGAACCTAAACCATATCTCCCAACTGAAGATGAAGATTTGGCACTAATTAGAGTTGCTACTCACCACACTTTAGGGGCATCCAGTGTTGCTTCCTTGGGTCACGAATACACAGAAGAAGAATTAGGAGACGATAGTATTGTAAAAAGAACAGGTCTTACTGTTGAACAAGAGACTAAAGGTAAAGTTAAATTGGGTGTCTATCTTGAGTTTTTCAAAGCATGTAACTATCGTTATGTGATTTTCTTCTTGATTTGTACTGCTGGTCAAATATCTGGTACAATTTTGTGTAGCTACGCTATTAAAAATTGGTCAGAGAAAAACGCCATAGCAGGAGAGAATGTGAACCCTGTTTTTTACTTGACGCTATACGTATGTATATGTGTCAGCAGTTCAGCGCTTGTTTTAATTGGCTCTGTTGTGGTATGGAGTTTCTGTGTAATTGGAAGCTCAACCTATTTTCATGATAAAATGGCAAGAAGTGTAATAAGGTCCCCTATGTCTTTTTTTGATACTACTCCCATTGGTAGAATTTTGAATAGGTTTTCCGAAGATATAAATGTGATTGATCAACAGTTGATATGGGTGCTTATGGCGTTTCTTGAATATTCTTTCCAAGCTATCGGTTTGCTTGCGGTGATAGCCTATAATCTCCCCATAATGCTCGTGGTCATTTTCATTCTTTTCTTTGTTTACAATAATGTCAGACTAGAATTCATACCAGCTTCGAGAGAATTAAAGAGACTAAGCAGTGCTAGACGTAGTCCTATATTTTCTCATCTACAGGAATCCGTCAACGGTGTTGAAGTTATTAGAGCATTTGGACAAGAGGAAAGGTTCATGTTCAAAAACACGTATAATATTGAAATGAGAATTAAAGTTCTTCATACAAACTTCTGTTGCGGAAGGTGGCTTTCTATCAGGCTTCAGACAATCTCCTCCATTATAGTCTTTTCAACTGCATTATTAAGTTTGGCTTCCTTAGGAACGAAGCGTGAAATAGGCAGTGCCATGTTAGGGTTTGTTATGCTTCAGTCGCTTAGTATTACAGGTATGTTAGCTTATATAACCCGTTGTTGGGCAGACATTGAAACAAAATCAATCTCTGTGGAAAGAATCGTCGAATATTGCAACTTGAAGCCGGAAGCTAAGCTCGTTATCGAGGATTCACGTCCTAAAGATTCTTGGCCAGAGGCAGGAGCCTTGGAGTTCAAAAATTATTCTACAAGATATAGAGAAAACTTAGACCCAGTATTGAAGAACATTTCATTAGAAATCAAATCAAAAGAGAAAATTGGAGTAGTTGGTCGTACTGGGGCTGGAAAAAGCTCCTTGACACTCGCCATATTTCGACTCATTGAACCAATTGAAGGTCATATTGAGATTGATCACGTCAATACTAGTGTCTTGGGTCTTTTTGACTTGAGACGACATTTAAACATCATTCCACAGGACTCACATACAGTCGAAGGTACAATACGAGAGAACCTAGATCCCTTCAAGAAGCACACCGATGAGCAATTATGGAGAGTTTTGGAGTTAGCCCATCTCAAGGATCATATTGAGCAGATGAAAACAGAAAAGAAGACTACTAAGGAAGACGCAAAAGAGCCCCAGAAGTTGAATGAAGAAAGCGAAGCCGAAGATAAGTTTGATACAGGATTAAACGCAAAAGTTTTCGATAACGGTTCTAACTTATCGAGTGGCCAGAAACAGTTATTATCACTTGCTAGAGCTCTTCTCAACCCTTCAAAAGTTTTAATTCTAGATGAAGCTACTGCTGCTGTCGATGTCCAAACGGATAAGATTGTACAAGCTGCAATTAGGTCACAATTTGAAGACAAGACTATCCTTACGATTGCTCATCGTATTGATACCATTATGGATAGCGACAGAATACTTGTCTTGGATAAAGGTACGGTGAAACAATTTGACTCGCCTGTGAATTTGTTAAAGGACGAGGACGGCATCTTTTACTCTTTATGCAAAGAAGGTGGGTACCTTGGTTTATTTGAGCAAAATAAATCTGAACTCCCGAAGTGATTTATAAAATTAAGTATAAACAATACAGGAACTTATATTTTTAAAAAATTATGTACATCTTTTATAGCATCACTAAGTGTAAGAATGCATAATTTGCTCTATAGTAGTAATAGCAGGGACTCTCTTAAATGTCGTTAGCTCGACACAATCGCGACATTTTACTAGAAGGCAACTTACGAGGAGATTCTGTATTGAGGTAGTTAACTAAAAGATAAGATAGGCGTAACAAGATGAAAACACATCTCCTTTCGGTTCCAACGAAGAAAACTGAAGAGGTTGACTGGATAAAACCTTTGGGTAATTATTTGGCTTCTATTTATGGGAAGAACTCTGATTACCTGCAAGACATACTAAACTTTAATCAATTAAGACAAGATATAAGAGATGTTAATGCAGATGCCACTGGAGTAAAGTTATATTACAAATACTATAGTCAGCTAGAACTAATTGACTTGAGAATACCTTTCAGTTCAATTAATAAGCTGAAAAAGATTAATTTTACATGGTACGATGCTTTTCTGCCATCGATAGTACATAAGCAAGCATCTTTGCCCTTTGAGAAAGCAAATGTCCTCTTTAATTTGGGTGCAATGCTCTCCAGGTGTGCTTTGAGAACTTATGGAGATTCTTTGAGAAACTCTTCTAATGAATCCTCAGAGAATTTAACAAAGGAAACACTCGTACATCTTCAACTGGCCGCTGGAATTTACGATTTCTTGAATGAAAACTTCTTGCATGCTCCCTCTAATGACTTATCAAAGCAAACAATCCAGTTTTTAAAGAAGTTGATGCTCGCACAGAGTCAAGAGATTTTTGTTTTGAAAGTAATCAGCGGTGATGTAGAACAGACAAAAAATTCATTAATAGCAAAATTATGCCTAAGCACATCAGTACACTTTGAGGAGTGCTTCAAAATGATTCATCATTTACTTAATGGAACTCATGAGCCCGAATTCGCTATCATTGACACAGCTGAAGAAGATTTTATAGAAACACCAGACCGAGAGACCGAAGAAGAAAATGAGGTTTCAGCAAACATAGACCCTTTATGGATAGCAATCACCAACTTTAAATTTCATTTTTACCAGTCATTGGCAAGTTATTTCAATGGCTTAGCTTTGGAAAGTTCCAAGAAATATGGAGAGGCAATCGCTTATCTTTCTAAATCTTTAGATATTCTTAATGATATTTCAAATTCCAATTTAAAGGCACTAGCAAAGGCAGAGAGCGGAGACGTATACGAACTTTTAGACAATTTCAAATATCAAAAGGATGCTGTCAACATAAAGTTAACTGATTTGAACAAAGACAATGATTTTATATACCATGACATAATTCCTTCCATTAACACATTACCTGAAATTAAACCGATGGATAGTGCTAAGGTCATTGCCCTCACAAAGAATTCCAAATTCAATGAGATAAATGAGTATAATTACGAGAATTTTTTGCATAATGTTGTTCCAATTACCATTTATGAATTGTTAAGCTACTATTCTGAAGAAAAGTCCCAATTTTTAAGAAATGAATTAGATTTGGTTGACGTTTCGAATGAAGAGATGGCGTCTGCCTTGGAATACATGAAAATGCCAAAATCAGTTGTTCACGTAAAAGAAATTCTCACAAGTAATAAGGCTATCGAAAAGGGAAGCCTTGACATAGATGGTGAAATTTTTAATATTGCTAGGATTATTTCATCTCAGTTTGATAATGACTCCTCAAATATGCAAAAGATTATTCAAAGACGAAAACAAATATATTCCATAATATCTGAGTGCGAATCTGTTTTATCACAGCAAATATCCCACTCATCAATGGGTCTCAAAGATAGCCTAATTAAATTGAAGAAATCGTTGTATGATGCAAGTAATTCAGATTCTAAAATATTAGGATTGATCAATGGCGACAATGCTCAATTGTATAAAACACTTGGTAAGGGACCAAACTCTTCAGATTTCAAGACACTATTTGAGCCTCTGAACAGTAGACAAGACTTTTCCCGCGCTGAAGAGCCAAGTCTCTTAGATATGGATTTTACACAAACTGAAACCAAACCAGAGGAATATATCCAGTCCATTGAAAATTGCTTACACGATTTGCATACCATAAAGACGAGCAAATCCAAATTAGTTGAAAGTTTAAAAAAGGAAATCCATAATGATGATATATCAGATATCTTAATATTGAACAGCAAAACCAAATCAACTAATGAAATTAAGACTGTAATCTTTGCTGAAGAAATGAAAAAGTTTGAGCCTTATAACCAGGAATTAGATAAGTTGATAGCAGACCAAAAACGAACTATTAAAGTCTTGACTGAGGAATGGGAAAAATTGACCTCTGATCCAAAGGTGAAAAAGATACAGTCTTCGAGTGAGTTTAAGCGAACACTTATTAGCGACCAGAGCGAGCGAATCACCGATTTCTACAACAACGTTTGGAAAGCGTATAGTGAAGGATTAAAGAGAGGAGATGAATTCTATAATCAATTATTAAATTATGCTGAAAGATTAAAAAACAAAATAAATATTGATACTCAAGGGCCGCCTGTACGAAGGGATAGTTCCTTGAGTGATAGCTTTGACGGCCTTGATCTAAATCCTCATCGAGAAAAATCATTTGGAGTTTCGGCTTCCCCAAAATTTTATTCCAGCGCCAGACCATCTGTTTCTTCTTCGCAGGACTTTGGTACAGGTTCATTGGCTAGGAGCGATACAGGGTTATCTAATGTGTCTAACTTCAGTGGCTACAGTAGACCGGCTCCTCTGCTTCCAAATCGGCCCCAGTCCCAAGTCCCTCCTCAGCTTCCTCCCAAAGGAATACAACAAGGCTCAGCGATGAAGGGCATAGACAACCAAGGTGATAGATTACCACAGCCTCCCTGGAGACCGTCGGAAAGCGCACAAGAGGATGAATTGATCTATAATCAACCTTCTACTTATCAGCCGAACATGTATAATTTCTTTTCTAAGACACAGTAGTCTTATAGTTAGTTTATCTGCGCGAAAACGTTTGTCGTATATACAATAGAAGGCTATTAAAACCCACTAACGAAGATTGCGAGCAGTATGTGATTGGTGGGTAATAGTTATTAAATGCGTCTTTAGCTGTCAGATCTGTGTAAATCTATTGTTAGAAATTACACGTCTAATTTTTCCTAAATAGGAAATTCATCAATAATCTCTGACAGAAAATGGAATACGGCCCGCATCGAAATCTAATTCTCTTCCAATACACCTAAGAAAAATTTTTTATACAAGCCTTAAGAAGCAATAAGGAAGGAATAATATATACTCAAGTATCTATAAAATAGCTCCAAATTTCAAAAAGGTTCTTTAATCGATCACTCGTTTCACTTATCGGGAAACCTTTAAATCATTTGCGTATATTTTACAAGACTCTAACGTTTCAGAAGGCTATATCTTAAAAATGATCGGGGCAAGGGGTAGATGGGTATATGTTTTGACAGCTTTATCCTGGTTTATTACTTTCATAAATGCTACCACTACCTGTAATTCAACTCACAGTTGTCCTGAATCATCACCTTGTTGTAATGCTTATGGTGAATGTGGTACAGGAGTATATTGCTTGGGAGGATGTGATGTAAGATATTCATATAATTTAACGGCATGTATGCCTATGCCTAGAATGTCAGATTTTGAAGTCACATTTGATAAGAAAAGTATACTCTCGAAACAAAGTGACTACTTAGGTAATTATTCTGAAACAGATTGGCTCTATTCTGGATACACTAGTATTCATGACGACGCCCTTTTACTTCAAATGCCAAATCAAAGTAGTGGTACCGTGATTTCATCAACCAAGTATTTGTGGTATGGAAAAGTATCGGCTCAATTGAAGACATCTCACGATAAGGGTGTTGTTACTGCATTTATTTTATTTTCGGACGTTCAAGATGAAATTGATTTTGAATTTGTCGGTTTTAACTTGACTTATCCACAGAGCAACTATTACGCGTTAGGTATTTTAGATTACGATAATGCCAAAGCATCTAAGTCATCGAACACTTTCAAAAATTATCACGAATACACAGTCGACTGGCAAGAAGACAAGATAGATTGGTACGTGGACGATAGCAAGGTCAGAACTTTAAATAAAAGCGACACTTGGAACAAGACCACTAAAAGATACGACTTTCCTCAAACTCCTTCTAGAATACAAGTTTCTTTATGGCCCGGTGGTGATTCATCAAATGGACTTGGAACCATTGAATGGGCGGGTGGTAAAATTGATTGGGATTCCAGTGATATAAAAAAGTATGGATATTACTATGCATATCTCAAAAACATAACAGTGGAACAGTACGATTTGCCAGATGGTGTCAAGTTAGAAGGTGCCGACGACGAATCGGATTTGCATGCTTATCTTTATAACTCTACTAAAGCTGGGCAAAATAAAATTGTACTTACATCTAAAAAGACCTGGTTAGGCTCAGAAGATGCGACCGGAATAGATCCCGATAACTCAGATGATGAAAGTGATAGTACTAAATCGAGTTCATCTCTGAAATCAAACAAAAGCTCAAGCACAAACACTAGCAAGACTACAACAGGCACTTCTGGAAAGACTGAAGCCGCAAAGACAACTGCGACTACCTATAATACTAATGGAGCTATTGGTGGATTCGTTCAAAATACTGGGGATTCTGCTGCAAGTAGTACTAGTGATAGCAGCAAAAGTGGGAGTAGTAGTAGTGGTGGTGACTCTCAGTTTGCATCAAGCAGCAAATTACAAAAAATTTTATTGGCTGCCACTGCATTAGCGATTGGAACATCAGCATTCATGTTTTAATTATATTAGCTAATAGTTTATCTAATTCTTTGACTTCTAGTCAGCACCTAATATATGCTGAAATGACATTTAATGTTTATAGTGTAGAATGTCTAAATTGGCTTCTTAATTGGTAAAGTAAGCGATACACGATTCTTTTCACGTGATGACGCTAGCGTGTCCAAAAAATTCATCCAGTCTTGACCACCGAATCGATTTCAAAATACACTGATCTCTCGTGTCTACAACACAATTGAATAGTAGCCTCGATAGATTGATAGCAAAGAGGTGTTGGTATAAACATTCTCGAAATAGATAGATATATTGAGACTATTTATCTGTCATAATGAAGATGCTAACAAAATTTGAGTCGAAGTCGTCGAGAGCCAAAGGAGTGGCATTTCATCCGAGGCGTCCTTGGGTCTTGGTGTCGCTTAGCTCCTCGACGATTCAGCTTTGGGACTATAGAATGGGTACATTAATTGATAGGTTCGAGGATCATGATGGTCCTGTTAGATGTGTTGACTTTCATCCTACACAACCATTGTTCGTCTCAGGATGTGACGATTGTTCAATAAAAGTTTGGTCTTTAAATACTAGAAAGTGCATCTTTACGTTGAATGGGCACTTAGATTATATTCGTACCGTTTTTTTTCACCGTGATTTACCGTGGATAATTTCCGCTTCTGATGATCAAACAATTAGAATTTGGAACTGGCAAAACCGTCAAGAGATTGCATGCCTCACTGGACATAATCATTATGTTATGTCGGCAATGTTTCATCCTACGGAAGACTTGATAGTTTCTGCTTCTCTTGATCAAACTGTAAGAGTTTGGGATATTTCAGGATTGAGGAAAAAACATTCGGCCCCAACAACTAGGTCGTTTGAAGACCAGCTACAAAGACAACAATTACCTCAGCAAGATATTTTTGGCAATGTAAATGCAATAGTGAAATACGTTTTGGAAGGTCATGATAAAGGAGTCAACTGGGCTGCCTTTCACCCAACCTTGCCATTAATTGTGTCTTCAGGTGATGATAGGTTAGTTAAACTATGGAGAATGAGCGACACTAAAGCCTGGGAAGTAGATACCTGCAGAGGACATACTGGTAATGTTTTATGCGCCATTTTCCATCCACACCAGGATTTGATACTTTCTGTTTCAGATGATAAAACAATAAGAGTATGGGATTTGAATAAGCGAACCCCTGTGAAGCAATTCAGACGTGAACATGACAGGTTTTGGCTCATTTGTTCACATCCACATATCAACTTGTTTGCAACATGTCACGATTCTGGAGTAATGGTCTTTAAGTTGGAAAGAGAAAGACCTGCCCATACCATTTTTCAGAATAAGTTATTTTATGTCAATGCTGAAAAACAAGTCCAAAGTTATGATTTTCAAACTAATGAAGAGTCATTGCCAATGTTGTCGTTGAAAAAAATTGGGAAGACATGGTCTTTTATGAGAACATTATCGTATAATCAATCTGACAACTCTATTTTGGTCACTCATGGTGAAAACGATAACAGCATGTACGCATTGATTACTTTACCAAAGCATATCACAGGAGCCATCGAACCGACTGATGTAAGACAAGGTGAGGGGTTCTTTGCTTGCTTCATTTCCCGTAACAGGTTTGTCACATTTATTAAATCTTCGAAAACTTTGCACGTTAAGGATTTGAATAATAATGCGACAAAATCCATACAATTAGATTCTTCGGTTATCAATGTCTTGTATGGAGGACCTGGACGTGTTCTTTTGGTGAAGAGCCATTCAGTCATTAACTATGACGTCCAACAAAGAAAAGAGTTATCAGAAATTAATGTTAACAACGTTAAATATGTTTCTTGGTCAAATGATGGTAAATATTTGGCGTTGCTTTCCAAGCATACGATCACGATTGCAAATAAGGATTTGGAATTAATAACGTCAATGCATGAAACTATCCGAATTAAGAGTGCTGCGTGGGATGATACTGGAGTTTTATTGTATTCCACTTTGAATCACATTAAGTATACCTTATTAAATGGTGATAATGGAATCATCAAAACTTTGGAGAATACTCTTTACATCACCAAGGTTTCTCAAAAACATGTGTATTGTTTGGATCGTGAAGGCAAGGTCGAGGTAGTCGGCATTGATCCGACAGAATATAGATTTAAAAAATCGTTGGTGAATAAGAACTTTAACGAAGTCTTAAGAATAATTAAAAATTCAAATTTAGTCGGACAAAACATTATTGCTTATTTACAGAAGAAAGGATACCCGGAGGTTGCCTTGCAATTTGTTCAAGATCCAGAAACTAGATTCGAATTGGCCTTGGAATGTGGAAACCTACAAGTCGCTTTGGAGCAGGCTAAAGTACTTAATAACCATAGTATCTGGTCTAAACTTGGAGAGGGTGCTTTAAACCAAGGTAATCTTGATATTGTGGAGTTTGTGTACCAGCAGTTGCACTTGTTCGATAAGTTATCATTCCTTTATTTATACAAAGGCGATAAGGATAGGTTGTCAAAAATGGCTACTATTGCAGAGAATCGTGGCGATTTCTCTTCATTGATTCAAAATACTCTTTATAGTAATGATGTGGAAAAGAGATGTCAAACTTTTCTTCAATCTGGTATGTTTCCCTTAGCATACACTCTCGCAAAATCCAATGGTATGAGTGATCTTGCTGCTAAGATTTTAGGGGAAGCAGGAATAGACGAGGCTGAAGTTGAATTGCCCGAAATTGGTAGTCCTCTTAGCGTGCCCATCCCATCCTCAAATCTAGTTGCGAACTGGCCCTTAAAAGATTCTTCATTGTCATTCTTTGAAAAGGCAATGATATCAGGTCCATCAGAATCTATTCCGACAGAAGAGGTGAATGATATCGAACACACTGAAGATTCGGCTTCTCAATTAGCTTTCAACGAGAATGAAGTTTTAGTAGAAGATGTGGATGATGATGAAGAAGAAGACGGAGCATGGGATATGGAAGATGAATTAGATATAGGCGATGAAGATGCTGACGATCTTGTTGATATTGAGTCACCAACGCTCGTTCAAGCTGACGGTGAAATTAACCACTGGTTGCGTAATGCTAAGACACCAGCAGGGTATGTCGCAGCTGGCGCCTTCGAGCAAGCAGCTTCTTTATTGAATAAGCAGCTAGGAGTTATAAATTTTGAACCTTTGCGGGCTCGCTTTATGGAAGTTTATCAGTCCTCGAAATTATATCTTCCAGGTATCGTAGGACTTCCGGCTATGAAGGATTTTATACGAGCCGACAATGATGAAGATGATCCAAATAAATTCAAGCCATACATTCCCGGATTTGAGTCCTTAGAGGATACTTTGTCCATCGGATTCAGGCAATTTAAAGCCAATAACTTGGAAGCGGCCATTGAAACGTTCAGATCTATTATATATACTATAACAGTCCTCACTGTTGAAGATGAAGACCAGGTGGACAAATGTGAGGAGACTCTATCGCTTTGTCGTGAATATATCTTGGGATTGTCCATAGAATTGGCAAGAAGAGCATTAAATCCTTCTCAAGTGAAACGAAATTTAGAGCTTGCAGCATATTTCACTAGAACACATCTCCAAAATCCTCATAAGGTGAACGCTTTACAAGTTGCTATGACACAGTCTTTCAAATGTAAAAACTATGCTAGCGCTGCATATTTCGCCGGTGAACTTTTAAAGATTGTGGCTGCTGGAACTAGATCTGCAGAACAAGCTCAAAAGTTAAAAGCAAAAGCAGATTCTGTATCCAGTGATGCTGTGGAAATCGATTTTGATCCTTTTGCGGAGTTCGACATTTGTGCTTCTACTTACACTCCGATTTATGAAGGCTCCCCCTATGTATCTGAAAAACTCGTTGGTGCCAAATATTTACCAGAAGAAAAGGGTAAGCTATGTAAAATTACTGGTATAACTCAGATTGGTGCCCCTGCTTCTGGATTACGTATTAAGGATTAAGTTTTTATAGGCGTTCAACACGATTGAAACATTATTAGTGTCTTCCGAGGGCCTCTTTTTTTATAGTAGAATATAGTTTGAGTTAATGCAAAAATTTTGTTCGGTAGAAATCACGTGCTAAGTCTATTTTAACCTCATTTTGATTCAGATGAAAAAACAAGAGATAGACGAGAGTTCATCTTCACTCTTGTTCAAGCAATGACAGAGAACAAGGAAGCTGCTATTGAGCTAAAAGATGAAGGAAACAAGAACTTGAAAGAACATAAATATGAGGAAGCTATCGAATGCTACACGAAGGCAATAAACTTGGATCCTAAAAATGCAGTGTTTTATTCGAACAGAGCACAAGTGCATATCAAGCTCGAGAATTATGGTTTGGCAATTGTTGATTGTGACAAGGCATTAGAAGTCGATCCTAATATGATGAAGGCTTATTATCGAAAAGGAGTGTCTGAAATGGCTATCCTAAAGCACAAGGAGGCACTAGCAAACTTCAAAATTATCTTAAGGACGCTCCCCAATGATAAGCTAACATTAGAAAACTACAAACAATGTTCAACTTATCTCAAAAGACAAGCCTTCGAAAAAGCTATAGCAGGTGACGAAAAAGTTTCTATTTTGGATAGCTATGACTATGAAGGAATGTTGATTGAGAAGTCATGGAAGGGACCGTCTTTGGATATAAGCACAATGAAGAGAGATTCTAAGGTGTATGTTGACATAAAAGGATTAAATCTAGAGTATCTCAAGTATATGATAGGATTATTTAAAGAGGGTGGAAAGCTCCCTAAGAAGCATGTATTTGCAATTATTTCGAAAGTTAATGAGCTCTTACGACAAGAGAAAACAATGGTCGAATTATTATTACCACATTCATCTTTAGATGTAGATAAGAATACTGATGAAATCTTTTTGAAAAACGGAAAGAAAATGACTATTGTCGGTGATACGCATGGTCAATTTTATGATGTGTTAAATCTATTCCAGAAGTTTGGGTTTGTTTCCGAGGAGCATATATTTTTATTCAATGGAGATTTTGTTGACAGGGGCTCCTGGTCTTGTGAGGTAGCCTTGTATCTTTACGTATTGAAAATATTGTACCCAAGTTCTGTTTATCTTAATAGAGGTAATCATGAAACCAATGACATGAATAAGACTTACGGTTTTGCTGACGAATGTGAGCAAAAATACTCGAAGAAAATATTCGAAGCTTTCTCAGAATCATTTGGCGCATTACCTCTTGCAACATTAATCAACAGGTCATATTTATGTATGCATGGTGGTTTATTTTCTAATGATAATGTTACTTTGAAAGATATTAAAGAGATTAATAGGTTTCCAAGCTCTGGTTCGACTCAACCTCCAAGAGATGGTGTCGCAATGGAGTTATTGTGGACAGATCCGCAAACAGAAAATGGGCGTTCTCCATCAAAGAGAGGTATAGGTATGCAGTTTGGACCTGATGTCACTGAAAGGTTTTGCTTGAGCAATAAAGTCAGAAAGATATTGAGATCACATGAAGTTAGAATGGAGGGTGTTGAACCAGAGCATAATGGTCGGTTGATAACTGTTTTCAGTGCGCCCAACTATTGCGATTCTACTGGCAATTTGGGAGGTGTTGTTCATGTAACTGAAAACTCGAAATATGTGAAGGAAAAGGACGACGGAGAAGGGTATAGGAACCCCGATGATCCCAACTGTCCTTGGAATTTGGACATAGAAACATTTGAGGCCGTAGCGCATCCAGATTTAAAACCAATGGCATATTCCAAAGGTGGTTTTGGCTTCTAAGCATTAATGTACGGATTATTTAGAATATTTCTGAATGGTAGTTTGAGAGTACAGCAATATACAGAACTTTTTAGTATGTACATGTAAGGATATCTAGTGAAAAATATAAAAACTTAAAGAACATCATGCAACCCGCTATTCAAAATATCAGTCAAGATGATGACGACGATGAGCCCGATGAGTGGGACAAAAGAATAATGAAGACTGGATGTCACGAAGAGAATTTGAAGTTGCAGTTATGCCATGCTGATACCGGTGATTGGAGACAGTGTTCAAAAGAGTTACAGGCGTTCAAAAAATGCTGGGACGAGAATAAGAATAACGCAAGAACGATGACCGTTGATAATAATGAAACTTGAATACAAAATTATGTAAATAGAGCGATTCTACAGATTTATTGCTGCATTTGTATATATGAAACTCTTAAAAATCCAATTCAATAGAAGCCCGGCTGGTTTCAGAAGAATTGAAAAATACTCTGGTAAGTCAAAATGTATGTCTATGAACTCTACTCGAAAGCTCTTCTCCCCTGAAAAAGAGACTGTAAGGTCGATAATTGTTCGAAGAAAAAATTAGGTTTAACTTTTGCTAGCGTGATTCAGAGTGTCGTCCCTCATGTAGAAAGTAGTAGTTATTCATTAAGGATAGGGAATGAATACATTGCTTTAGACCAGACCTTCGCCCCTATCACCAACGTTTTGGCTGGTTTTAATCTTCTTTATGAAGAGTCCGACTAATTGATATATCCAATACTCGCTTTCTTGTCTCAAAAGCGTAAAATAAAACATATAAATATAAATACACGTCAAAATCACTTTTTTAAACATAAGCCAAACTACTAATACACTCATGACATGGAGCATCGCTATACTTATGAGGATAATGCGAGGCGACATAGCTCAGGGAAGAGGATTGGAAGCCTTACCAAGAAAGTACACGAGAGCCTGATATCAATTGAAACATCAGATGAGGAGAACAGTGATAACCTTAAAAATGAATTATATCCTATAATTCATGATCAAGAGAGTATTTATGATAATGATAATAGATTTCAAAGGGAATTGGATAAAATAAAATCTAAAAGTAGCGAAAGATTCATGAAGAAGTGGGAAAGTATTTTAAATAAATATTCCAGTATTAATGATGAGAAAGACAGCGATGAAATAGATCTATCTACCGGCAAAATAGTTAAGGATAACGGCCATTTAAGATCTTTGAAAAATGAAGCTTCGCTTTTAAGTGAGGTTGCGATAGACAGCAACATATGGTCTGTTACTTATGATGTGGACAGAGAGTCGGCAGCCAGAAGGAAGAGAGAAAGTAGAAATAGACAAAGGAAAAGAGAGCTTAAGTCTAAACTAAAACAAGACGATCTATTTCATAACAATGGGCTGATCTCAGAAATTGCAACATCATTTCAAAGTACGGAGTGTGAGGGACACCAAAGTGATTCTCTTGCTGATAATTTACTTTTATTAACACCATCACCAGCCAAGAGATCCAGGGTATCCCCTTCAAAGTACTCCAGCCCTCTTAAAGATAGACGATCTGAAACGCCAAGTAGGGTACTTCTGAGGGAAGACGCGTCTTCCCCTATTAAACGAAAACTGGAGGATCTGATCTCGCAAACGTGTCCCAATTTTTTAACATCTTACAACCAATATCTAGATGACCAAGTAGAAGATTTAAAAGACGGCTTTTATGAAGACAAGAAAACAAATCTGGAAGGCTTCTTCAGGAAGAATGAAAATTGGCCAAGTTCTAGAAGAAATCAAAGTCAAGATGCATCTTACCAAGGTTCAATTATCGCGCGTGATTTAGAAAAGTCTGATGACACTGAGGCTCTTGATTATAGAGATCAAGACTCCATGAGTGATACTGAAGATTCAGGTAATGAGAGCAACGATTTCAGCGATCAATTCCTGATTGTGTCCGATGTATACCATGAGCATATTCCAAGTACTGGCGGCATGTCTATCTTCGAATGTGCATTTGATGATTGTTATTATAGTACTGGAAATAAGTCTTTATACAGAAAACATTTGATCGAAAGCCACAGGGAGATATTATCAAAAATTGGGTATCCAACCGCTACTCCTGATGGAACTCAAAAGTGTGAGTCAGTTCTGTCTTCAGCTGTTACCAAGCTAACTCAGATATTTCCTTTGCATCATGATATACCAGAACTACCAAAATCGGCAGATTGTCAACCTCTAATATGTCAATTGGGAATAAATGGAAAACCATGTAAAAAGGTTTTTCTCAATGAAGAAAGTTTATTTGAGCATCAAAAAGAGTACCCATTGCGATGCTCCTGCAAAGATCAGGTGTTTGTATGTCCGGTACTAGGTTGTGGTTTTATGACTGATGAAGGGTACTTAGAATGGAGGATGCATTTTATTAAAGAAGGACGTCACAACGAGTCAATGGCTCCCTTGGTTTCTAATCTTTCTGAGCTAAGTGAATTATTTTCTGACTCTGGTAAGTCAGATTCAGAATTTTCTGAAATTAATGTACAATCTGCTCTTACTCAGATTCATAGAGGTTCGAATTTATGCAATACATCTTCAGAGGAATATACATCAGTGCAAAATTTCGAAAGTGATAAGAATGAGAAGAATTGCGAAAGAAGAAAATCAGATAACACATATGATTCAAAAAATGACGTTCTAACTAATATCGGAGAAGATAAACATATTGAATCGATCAGTCATGATGCCCTAGTAAAGGCGCCAAGGCACTTGTCTGTCAGTATACCCAAGTTTTTAGATGCAGCGGTTGATATACCTCCAATGATCACTTTAGATGAAGACAAAGATTACGACTCTTTAGATGAATTGTTCGATTCTTGCGACTAAAGTTTCATTTATCCTCGAAATTGACGGACATTTCTATGTACAATACTTATGACTAAATAAAAAGTAAGAATAAATCTTATCTAGCGTTTCGAATCCGTTTTATGATGTACCCTTGAAAGCATCTCTTCCCTCTATATATTTGTCAAAAGCATCATTTCTATCTGGGAAAGGTCTAGGGCCAACTAACCTTATCATATCTTCTCTCGTCAAGACTTCCTTCTTAAACAAATCTTCGGCAACCCTGTCAACCATATCTAGCTTACCAGCCAATAATTTTTGGCAAGCTTCGTAGGCTTCGTCGATAAATCTCTTTACTTCGACATCTATCAATCGAGAAGTCGTCTCCGAATAATTATTGTGGACCTTAAAACCATTATTTTGATCACCATTGTCGAAATAGATACTTCCAACCTTTTCGGACATCCCTAATTTCAAAACCATCAGTTGTGCCATCTCCGTCACTTTTTTAAAGTCATCAGAAGCACCACTTGTAACGGTATCGAAGTGTAACTCTTCACTAACTCTACCTCCTAAAGCCATGATCATTCTATGCCTGTACTGTTCCTTCGAAACCAAGTATTGGTCCTTAGGTAAATATTGAGCATAGCCTAAAGCACCTTGTCCTCTGGGTATTATAGAAACCTTGAGTAGAGGATCGGCGAACTCTAAAAACCAGCCACAAATTGCATGACCAGCCTCGTGATATGCAACTGTTTTCTTTTCGTCTAAACTCAAAATACGAGATTTCTTTTCTAATCCTGCGACAACACGTTCTATAGCTTGTTCAAAGTGATGTGTATCAACAGCCAGCGCATCTTCTCTAGCCGCACATAAGGCTCCTTCATTACAACAATTTGCAATGTCGGCACCAGCAAAGCCAGGTGTTAATGCTCCTAAACGACCAGCCAATTTGTCTATTGCTTCCGCCTTTAACTTCTGATATTGATTGAAGTCAATATCATGATGCGATGCTCTTATATCTTCATCACACTTTAAAGTTAATTTTGATAAGTGAACCTTAAAGATAGCTTTACGACCTTCGACATCTGGAACATCTATCGAGATATGCCTGTCAAATCTCCCTGGTCTTAATAACGCCTTATCCAAGATATCGGGCCTATTTGTTCCAGCTAAAACAACAACATGATCTGTTGTATCGAAACCATCCATTTCAACCAACAATTGATTAAGCGTATTTTCTCTCTCATCATTGCCACCCATTTTCCCATTTCCCCTCTCTTTTCCAATAGCATCTATTTCGTCAACAAAAATAATAGAAGGTGCCATTTCTCTAGCTGTTTTGAACAAATCTCTCACTCTTGAAGCGCCGACACCGACAAACATTTCAACGAATTCAGAACCAGAGACAGACAAAAAGGGAACACCAGCTTCACCAGCTGTTGCCTTAGCTAAAAGAGTCTTACCTGTACCAGGCGGACCAGACAATATAGCCCCTCTGGGGATTTTTGCTCCAAGTTTCTCGTATTTGCCTGGATCTTGTAAGAATTTGACAAATTCCATAATTTCTTCTTTGGACTCTTCGCAACCCGCAACGTCCTTAAACTTAATCTTCACATCAGTTTCTTGGTTGAATAATTTGGCTTTGGATTTCCCGATTTTGAATATACCCCCTGGTCCTCCAGCACCTGCTCCTCCTTGAGCTGAGGCACGTCTCATCGTCATATACCATAAACCACCAATCAAAAGAACAGTTGGCAAGATTGGCAAAAGGTAATTCATCCAAGATCCACGCTCTTCATAGCTAATAGGTAATCTTTCTTCGACCGGAATTCCCAACCTGTCTTGAATCTGGTTCATTTCTTCCTCAAACACTTCAACTGATCCTATAGTAAACACAACCGCTGGTGATCCATCGTAAGATTGAAATGTTTGATCAGACACAGCACCTGCTATAAGTTCTGCTTCTACAGCAAACTTATTTATAACCGTCAACTTTGTTACCAATCCTCTTTCTAGATAATTCGTTTTGAAGTCTTGGAATGATAATTGATTGTTCTCACTTTTGCTCAACGATAAATAAAACGCTAAAAACGTGGAAAAAAAGAAAAGGGCAGTGAATGCGCCTGCAAGGGTCTTGCCGTCAAGCCGATATATTTTGATATCCTTATAATTCAAATTAGGATCTTTCTTATGTAATCTTTCTTTAACCTCTTCTCTCAATTTCTCTTCGTCTGTCTTTTCTTTATCATCTTTTTTCTTAGTCTTCGAGCCATCTTCATCTTTATCATCTTTTGCTTCCTTATTATTCCTCTCATCTTTGAGACTCACCAAGGACTGCCTAAAATTCAATCTTCCAACAGTTGAAAATGATGAAACAAGTTTCGGAGCAATAGGATTCATTCTCATGGGATACCTCAAAGATCCCGCTCGAAGCGAAGACCGTAAAAAATTTCCTCTGAATAGAATAACTGGTCTGAGGGATAACATTATTCTATCATCAGTAAATCAACTCAACTCGACACTGGAGAACCTTTCGTAACTAATATTCACGATTCTTAAAATCAGCAGTTTTGATTTTCGCCTTCAATACTTTAGTTTGTTCCACAAAATAAGCTGTAACGATTTTGTGTAATTAAAAAACTTGCAAGCTACAATACTACGTGGTTAGATATTAATACATAATGAGGCCTAGACATTTATATAAAAAATAGTACTAAAAGGTAAATGTAGCTTCAAAATCAACTATCAAATCTATTGGATACAAATTCATCCCAACTCGTCTCACAAATTTTCAAGAACTTTTCCTTTTCTTTAGAGAGCCAGTCTCCCTTGGATGATTGCTGAGAGGAAGTCGAGGACGACGACGGAGATGCTGAAAGTCCTTTTTTCGAACAGCCCGGGCTTGAATGAGGCTGCTTGAAAATTTTGAAATTAAAAATACTGTCATTCATTAAGTTAATTGATCCAAAAATCTCTTCTTCCATTAGTTCTTCTTCCGATTGTGAATCCTCCTGTGCTTCTTTACTTTCCATGTATTTTTGGGACATCTCTTTCATTTCATCTTCAGATGCAGGTAGTCTATCTTCATCTGCATTTTGCTTACTCTTCATTTGGTCAAAAAAACCTCGTTGTGCTGAAAGAGGCTGAGATTGAAGTGGTGCTGCTTTGGTATAATCTCCATGGTAGACATCAGTAACAGGACCAGTTACACGTTTAGAATCAGCTTTTGGAGCATGAGGATGAGCTGAATTCTCAAGAGACCCTGAGTGATGTAAGTTATTCCTCGCAGCCGTTGGAAAATATGGTGATATTGTTGTGTACGGAACCATCGAATTGTATCGGTGAGGAAAGCCATGGATGACAGAAGTGGCGGGTGGAAAAGCCAGATAAGTTACTTGAGTACGAGGCAATGGATTGTACCGTCTCCTGTGAACTGGTCGATATTGATATGCATGACTCTTCTGAGTTCTCATTTGTATTTGCGGTTGGTAACGCGTCTTAGAGAGTGTGTATTTCACTGCACTTGAAGCTCCCGAAATTGAGCCACCTTGTTTTATTGGTGCAGACTGAATCAGAGGTTTCATACCCGGGTTCTTATTCGATTGAGATATATTGAGAGGCGTCGGTACATTGTCCCTCTTTAGCCTTTTCGTTGAAAGAGGAGTCATTACTGTGTCAGATTCTTCTGTTAATTGAGGAATTTCCGTGCTATTTTGACTAGCAGGTTGATCATTAGACTCATTTCCACTTTCGTCAGAGGACTTATCAGAGTCATTTTGTTCTGGTGACATCGGCCCTTGCTTTCTCTCATGTCTCGCTGCAATCAAAGATCTTTGTTGCTGCTCTATCTTCTGCGAAATTTGTACTGTTGTTTTCATTTCATTGTCTAGCGGAGGCAAGCCAGGACTAACTATTCTCAATGCAAGATCTGAATTATCACTGTCATGATTCTTTAATTTCAAAGACTGTGGGCGATGTTTGCTTGCCTTCGTCCGAGGTACCGATAAATCAACTTGAGACATTAATTGAGTCGTTTAAATCTTATTGAACGTATATCTTTCTAGTAGGAGAATGTACCACTTCAGTGTATATTAATTCCCCGTGTCTCTGCTGAAGCTTTGACCTGCAGTCACTAACTAACTACTTAGACCTGTTCTTTCAACTGCAAAGGTTATTAAGAGCCCCAGATGAGACAGAATAAGAATTTTCTTTAAAAATGATGTAATACTAGCGAGTATAAGTAGAAGATGTCCACCAAGCGTATAATTTAAGGGATTTGTCTAGTTAGATCATAGAATTACCTCTTGAAATAAAGAAGTCAAACACGACTGTATAGAAAGAGAAGACGCATCTTATTTTAGTAGCAGCTGTTTCAGAATATGCACGCAGGGCTACAGGTTTGTAACACCAGTGCTTTAAATAACTACAAGGAAATGGCTGTATTGAGTGGAAACAAAGGACATGACTATATAAATTTGGCGATCATACATGCATGTTAAATGATCTGTAGCTTTATAGCAATGAAAACGGCCCAAAAAAGTGCAGCCTACTTGTTTTTCATCTTAATTCCCTACACAAGTCTGTTTTGAAAGATTGTAATATAATACAATCACGTAAACTGTCTGGAAACGTAGATATGCGAGGTCTTAAATAATTTACCTAATATATCATAAAGTTCATATATAGTGATTCATCGAATTTATCTTCAAAGCCTGTCATAAAATTCAAACTATTGCGCGTAATAATTACCACACTGTATTAGTGACCCTGTGGATAGATGGATTATATAATCTAACTAGTAAAGTTCTCCCAACCGGATGGCCTTTTCTTGTTCATGACTTTATAGTATTTTGGAGTACAAGAATAACCTCTCCAGGTGAAATCAGAATTTGGATCACATACACATTTCTTCGACAATCTCGTCTCTTTGTTTACAGGGCAGTTATTAAAGGGAACGTGGTAGTATCCTAAATCATCAAAGAAGTGGATTTTATCTTTCTGTAAGAGTAATGCAGCAGCAATGGAATGTACTGGCGCATCACCCCATCTTTCGTAGAAAAATCCACCAGCTTTGTCCAACTGCTCAAAAAACTTCTGATAAGCCTCCGATCTCCACAATTTCAAACTGGCAACCTCAAAGTTGGACCAGAAGTGGCATCCGTTATATGTCTGACCCTTGTCATCAGAGATCCAATCTAATAAATTGTCTTTGGCAATATATTGTGGATTCTCCTTCATAAATATTTTAACATTATCCCATAACGTCTCAATTGTATCCTTGTACTCCGGCAAAGATATCGTGAAAGCATACTCCTTGTCATTTTTCTGCATCCAATCAAATATATCATAATCAATATCACAGAAGATTTTGATATCAGGTTCTACTCTCCAGTAATAGTCATACTGCATCATCAATTCGTGTCTCCAGAAGAATCCTGACTCGTAACGGCACATGTGTCTGTAAGATTCTGAATCACCATAAATGATTTTCTTTTCACGCATAGTTTCTCTTGTCATTGCAGCCTTTTCTTTGTCAATCCAATCTGGATACGACCAGTGTTCCTGAGGAATCAAGCCATACTTGGTCTCTCCCGAAACAACAGCTGACGTGGCCTCTTTGAATTCCTCACTGAATTCAGCATCATTTAAAAAGACCCAGTCATAGTGAAACTTGTTATTAAATCTATCTTCAACTTGCCGGATGGAACCAAGAATAGAATTTAAGTCACTATTTCTAGCTAACGTGACAAAGGTGGCCCTTACCTTGTTGGTAACACCTTGTTTTGGCTTCTGCTCAGCAGGTACTGTATCCTGTTGCCCAAGAAGTTGCTGGTTATCTTCAACTTGTTTTTCGGGTACTGGAGCTGTCTCCTTCACAGCTGTCAACTCCCCTTGAAAGGATGATCCCTTAGAAAGAATAAATCCACAGCCTATAAGTACAAGTGCAAATATTGCAAACCTAATAATACGGGCATTTGACCTACTCGATGCCATTTTTTTTTGTTACTTATGGTTCTAAAGAAGTCAGTCTCTCTCAAATTATAAGATTATATAACTCTTTTAGATATATTATCGTAAACTTCTTTAATGTTATGTTGTTCGGTTTTTTCACGTCGTTTCATACAGAACGCGAAAATTTATAACTTGCAGGGCTTCTCTTCTTTAGAAAAAGGCGCCTATACGAAAAAAGTTAAAAGCGAGCCGAGAAATTTAGATAAAAGATATGCATTCAGAATTTACAGATATAAACTAATCGTAATCTTTCCATTCATCAGGTTTTTTCAAACCAGTAACATCATAATACTTTTGCCCACAGCTGTAGCCTCTAAAAGTGAAATCTTTGTCTGGATTGCAGTCACATTTATGGTCCACTCTAAACTGTTGATTTAAAGGGCATTGCGTATAAACATGGTGATTATATCCCACGTCATCGAAATAGTGAATTTTATCCCTAGGAAGGAAAAGAGCAGCAGCAAGTGAATGAACTGGCGCATCGCCCCATCTCTCATAGAAAAAGCCACCTGTCTTGTCCAAATAGTCGAAATATTCCCTGTAAGCTTTAGATCTCCAGAAGTTTAGACTAGCTACTTCAAAGTTAGACCAAAAGTGACATAAGTTGTAAGTTTCACCTTTGTCATTAGAAATAAAGTCAAGAAGATTATTTTCAGCTACATATTCAGGATGTGCTTTCATAAAATCTTTTGTATGACCCCATAAAGATGGGATCGTAGCCGCAAATTCATGAATTGAAATTGTAAAACCATAAACCTTTTGGTTGTCCTCCATATACTTAAAAAGATCATAGTTTAAATCGCAGTGAATACGAATTCCTGGCTCAACTCTCCAATACCATTCGTACTCATCAAGTAACTCATTCTGCCAGAAAAATCCTGATTCAAAGCGACACATATGCCTGTAGCTTTCCATGTCACCATAAATAATCTTGGCAGCTTTCATTCTTGCCCTTGATTCTGCAGCTCTTTCTAAGTCGATCCAATCAGGATAAGACCAATGCTCCTTTGGAATTAACCCATACTTCGTCTTGCCTGAAATGATTGCGCTTGTCATAGTCTTAAACTCTTCGGTGAAGGGTTCGTCATTTAAGAAAACCCAATCATAGTGAAATTTATTATTGAACCTATCTTCAACATTTCTGATCGCTAAAAGGAGATCGTACAACTCCGAATTCCTTGCCAAGGTAACAAAAGTAGCCTTTGCTCTCTCACCGGACGGCAGATACTTATGTTCCTTAAGCAACTGGTCCTTTCTGTTTTCACTTAAATTTTCCAATCCCTTGTAAAATTCATCCTCTTTATCCTTCTCATTCGATTCTTTACTCGGTGCATCAAGACCCTGATCATTATGCTCCGATGATTGGGCCTTAGACTCCTCGTTCTGTTTCTGAGCTCCTTCATTTAACTGTTCAGGAGAAGGAGACGTTGAGTCGTCGTTAGGGGCCACATTCGGTATTTTGGCAGCTACATCTTCGCCTTCTTTACCTGTGCTATCAACATCTTTCGTTTGATCGTCTTTCTCTTCGCCCTTAGTGTCTTTGGGTGTTTCTTCTGCAGTACCTTTCTCAAGAGCCACTTCCGGGTCCGTTTGGCCAACTGCATTCATGGGTCCTCCCACCTGGCCCTTTTCGCCGTTTGCATCAGATTCTTTGACAACTTCGTTGGTGTTCTTGTCCACGTACACCACGCTGGGCTGCATCAAATCCCTCAAAGAAAATATGACAAGGCAAGCTATCACGATAGCCACAATCTTATAGTATGTGTTTCTCAACATTTTAGTGGAGCCATTCACCTCAACCTTCCTACAATTAGAAATCAAAAAAATATTAATTCAGGTACCTTTTCAGTAGGTAGGTACAAGAACAATTTGCGAGCTGGATATACAGGCAGAACACGTCCTCAAAGTGTCGCTTGAGCGAAGTAGGGCCCCTACGCAAAAGATAGCAGTCACTAGCATTTACACGACAGCTCCGCGACTTCGCCACATGACATGTTCTTTATTTGCGGTATATACCAATAGATTTCATTTAATTTCTGTAAGGAAAATCGGGCTTATTACGATCTAGACTTCGAATGGAAGTATTTAATTTTAGAAGTAAAGCTCTATAATATGGCAAATGTAATTCTTAAAGAGGAAGTAGAAGAGAGGTACAAAGATTTTGAAACTTGAGTTTATGCAGGTACATAATTAAAAACTATGAATATTTGATTATGGGTGCTAATATTCATATTGCTCACGTAGTCTATGCAATTCAGCCTTATGGATCTTCTTTTCAAAACCATTACTGAATTGAATCAATTCCAGGTACCTAATGTTCATCTTCGTAAAATTAGATAGATTCAAATTTTTCATGAGTAAGTAGATATCATTCTCATTCATTAATTCACACAAACTGTTCTCAAAGAATTTGAATATTGATAAGCTAAGACTGATCAATTTAATCTCTATGTCAGATATTAGGAGATTATCGAATATCTTAAACCAGATTTCGACGTTCGGGAACGTCTCTGTAAATAAGGTAAGCCACCAGTTCATAGTAATGCATTCAATCTGTATATTTATTGCCCTCAAATGCTCATATAGCTTTGGTAACAACCTTGGAAAATAAAACTCATACATTATTGTTTGGTCCATTTTTATATGATTAATTGAGCCGATACTAAAGTATTTGATAAAGCTTTCACCGTAAACTGGCAAGATACTCTCGATCAAACCAACAAATATCCAAAAGACATCCTCATCTACTAAACTATTATCTCCCAATATCAAGTTTCCAATGATCTTATTCATTCCCTGGCAGTACCCAACGTCAGACTTGTAAGCGGCAAATGCATAAAGAATTTTCTGAAGCTTATAGAAATGGGGGCCAGGTTGCGAATTGACTAAATCATTGAAATGTATATTAAAAGGCATCGTTCTATGCAAATCAAGGTCAATTTGCTTTAAGTTAGCCAAAATTGTGTCATTTTTTGTTTGCTTGGCTATTTGGTAGTAATTGACAAATTCTCCATTAATTCGAAGATTTTTGGCTCCCGAGAGTTCAAGCCATAAGTCGTAACGATATTTAAAAGGAATGCCTCTTTCATTGATCAAATTCTTCAACCTCCTATAGTACCTAGTATCATCACTATTAGCAAGTAACGATTTATCTAAATTTATAAGATTTAAACCTTGCGTCCCAAAAATTTCCTCGCTCTGGGTAAAATCTGTCTTCAGATTCGATCTGCTAACTTGATAATAATCTTTACTTAAATCCTTGAAAAATGATTCCCATTTGCTCTCAAACTTCTGGCTGCTTATATCATGAAGTCTGCTTATTTCTCTGAGCTTCTCCATTGTTGGGCCATTCTTTTGAATATCTGTAGTACCCTTGGCCTCAAGCTCTGTTACTGAGCTTGTTAAACTTCTACTGACATAAGAAGACTTCTTTTTTGGGGCTCTCTCTAGTGTCATTTGGTTCAATATTTCGCATGGTTCGCATGATTCAAGAATATTCTGCCTCAGCGGGCTGGAACTATTCGATATGTTCTCAGAGTTGAAGAATCCATATTTATCAACGTCGAATTCCGGCGGAGGGGAAAATAAATGGTCTTTGGGGTATACACTTATTCTTTCTAGTTCAACAGGAGCCTTTAAATTTGTAGCTGGTTCTATATCTTCCGTCTTATTCAAATTGAAGAGTGTAGAGAGTGATCTGGAAGCCCGAGGACCTGATTCATCATTATTTTTGGTACTCGTATCAGAATTTGAACGAAGTACTGATGGAAGCCTATCAGTAGAGTGGAACCATTGGCTGAACCACTTGGAATTACGTCTAAATTTATTTTCATAAGGAGAATTTATATCTCTCGATGAAACAGGCAAAGTCGATTCTCGATCCTCAATTCTATCAATAGCTATATCGCTGGGGTCATCATGCGGGATGTTATCTGGTATCTTAAGGTCCTCGTGAATAGCGGTATCTATCAATCCCAGAAGAATATTCTCCACATTCTGATCCGGTGCCACGTTGTTCAACTTTTGGTCCATCTCGACGGCTGATATGTTTGCATATTGGTTGCAAAGCTTCAAAAGTTCTTGTTCTCTTGCGAACTTTCTCTTTCTAAGAATTATTAATTCTGATTCCTTCAGCGCTATATCATATGATAGCTGTCTTATTAATGCTAATGGATCATTTTTAAATCTTATACTTATCAACCTGTTAAGCTGCTCGTCTGATATTTGATGCAAGTTTCCTCCTAATGAATCTGACAACTCAGGCAATGAAGCCGACGCAAGACCCAAAATGTAAGATTTTGTAATATTATACTGCTTGGCATCATTATGGGTATTCTTATCCTTCATTTCATTTTATGCTCTACGTACTAGTCTTTCACTGCTGAAAGTTATTACAGTCCGAAGGACACACGTAAATAAATTGTCGAGGCGCGCTGCTCAGGATTGAACACCAGCATCTGCTTTTACAAAAAGATACTACAATTTTGTATTTTACAAGGAGTACATACCCAATCAGCCTTTCAGAAAGTAGCAGTAGGTGCCATGAATTGGTTAATCATATCAGTTAAAAAAAAACGGTTAAATCTCTTTGTAAAGCGTGTCATCTTTATGCAAGGACAATGCTAATCTTCTCTGTATTGTTAAAATTGACAAGTGTACTATCCAGAGGATAGTACAAGTGCGAAACAAATTTAATCTTATTTATACTCCTTTTTATTGGAACATGAATTACGATGTATTATTTTGTTAGCTCTCTGAACCCAAACATATTTCAGCATTCTTTTATATTAACAAGATGCTCTTAGCGTCATATAGAACCCAAGCAAAACTCCCTATTCTTTTTTGCTGGTGAGTTGCTTCAAAGTGATGACATCTTATTCCTGCAGGAAAAAAGATCAATTATGATTTTGCATAAGGTGTCAGCATGACGGCAAATGCTTATTATTAAATATATTTCATATATAGTCTGAAGTAGTTAGCCGGAAAGGAGGTGAAGACAATCATTTATCAATAATATCTCATCACAAAGACGTCCCTAAAGGAGATTTCTGATAAGGAAAAATGATAATTCGATTTAGAAGTAAGGATGGAATGTTCAGAATAAGCACGGAGCCTAAAGATGACTTTCTTAATTTGTTAGGAGAATTAGTGAAAAAGCTTAAAACTAATGATGGTAGTAGCATCTATGTAAGTGAGAGCCCGGGAGCGAAGGGCCAACAAGCTAGTAGTCTTTGTGGCAAGTCCATTGACGAACTAGGTTTGAAGAATGGAGATATGCTTTTTGTCACTTATGAATCTGACGGTTCTAAGGATAATGAAAAATCAGATATTAATTCTGTGTCTGGATCGATAGGTATTAGCGCATCCTCAATGCTTCCTCAAAATGTCTCGAAAATCAAACAATTGCCTGTTGATAATGAGCTAGATAAGAAGGACGGTTATATAAAGAGACCAAGATCTCGATTCTGCCGCCATGGTGACAAAGGAATGTGTGAATATTGCGCTCCTCTCCCACCTTGGGATAAAGAGTACAGAAAAGAGCATGGCCTCAAGCATATGTCATTTCATGCATATTTAGATGAACTTAACGACCATAAGAATAACAAAAATAACGCTACTTCATATATAGCACCCTTGGAGAATCTAAACTACAATGTCAATCTTAATTGCCCCAGCATGCATGCCCCATATCCAAAGGGTATCTGCTCGAAGTGTCAGCCCCCAGTTATTACATTGCAGCAACAACAATTTCGTATGGTAGATCATGTTGAGTTTGCGGATTCACAACTTCTTAATAAATTCATTGATACTTGGAGGCAAACGGGTGTTCAAAGGTTTGGTATTTTGTATGGTACGTACGAAACTTTCGATAAGGCTCCGTTAGGAATCCGTGCCGTTGTTCAAGCGATTTATGAGCCTCCGCAAGCTGATGAAGCGGATGGAATTACGCTCTTAGAATGGGAAAATGAAGAGCAAGTTGATTCGGTAGCCTTTTCACTAGGATTGTATAAGGTTGGGGTGATATTTACCGACTTAACCGACTCTGGTGTTGGTGATGGGACTGTTTTGTGCAAGAGGCATAAAAGCACTTATTTCCTCAGTGGGTTAGAGGTGATGATGGCTGCTAGAAATCAAGTAAAATATCCTAACCATACAAATCATGCCAATAGCGGCTACTTCTCGTCGAAATTTGTTACATGTGTTGTTAGTGGGGGTCTAAAAGGAGAGATTGAACCCCGTTCTTATCAGGTGTCTACTAATGCAGAAGCTCTTGTCAAAGCTGATATCATCACTGCATCAACTCAGCCTTCGATGATGTACATCAACAATACTGACAGTAAAAGATATGTCCCGGACATTTTTTATCTGAAAATTAATGAGTATGGTTTAGAAGTCAAGACAAATGCAAAGCCTGCGTTTCCAGTTGAATATTTGTTGGTGACGTTACTGGACTCCTTTCCATTGGAGCCAAAGCCACTCTTTTCGTCCGATTTCATTATCGAGAACAGAGACTTCATGGGAGACGTTCAAGATCTCAGTGCTGCCTACAAGTATCTTAGCAATGATGCATCTGGAGACGGATCCAGGCTCAGAGATTTCCATTTTCTAATTTACGTTGAACGCATGGGCATTTTAGAGAAACATGAGCTCTCTTTACTTTTGAAGTTTGTGAGAGATAAAGACTACGAGACATATTTACAACTCGTGGAAAGTCCTGGCTGGATGACCTTCATAATTATCCTAGAGCAAAGCTCCTAAGTTTCTGGTGGCTCACGCAAGCACTTCTTCACGCAACCACTGCTTTTGCGTATAGTTCATTTTTGTGAGTATTCTCGAATATTCTAGAAACGCGTTACCCGACTTTTTGTTTCGAGCCCCATTTGAAAAAGCGAAGTCCTATATAAAAATTTTGATTGCCTTCAACAGATTGATCCTGAGGTACTTAGTCTAAATACTAATAAAAGCTTAAATATAGAATCATCATGTCTACCCCTTTTGGAGTTGATCTTGGTAATAATAACACGGTTATTGCGTGCGCCAGAAACAGAGGTATTGATATCATTGTCAATGAAGTTTCCAATCGTTCCACACCATCAATTATTGGTTTCGGACCGAAGAACAGATTCATTGGAGAAAGCGGAAAGAATCAACAAACTTCAAACTTGAAAAATACCGTAGAGAACTTAAAGAGAATCTTAGGATTGAACTATGACGATCCAGATTTTGAGATTGAGAAGAAGTACTTTTCGGTACCGTTAGTAAAGAATGAAGACGGTGGTGTTTCAGCCAAGGTAAAGTATTTGGGTAAGGAGAGAGAATTTACATCTACCCAATTGGCAGCAATGTACATTAACAAAATCAAAGACATTACTGCAAAGGAGACTAAAGGAAATATTGTTGATATTTGTCTTTCTGTTCCGGTTTGGTACACTGAAAAGCAACGCCGCGCTGCTGCTGATGCTTGTCAAATTGCTGGTTTAAATCCAGTTAGAATTGTTAATGAGGTCACAGCTGCTGCAGTTGGTTACGGTGTCTTCAAGGCAAACGACTTGCCGGAAGATGAGGCTAAAAAGGTTGCTTTCATTGATATTGGACATTCATCTTATCAGGTTTCTATTGCTGCTGTTAAGAGAGGTGAATTGAAAGTTTTAGGTTCAGCTTGTGACAAACACTTTGGTGGTAGGGATTTCGATTATGCTATTGCCAACCACTTTGCTGAGGAATTCAAAGGAAAGTATAAGATTGATATCACTCAGAACCCTAAAGCCTTTTATAGAGTTTTGACTGCTTCAGAAAAATTGAAGAAAGTCTTGTCGGCTAACTCGCAAGCCCCATTTGGAGTTGAATCCGTTATGAATGATATTGATGTGTCATCTTCGTTGAGTCGTGATGAATTAGAAGAATTCATCCAACCATTATTGAATAGAATAAATGTTCCAATTGAAGCTGCATTGAAAGATGCGGGTTTGACTACTTCTGATATTGACTCTATTGAAGTTATCGGTGGATGTACTAGAGTTCCATCATTGAAAGCCAAAATCTCAGAAATATTTGGAAAGCAATTATCTTTCACTTTGAATCAGGATGAGGCTATTGCAAGAGGTAACGCCTTTATTTGCGCAATGCACTCTCCTACATTACGTGTTAGACCATTCAAATTTGAGGATTTCAATCCATATTCTGTTTCCTACTTCTGGGACAAACAGGAAGAAGATGAGGATCACTTGGAAGTCTTCCCTAGAGGAGGTTTGTTCCCCTCAACCAAGATAATTACTTTATACAGAAGCGGTGATTTTGAAGTTGAAGCAAGATACACTAATAGAAAAGAACTACCAGTTGGTACTGAATCGGTTGTTGGTAGATGGACCTTTAAAGGTGTTGTTCCTTCTAAGGGTGAGTCTTCGATAGCTACTAAGTTGAAGTTAAGAAATGATCCATCTGGTTTCTACACCATCGAGTCTGCTTACACCGTTGAAGACAAGATTGTTAAAGAGTTGGTTGAGAAAGAGCCTAAAGAAGGTGAGCAAGATGAAGATGAGGAACCAGAATACAAGGAAGTTAAGAAGACTGTTAAGAAAAATGACTTGGAGATCACTGCTATCTCAGCAGCATTGCCTGAAGGAATCAAACAAGCTTATTTTGAGGAAGAAAATTCAATGGTTGTCGAAGATAAATTGGTCGCTGATACGGAAGACAGGAAGAATGCCTTGGAAGAATACATCTATGACTTGAGAGGCAAGTTGGATGAGCAATATAAGAACTTTGCTTCTGACGAAGAGAAAGCAAAATTGACTGATATGTTAGCAAAGGCTGAAGACTGGTTGTATGATGATGGATTTGATTCAAGCAAAGGTAAGTATATTGCTAAATATGAAGAGTTAGCTTCTATTGGTAATATTATCAGGGGCCGCTATTTAGCTAAGGAAGAAGAAAGAAGGCAATCAATCAGACAAAAACAAGAGGAATCTCAAGCTGCTGCCATGGCTGAAAAATTAGCTGCCGAAAGGAAAGCAAAGAGCAACGACACCAAGCAAGAAAAAAAAAGTGATGATGGTGATATTGAAATGGGTAATTAGATTCTGTATACTACTACGTCTACAAGTAAAATGAAGGCATAAATGCCTATATTTATAAAATATTATATACACATATTTTTCTACTCTAATAATCATATGGTTTTACTAATATATGAATATATTCTCATCCTGTTTCCCCGTTAGGGGTCTGAAAAATTCGCCTCTCGGACGTTTATTTTTATTAACACAAAATAAAGTAAAAAAAAAATTATTTTCACTCCATATCTGTACCCTCTTATCTGCCCTCGAGAGAACATAGAGCAGCATCTCCCTGAATTTGTATTATCAAGTGTCATATAATAAGTCAACGACTTTACCAGCAAGCCATACTTTGGAACCATTTTGTATTGGGGGTATTCGTATTCATCAGTAAATTAATCTTAAACTTTTACAGGGTGATTACAAAAATATACTAATAAGGGCTGAAATCCATTGTATCTATACATCACGACGAAGGGTACATATAAAGAAATTTGCTGACTTTAATGGCTAAGTCATCTAACTCTCATAAATCAAATTTGTCTATTGCAATTCAAAGGGCAGAGGAACATGATGATTTGCCTACACATTTTTTACCAAATTCTGCACATCAGGGATCTTCCTCTGTTGCGGAAGGGTCGCTTAGTACAAGTATAACTAAATCTAAGCCAGAACTTTCCCCGCTAAAAACTGAATTCGAAACCGAATTTAAAAAGGAGCACAAGGATTTGTCGCTAAGCGGGAGGGTCAGTAACGAAAATGACCTTGACATTGATGACGACGAAGAAGACGATGATGGTGAATGCCCTCAACCAGAAAATGAGGAAGACTTAAAAGATTATGCCCCTGGTGGCTATCATACGTGCTTCATTGGTGAGACGTACAAAAATGGTAAATATGTATTAGTCAGAAAATTAGGGTGGGGTCATTTTTCAACTGTATGGCTAGCCAAAGATTGTGATAAGCACTGTCATGTTGCAATGAAGATTGTTAGGAGTGCAAAGCATTATACTGAAACCGCAATTGATGAAATAAAATTATTAGATAAAGTTACTACAACAGACCCACATCATCCCGGGCATGAGCACGTAATCCAATTGCTAGACACATTCACACATAAGGGACCTAACGGTATTCATGTCGTTATGGTTTTCGAGGTCTTGGGAGAAAATTTATTGGGTTTAATTAGAAGATACAAGCATCGCGGAATCCCAGTAGTATTCGTCAAACAGATCGCTAAACAATTGTTATCCTCTCTTGATTTTTTGCATAGAAAATGTGGAGTAATCCATACTGACTTGAAACCTGAAAATGTGTTAATCGAAATTGGTGATGTGGAGCAAATTGTGCGAATGGTAGAAGAGGAGGAAGCTCAGGTGAGGATGCAAAAAAAGTTAAGAAAACCTAAATCAAAGACACCAGTTACCTCGATTCAACAAACTCCACAGAAGCAAAATATGGCTACAGTCTCTAGGGACTCGACACCTTTAAGTGCAATAAACAGCTCCCCATCTTTAGGACGGAATGGAAGAAGATCACGTCGGCAAACTCTCATCACAGGTTCCCAGCCTTTACCATCGCCATTGCGTACCTTTAGTAAAACTTTCTCCAACTTCCAGCTTTCAAGTACGACTGCTAATACTCCTAATAAGTCTGCTTTCGGCGAAAGCTCTACTGAAGGCTCCGGCCCACACTACCTAGCTTCTGAAACTTCAAATTTAGACAAGAGTACTCTCGATAGCTCCTTATCTTCAATGTCTATTTCAAGCAATTATCATAATCACTCCGAACTTGAAAATGTCTATTCAAACAATAGTGATGAACATGAAGGTAACAATTCTCACGTAATCGATGAAAATGAGTTAATTTCAGTAAAGATTGCAGATTTGGGTAATGCATGTTGGACACATCATCATTTTACTGAAGAAATCCAGACCCGTCAGTACCGTTCACCAGAAGTGCTCTTAGGATACCATTGGGGTGCATCGACGGATTTGTGGTCATTCGCATGTCTAGTATTTGAACTTCTTACAGGAGATTATCTTTTTGATCCAAGAGATGGCAAAAACTATACTAAAGATGATGACCATATTGCACAGATTATTGAATTAATAGGACCATTTCCTAGAGAAATGCTAAAAGGAGGATACTATGCTAGAGACTTTTTCAACTCTAGGGGTGATTTACATAGAATTCTGAAATTGAAACCTTGGAGCTTGAAAGATGTACTTGTCGAAAAGTATAAGTTCTCCATCACTGACGCAATGGAAATCTCTGACTTTTTATTGCCCATGTTGAGCATTCAACCAGAATCTAGAGCGGATGCTGGAGGAATGGTCAATCATCCCTGGCTCAGCGACGCTTTGGGACTCGAGAACGTTGTCCTCGAAAGACCTGTCGGGGGATCTGGGGAAGATATTCCAGGCTGGTCACGAGAATTACCTCGCGTGAATCAAGGCAATAAGTACTTGTATCACCATCACAATCATTAAATCATCAATTTTTTTTTAAGATGGGCATTCCAGAAACTTAATGGAAATGAAGCAAAATTTACATTCATTCACTTATTTGATAATTATATAATATTCTGTAACATATGCGTGTATTAAATAGATGACTGGCATTACAACAAACATTCATGGTTCAAAAAAGTCTATGAGTATCAAAACTATCTTCTCGAATAAATTGGGACGGAAAAGAAAAGAATTAAAAACCATCTTTAAATCAATCATAGGATTGTTTGGATACACTAGAGTATTGAATTCTGGATCGGACACTAAGGTAAAGTCTTTCGCTATCAAGCTTAATTTTGATAGTCGTGACTGGGCCAGATTGAGGAACAAAGATCACAGGAAAACTAAAATTAATATATAGTCGATACTCTACTGAGATATAATTGATTTACCAGTTGTAATCATCATGTTACAAATAGCAAAGAACAACTTACTTCTTCAGAAGACTTTGACTGAAAAGATATTTCCACAACCCGAAAGCTCTTTAAAGTCTTTGGATAGAATTGTCACTGATTTCGACTTTACTACTTACCATGTTTCCAACCTAGATGATAACAAGGAATTGATCCTCATATCAATATACCTTAAATGCTGGGATGACTTGGTTAAATATGGAGTGTTCAACTACCTAAATGAAAAATTTGCCAAATTTGAGGGCCCGTTGACGATTTTACCCAATGGTGAAATTGAGCAAGGTTATAATTATTCGTTGGTTTTGGATTTGAGTAAATTGAATTCAAAAGACGAAGAGTTCAAGCTTCAATTAATTGAAGAAATATCATTCTTGAAGAGGCATGCTATGGCAGCTCCATTTGAGCAAGCCTTTAACCGGTATGATGAGTTGACTCAAACATATGCAAACAGCAATACTTATTCGGAAGAGATTCAATCAGAATTACAAAAGGAACCAGTATTAGTTGTTAAATACCGTGGTTCAGATGAAAGTATTTATATTAAACCTTCATTTGACAGAGTTACTGTTATCTTTTCTACAATATTTCTTGATGAAACTGATAAGATATTTGGAAAAGTGTTTCTTCAAGAGTTCGTCGATGCAAGAAAGAGATCTGTTCAAACCGCACCCCAAGTTTTGTACTCACATAAGGAGCCTCCTCTTGATATCCAAAATGTTATAACTGCGTCTCGTGATGATGACAAAAAGGGTTATGTGACATTCGTCTTATTTCCAAGACATCTTGTTAAAGGCGACAGAAGGGAAAATTGTATTTCACATATTCAGTTCTTTAGAAATTATTTTCATTACCATATCAAATGTTCCAAGGCATACATGCATTCAAGAATGCGGTATAGAGTCAAAGAATTTTTAAAGATCTTGAATAGGGCTAAACCAGAAAATATAGACGAAGATGGTAAAATCATTGAAAGTAGAAAAACTGCTAGCGGTAGAAGATTTGATGCTGGAAGAGTTTAAGATTAATTCTTGTAGATAAAATAAGAATCTACATTTTCTTTCGAATTGTATGTTGATAACAACCTGCCTTGAAATATGTACAAAAGAATTTATAGTCTAGAAGGTCATTATTCCACGATTTTAATTTTCACTTCTTTGGCATCTTCACGCCATATTTAGATCTTGAGGTTGATCTGTTAGCAACACCAGCTAAATCATATGCACCTCTGACTAATCTATACTTGACACCAGGTAGATCCTGAACTCTTCCTCCTCTAACAAGTACAACATGATGTTCCTGCAAGTTATGACCCTCACCAGGGATCAAACAAGAAACGACATTACCATTTGTCAACCTTACACGGCAGCATTTTCTTTGGGCTGAATTGGGTTTCTTAGGTTTCACAATCATCACACGTAATACCACACCTTTTTTAAAAGGATTGGTTTGTAAATGCGGTGCCTTTGATACATAAGGCTTAACAGGTTTAACATGCTTCCCGCTTTTTATCTGATTTAATGTAGCATATCTCTTTTGTCCAAAGAGTCCATTATTCAAGTTATTAGTTAAAGGTATGTTTGAAAAAATTGAATTACTGTAAGGTGTATCGGTCCTGGAGTATGTTCGAGGTATTAAGGAAGACCTAAGTAGTCCCAAAGGCCTCGCGCTACCAAAAATGACTTTCAACATTATGCTTCTATTAAGATCGTTCTTCTATGGTTATCTGTTTGACTTTGATTATGAAATTTTCACCGACTCTCTAAAATGTCGTCTATGTCGTTTTCAATGATGTCGTCTATTTATCGTTGATCTTTGCCTCAACCACTGAGAAGTTATACAATTAGCCTCTTAGTTACTGTACTTAATAAATTATCAGAACCAACTTAGGGATGTTTAGAAACACATTATTGAAATTTTCAAGAAATTCTAGGTTTATTAGACAGCCACTCGTGCCTTCAACTATCATAAGTAGGCCACAACTCGTTCGTTTTTATGCCGGTTTCCCAGCATTGACTAGAGATATAGCCAAGGAAAGGATTTTAGAATTATTAGAAGGCTACGACAAAATAGGTGACTCGAAGGAAATTACAGAAAAATCATCTTACAGTCAGGATTTAGGCTTGGATTCTTTGGATGTTGTTGAAATAGTTATGGAAGTCGAACACGAATTTAACATACAGATACCTGATCAAGAAGCAGACAATTTGAAAACTGTCGGCCAGACAATCGATTATATTCTTGCTCAGGATGATGCGTGCTAGATTTGTACATTCTTTAAGTTAAATACTACATTGTGCAAACTCATGAACTCGAAAAAAAGTGGCACAAACATTCACTATGGAATACCATGTCGCATGCAATACCAGGAGGTTGTAACAACCTTTTACTAGCCTAATATATTTCACAGTGCTAAACAATTTATAGTGACAATACAATTTTTACCTTACAAGATTGTAGAATGGCAACTTAATGTTCCCTAACAATCAAAAGTAACACTTACAATTCTAAAATATGTCAGCAATTCGTTTAATTACACACCATTTCTTTGCTTTGCTTTCTCTTTGCTTCCTTTACCTGTTATATTTTGTTCCAACGCTCTTTGACTTTAAATCAAAATGGAACTGTTTTTTGTCACGTGGTTATTTTTGTCCAATGGAAGCGCATTTATTCATATGTGAACTCAGAATAAGAGTAGCAAGAAGGACTAGCATAGACATAATCAAAATGGTTTCTGTAAGTTAAAACTTAAGATATTATAGCTTCAAGCTGCTTGTTTATCTAAATATCTTTAAAAATGGGTTAGTACTAACTATTACACAGTATATTAGAGGTCCAGCTTATAAGACTTTAAATCACTTGAAAGGTTTGAACCTTGAAGTTCTTAAGGATTACACCCCAAATCTTATCTTGTGGGGTGGTGCAGCAGTTGGTGGAATCGCTACCTTTACCGAAGGTTGGCCGTTATTTGAAGAAACATTTTACCTGAAGATTCCATACTTTGGTAAACACTGGATTCATCACCCAGATCCAGAAGACGTCCCAGTTTAAGGTATGGGACATCCACTCCTAATAAGATATTAATATCTAGTACAAATAGAAGTCTTTATCTGATTGACTTTACTATATATTATCGTGAATATACATACGTATTACTGTACCCCTATATGCTATGTTCATTACGGAATGTAAGAAAGTTTATCTTTCTCTTCTCTTGCAAGATAATCGCTATCTATCAAGCCTTCAATTGATAACTTTATATCATGAATTGACACTGCTCCTTTTTTCTCAAGTTTTTCTAACGATTTCACGAGCAATTCAGAATATGGCAAGCTCTTGGAGATCTTCATAATTTGAACTATTGCAGCTTTCACTTCAGACTCCCTGTTCCTTTTAACCGGTTCTAATTGTTCGCTATCACCACTAGAGCTTGTTTCTTTGTCCTTGGAAAGCGGGATCCGAATTCTAAATGATTTATCTTCGAATTGGCTATTGTATTCGAACACTTGTCCCTTTTGCATCAAAACCTTGAATCTTGTCAAGCTTCCTAAAACCCTTTTTAATAACTTGCCATCTATTTTCGTCTCTTGTTGAATTTCTGTAAATTTATAGGACTGCTTATCATTAAAAAGGAGAATAACTATTGCCTGAAGTAAATTTACTATTAGTTCTTTTGGCCCTGAATCAAAATTTGCAGTGATTATTAGTTGATGTAACGCATAGTTGCTCCAATCTAAAACATGATTCTTACGCTTTTCATCTGCACTGTGATATATGGCTGAAAACGAATCAAGAGCTGCACCAAGATTTGATGGTAATTTAATATCAGACTCTTTTCTAGGTACTTCGGGCCAAACTTTTTTCTCTAAAATCAAAGCATTGAAACTAAAATTGGAACCTTCTGTGACGTCAACATCTGAGTAACAATCTCTTGAAACTTGTAAATCTTTAAACATTATTTGTAAATCTAATGAGTTGTCAGTCTCCCCTGTAATTTTTAATAGTAGATCAACAAGTTTTTGTTCTTCATCCAAATTAGCGGATCTGCTAAGTAATAATCTTCGGGAAAGGTCGTTTTTATAAGCCTGAATGAAGCCATCCTTATCATTAATTGCTTTAAATATTGTCATGACATCGTTCTGAAACTTGTTGAAAGGCAAACCTAATCCTTTCTTTATTGAATTTCTTAAATACGAGTCACAATATTTGCATAATTGACTTATTATATGCAATGTGATATTAGACTGATTTAAAGCTTTGTTGAAGGCAACTCTGAGCTCAAACTCGAATTTTTCATTCTTTGCCAATTTAGTAGTTGCGATGTTCTTAAAATCTGAATTAGCGTCCACTAAAATTGGAATAATATTCTTTGAACTACCCTTTTGGTCTGTAATTAAATCACAAATTCTATTGAAAACTAGCTTGCCCCATTCATAAATGAAAATTGAGAAAGAATCGAATTGATATTCGCTTGTCGCCAATTCTGCAAATCCAAATACTATTTCGAGCTCTTTAACATATCTCTCATGTATCAAATAGGGCAAAGTAACATGAATAACAGTTGAAAAGTCCAGAAATATTAAGATCCACTTAAGCTTCAATAGAAGATCTCTCAAAAACTCCTTGGAATAGCCACATTCTTTGAAATACGTGATTTCTTTAGAGATTTTCAGTAATACTTTAGGTACGTAAGTTTGAGGTTCCTCAATCCAGCTTTCTTTCATAATGCTATAATCACTCAGAATCAGATCTATCAAGTCGTTGTGGATTTGTAGTCTTCCATTAAAGTTTAATTTAACCAAGATCTTTGTAAGTCTCTTGGCGAGTGCAGTGATCTCGTTATTTTCCGTTTTACGAAGTTTCTGCAATAGCAACTTATGTTTTGTTAGCACTAGGTCGCTCTTCACTATGATATTTTCAACAAACAATGTCTTCCCCATTTCAGCTATCATCATTTTGTGAGGGTGTTGTAATAGATAGCCCCGATCTAGGTAAAGGAATAACTTACTGAGCATCATTAACTTTTCGTCCCATTTCTCGTATTCCTCTACAAATCCATTCACAGAATCAACCAAGTCAGTACGAGCAAGCACCTCTTCAACATGTATCATTATTTTCTCTCTGAAGTATTGATCAATTGCATCACTAAGTATTGTCGAGAGGTTAGATTTTTCATTATGCTTACATCGACAGAGTATCTCAACACTGTTATAATAGCTATTGTAGCTTGCTTCCAAAGGTAGACCATGCAAAATAAGATGTATTAACCTCTGCACTTTATCTCTTATATTATCGACATTATTGGAGGATGGCCGCTGTTGTGTATTCGGCTTAATTCTCTTGACATTTTCCAGCGATTGAGCAGCCGACTCAGCTTGATACAGAGATAGATGGGAAGAAGTTATTGAGCCACTGCTCATCCTCCCACCGAAATCTAGTGCCTCAGATATTGTGTTTTCTGTCATTCTTGGTAGGAAAGTCTAAAATATTATATGTCGCGATATCCCATCTTTAGATTATCAATACATTACATTTTTCTTTTATTTGACCATATGATAACATAAAATGCTGGATGAGAAATCATTAACCGACAAGAAACAGGACACTAATGGCGTACTATCAGATGTAACGGATCCTAAACAACTTACGACGGTTTACAAAAAAAATGGATCATTTGATCTGCAGAGGAGACTTCTTCTAGAAAACTTTAAACAATCAGAAACACATTCAAATTTACAGTTGAAATTAAAACTCATGGTCGAGGGTATGGTTAAGCAAGATCCTTCTATATTAATGAAAAACAGAGGTAAGATGGGTGCATTGATTCAGGGTAATATAATTAATCAACATATGCAAAACAAGAATGAGTCTAGTGTATTGAGTATAGTGGACAAAGACTTTCAGGATAAAATCACTGGGAATCCAGAATTTCAAAGCAAACTAAAAGACGAACTCAAGGACATAAAACGTCGGTTATTAGGAATCAGTGATGAAGAATATGAAAAAGAATTGGAACAGGAGCGTGCAAAGCAACTCTTAGAGGAGAAACAAAAGGAAGAAAAAAAACATTCTCGCTCTGATAGAGACTATAGAAACAATTTTAAGCTTAAGCAGTTATCATCAAATAAAATCACAAAACCACCAAAGTTCAATTTCTCGAGCAGAGGTAGTTGGTACAATGGCTCCAATGAAACTTCCAGTGGTTCAGAAGTCAGTGCTAATGGTAACACGAAAAATAGCTCAAATAACTATACCACTAATGCTGGCAATAGTCATGATGACAAGAATCCAGAAGATAGCTCATCCAAGCGTGATATTCCTTTTTTAACCTACTAATTTGTTAATTTTCTACAATTGATGAATGAAAATGATATTAATAACAAACTATAGAAAAAGATCCCGACTTAGTCGTCGGTATCAAAAATATCAGTGGCAATTAACATCAACTCTTCCACAACTTTACTCTTGTAGCTAAGGTCTTGGGGACTTAACGAATTGTCATTTAATATTGCAGGTCCCCAAATTATTGCAAGGTTCTTGGAAGTCATTCTATTAAGAGATTGATGTGCTGCGACTTTATTCAAATGAAAGATTAAGGATCTTAAGGTGAAATATGCACCATCAGGAAGATTAAAAACCAAGTGATGTAATTTCTTAGCAATGAATGTCTCATCTAGCGATTTGACTGTCTCGATAAAGGACTGACAATATTCGTTAGTTAATAAAGGTTCAGGTAAACTAGCAAAATATAACTTCAATAGTGAAGTAACACAATATATATCAGCATCTTTAACATTGTTTGGGTCAATATCACTACCTATCGATAAATAATTAGTGAAGTTTTGATCAATTGAATCCTTCAAATTATCAACTGTCGATTTATTACCACTCGTTCTGTATATGCCTTCTATATCTAGACCATTGGCCTCAATGACATCAATACATTTTTTGACGACAAGAGGTACATTATCAATTCCCGCATAACGAATAACATCCTCAATTGACACACCAAAAGTTGGTTGTTTAATTTGTGAGTTCATAGATTTAGGGCCATTCAAATCTGGGGTGTTTGGATTGCTTGCAGGGTCTAGCGAGCTATAAGGGACCTCGTCAGGTGGGCTATCTTTCTCACCATATGTTTGTGTTTGGCCACGGTTGTTCTGTATTTGGTTGAAGTGTTGCTGTGTTTGTGAATTAGATTTTGAATCGCTTGGCGAAGTTGTTAATTGGTTGTGGCCAGTAGTGTTTGCAGTTTCAGTATTAGTTGATGTACTACTATAATTATTTGTGACGGCTGTTGGTGCGTTTGGCTGGTTGCTGCTTTTTGTATTATTTAAAAACGGTTTACTCGGTTTCTGGGACTTCGCCAAAGATGGATGAACTTTATATTCAACTGGAACTAATGCACGATTGGCAGGAGACTTTTCCTTTTTGATTAAGTAGTCGTACAAATCTTTCTCGTTATCAACTGAGCTTGCCAATGATTTCATAGATTGTTTAGATTCTTGTAATGGGCATACCAAAACACCTGAGTTCATTATTAGTGTTTCGTTCCAAGTTGCATATTTTTGTAATTGGACGCTCATAGCTATATCCATTTCGAGGATTAAATTTTTCAATCTTTTGGAGCTCGTTGGTCTATGTAGCATTAGTATTTCATCTTTAAGTTTCTTGCAGGTCGTGACTTTAGATTTATAATCTTGATCCGCCGAGTCAACCTTGCGTTGGAGCTCATCTTCTTGTTGCTCGACACTCTTATTCTTTAAAGAGAAGGACTTTTTGCTCGGGTCTGCCTTTAATTTCTCCAAATCATCACAAATGTGATAGTATTTCTGCTTAGACTTTTCTGCTGCCGAAATGGCATCAGCGCACTCCTTCTCCTTTCTTTTACTTTCATCTTTAACCGCTTTTCTATTCCTTGCGACTGCATTTATCAAAGAAGTTAATTCGTCATACATAACGTTTAGAGCTTTAACATAAGAGCTTCCCACATCAAATAATCTCTCGTCAAACCCAATAATCTTATCCAATTTGGAACTGAATGAATCATTTTTCAATTTTATAGAATTATGCATACCCATCCGTGTACTAGATGCAAACTTCTTCAATTGATTATAGTGGTCGTCTTCTATGACCGCCTTCTTTTTGATGTATTTAGCAAACTCTTCACCGGTACTTATACTTTGCTTTAATCTCGTCAATAGTACATCTAAACTAGCATCGCTATTAAGGAATGTTTGAATCCTACTTTGCTGCAATAATTTAGCTGACTCTGATTCGATCGACATCCTTGATATGTGTGCTCGTTGATGGGCCAGCTTTCCCCAAAAATTGATTCCAACTCGGTTCTTAAATATCTCCTCTACGATATTTCATCTACAATTTTTTAAAGTTTATGGGGCGCGGTATTAGTGACATTTTTAGTCGAGACGTGATCATCTGTTTGTTTAAGTTACAACTAAAGGAACTGAAGAGGCATACTAAAGTATCATAATTTTATATCAGCAAATATGAATAGAATATATAATTAAAACTCAATTTTTTATTTATCTAGATTATGTAGGTCACATTTGTTTGTGATCAGCCAAAAATTGTACTAGCTCTCTTCTCGTCTTCGCCGAACGCATTGATGCCGTGTTCCACATTTGCAACGGAGAATTCAAGGTCATCAGTAGTTATCATATCCCAGAACTTGTATATCATCATAAAAGTGAAAACATTGCAGAGACTTCCAAAGAAGAGTCCGTCGATATAGTGTGATGCTCCTTCGCAAATCTTATCACTAAACCCATACGTCAAGACTTGGCCAGCAACAAAGAAGAAGACTCCAAGTGAAATGGCACCTAATGGCCAAAAAGATTCCAATGCAAATACGACTAAAACTACTTGACTGCAGACATAACTTGCTATCAATATAGCGTTTACGACAAAACTGACAACAAACAATGTTACAGTTTTTCTATCATCTAACGCCGTGTCCCAGCTTTTTGCAGTAATTAGACTAATGAAAAAGTTAACGACAAACCATCCGACACATGCTAGTCTTAAAATCCACATGGAGGTCCTCGTTCCGTCTTCCCAAAACTGGAAACATAAAATCCCATTGTAAAGAATGCAGATACATGCTGCACTTGCTAGGCCAATCTGGACGCTGACGAAATATGCATAACTAGTACTTGAGGGAGGACTGACACCACAATCAACGATGAGGGAGCTCACTATTAACCCAATCAAGATGTAGAAAAATGTTAACATCTCTGTTCTTCCAATAGCTGTATATTTAGCTCTCACGTTAAACACGATAATCAACAATATTCCCAATCCACCAAAATGCACAAATGCGTTACCAATTTGGAATATAGTAGTATTTGCTAATTCTACTGATCTCGCGTAACATTCTGGTACTATTCCTCTGGTGAAATACGAGGTTTGATTCACGGAACCCAAGACAGAACATAAAGGTAATGCCGTTTTATTACAAATGCCGTCAAAGCTACCGAATGTCATCGCCTAGCGAAACAGTATCAATGATGAATGAGATAATGACAAAAAGAATGAGGAAAATGAATTTACCTTATTGTAGCTCTGCAGTAATAGTGTAATTTTTTTTTTTCCTTTTTCTCTTTTCTCGTAGAAATGCAGAAATCAAAACATGAAATCCGACTGAGGATATTAATAGCGAAGAAATTATTAATGCATGTAATTTGAATTTATAGCTAAAGGTATTTATTTTACTCAAAAGATTCCAATAAGACTCAAGCAAGTCATAATGGAAGCTTCCAAGGGACTAGAATTGAATAATTTCATGCGAAACATAAATCATTACTATGTACAATAGATCATTTGGAATTAAACTTGGTAATAGGGTGGTGGCGGAGCTTCAAACAATCCTTGTTGGCCACTTAAACCAACCATTGAATGATCCGGAATATCTTGCTCCTTGTCAAGTTTTATTTGCTGCTTCAAAGCATTTGAGGTCAACTCGTCATTTTTCTTGCTATTAATTTTGTTGATATCGATATAATTAATAGACTTTTTGTTTCTAATTTCCTTTTCCTTTTCATTTCTAATAGGGGACGTTGATATATGATTAGAATTCGAAAAGTTGAAATAGTTATTACCCAAACCAAGGCTACTCAACAAAGATGAATTTGTAGAAGGGCTATTCATCTGATTGGGATGAAAATAAGAGTGTGATTCAATTGGTCTCAAAGCGTGCGAAGGGAAATCAGTAGATACCCTGATAGGCTTGGGCTGTTTCAAATGCGAAAAATTGGGAGCTTCTTTTTGAGGGGTTTGCAAGGATTCCGAATCTTCAATCAAAGTAGAAGCATCCGAAGCTATGTCTGCTCCTAAGAACACACTTTGATCTGAGGAGTCTTCTAGATTCGTATCATTCTCACTCGTGGCCTTCTTTTTAGAATGCAACTTAATTTTTCTTCTTTTAGGTTTCATAGAAGCATTGTTACCAGACTTATAATAATTTGTAGCCTGGGTGGAAACAATATCCCTTAAAATATTATTGACCTGAACAGGATCATTTTTGGTGAGATATTCAATAGGAATACCATTTGAATTGTTATATGAAGCCAAATTAGCACCCCTTAAGTTCAAGCTCGATTTCAAAGAGTCTGCTAAGTTTGGTAAATTTTTATGGAATTTATCCAAATGGGTTCTCTGAACAATATTTTTGAATTTTGAAATATCCAACTTCAATGTTTCTCTTGATACATACAAATTCAAGTTCTTTTGAAGGTTCTCGGATGAATAAGTAACATTTGGATCAAACGTCGTAGCTTCAGAAGTGCGAGATGACCGAGGATTTAAGTTGAGCAAATCATTACGGTTGACTGACGTATACTTCAAGCTCAATTGATGTAGTATTGTTGGCAATGTCTCTCTGAACAAATCACGAATTTGACTCTCGATTTGATTCTGCAAAAAATTTGCCAATACTTGGACCGTATCAAAGGTTGAGGAGACTTTGATAGAATCTAGTGGATCATTTCTAAAGACTAACGTTAAGCCTTTTGATTCTGAAAAGACAATTATGCCTATCCCATTTATTTTGATGTCACTTAATTTGAGGTCTAAAGGAAGAGCAAACGCATCATCTGCCATCAAGAAGTTTGGTGTTATGAACAGCTCCCAGTCATTATTCACTTCTCTTTCTAGCGAATTTGAGCTGTAAATCTTTAAAGGATTTGCTTGTACCTTAGTATGCAATGTCAAATGGAAGTCCCCACTATAAGTAAGTTTGAAAATCCCTCTAAATCTGTCTTTGTCTAACTCTCCGATTTCTAATATTTCAAAATTTGGAGCCACCTTTCCAAAATTCAAGTCTTTAATCTGAATGCCAGAGGCCAAAATTGGTGGCCTTTTTCCTGAATTTAAGGCATCCGTCAATAGCTCCTTTGTCCAGTTCGTTAAAGAGTCGGTTTCAAGACTATCCCAGTTAACTTTGAAAGACATCCTGCAATATTGTATTCTCACTACAACTCCATAAATTTATCTATGACAATTCTTTTCGAGACTTAGAAGTTTGTTATTTTGTTATGATCTAGAAATTGCCGTTTCTACGTAAACACAAGTTTAAAGCGCCCAATGATCACTTTTCTTGTCTTGTTTCACCTGCTAGGTCTAGTTTTCTCTTATCTAAGACGGAGTTCAGTAAACGCGTGTTTATGAATTAAAATCTATTATGTTCAAGCTTTATCCCTCTAGTTGTTGTAGGTATATGTGAAAGGGCAATGGGAAAAAAAAAAAGTCTTACACAAGGAGAATGTCGTGTGAGTCTAATTAACAAACTCCGGGTTTAAGTGTTAAAAAACATGACACCGGATTTGTGTCTGTTTACAATTTATCCTATAAGGAAGAGGTAATGGTTAAGACCCTTGAAATCCTTGAAAATATGGGACGTTAAGTAGCTAAGTAGTCACAAGCATAGCAACGTTCAGATATGATCAGGGTTTAAGAATTTCGTGAAATTGAATCTAAATACGGAATATGATGCGAACATTATATTAACTACTTGATCAAACAAGTATATCAAATTTCATGTTCAATGTCAAAGATGTAGCATTTGTAGATATGTTGAACTCGTTCAAGTGAGATCCCCTGGATCATTAGTACTCGACTGCGATGGTTCTGCTCTATCATTAGTCTTAATGCTGACAGCGTACGAACTGTTCGCTGCAGTCGGTTGCGTTGATAGCCTCTCCATTATACTGGCAGGGGGAATTCCAGCAGTGCTGCAATTTGTGTCAATGCTTCTTCTTCTTATTCTTCTCGAGGAACTCGCCAATGTGACTATAGATTCACTATCTCGCTCTTGGTATCCTATTGTGTTGGGCGTAGGTGTAAAAGCTGTTGCTGTAGTATGTACACTTGGAGCAAGAGATGTCTCTGCGGTAGATGCAACCCCTGATGTCTGATCCTGATTATTATCACTGAGTATTGATGGAGATTGCGTAGACTGTACAGATACGATCGATTTCAATGGTGTCGTACTGATGTTATCTCCATTAGAGAAATCACTTGTACTACGTTTATCTGGGTTTGAGTCACACTCATACGAAGACTCACGACTTCTTAGTGAATACGATCGACGAGCCCCAGTGCCGCTATGATTGTCATCTGATAGCTCTGGTTTCAGTACTTTATTCCTCAGTATATTGGACAGTCGATGAGGTACAGCAGCATTCTCTTGATACTGTCTTACTATTGGCGATCCATCTCCTCCAATATCTCCTCCTTGTTGTCTAGTTTGGCCTTGCATCAAGCGCCTAACCCATCCAAACCTTCCTCTGGCATTGCGTTTATCAGGTCCACCTAAATGGTCTTTCTTTGTTAGTAAATCATCGTTTGACGCTTGGTCCAGTATAAGAAATGATTATACTTACTTGACTCATGAGTATGTGACATACTATTATTCTTTCCGATATGCTTTCTTCTATAGTGGCAGTTCAAGCCTAATAGAGACTATAATATGTACCAATGCAGAGATACCTGGGAACTTTAAAAGCTTCAGAAATGTAGGCAATACAAAGTATATTTTGCAAATGATGAAATAAGCTATTAGGATTTCTGTCTTTTGGCCTCTTGTCTTCTTGCCCCTTTAAAACTCTTTCTCGCTATCTGTTAGATACAATCAGTAAAGCCAGAAAATAAAAAAGAGAAAGTAAATCAAGTGCGCAAAGTCGAAATCGAACCGGGGGCAAACGTTGAAACTCACTCTTTGACTATTTAAGCTTTTAAAAAGAAAAAAATACTCCGAGACGGGGAATTGAACCCCGGTCTACCATGCGACAAACGGTAATTCTAGCCACTAAACTATCTCGGATGATTCTCGCTTAAAATTTGCTACACATGCTTGTTGTCACAGCAGATAATGCTCAAATCCTAAAAGAGGGGATGTGAGAAAACGAGGCGCAAAATATTTTTTTCTTCTTTAGTCTATTAATATCATTATCTAAAACAAGTAATGACAGCTTCCACATATATGTGCTACCTTCTAAGATCTAGTCACTGTGACCTCATCTGATTTCCTTTCCACTTGTTTAGTTTTGTTTCCTTGCCTTCTTTCTTCCTTCCTCGTCAAATCCTTTTCAAGCCCGCCGAAAAGTCTTTCATCTGATAGACTTCCAGCACGCTCAAGACTCAAAGAATAGTATAATTTAAGTAATCCTTTATTCTATAAAGATATGTACTCCTATGGTAGTCAAGATCATTTTTTAAATAAAAAAGGGACCAAACATACTATTTTACAGGGTTATATAAATCCAAAATGATGGTATTAATGTCTTAGTCTGTGGTAATAATCGCTATGCATTCTTAGATCAAGGCCGCAAGCATAAATAAGAAGCTGCCTCCGACGGGAATGAGTGAGCCTGCAGCACCAGAAGAACTTTCCGATTCACTTGCTGTACTTGAAGTCGACGCCGATGATCCGGATGAACTTTCAGATCCACTCTCAGAAGAGGAGCCCCCTGATGAGCCACCGCCGAGATCCAATCTTGTAGCCCATGGCAATTTTGAAGCAAATGATTCTAATTGATTCACGTTGATGTCGCTGATCAATGTAGTGTAAGAATCGTCCTTGTAGGTCATCACTTCCTTGGCCAAGGAAGTAAATTCAGCTGGAACGCTTGAGGCAGTCTGAACATATCCAAGGTAGTCTTTGGCATGAGCCTTAGCATCACTTACTAATTTGGTTATGAAAGCAATGTCAGAAGAATCAGCTGCGAGAGCTCCACTAGACAAGAAAATTGCACTTAAGATTGTTAATTTCATTTTTTTTCCTGCTAATTATTCTTTTCTAATGTATTTTTCATCCGATTTAGAAATATAAGATTTTGTTCTTTTCTTGTGCTTATATACTTATCACAATCCGCATACTGTCATTCTTTTACGCGTACTTCATATTGTCGCTCATGGTTTGTAAAGCCTCTGCGGAGAAATTGTCACTTACAATAATAACTGATATTACTGTTTTAGGAAATTTGATGTACAGGTACAGCCTTATGAGGCAATAATTTGCAAAAAGCAGTGCCTTAATTAATAACATTGAGTAAAATATATAAACAAATGTGGAATCACGGAATGGCATAAGATATAGATAGATAGATTAGATTTTGTTCTTACAACAAGCCTTCTCAGATGAGGATCCTGCAAAAAGAGTCGACTTGTTGAAGTTATTATTGGCTTGAGGAAGATCCAAGGCTGGATTTTTATTGAAGAAATTAACTGGTGAGAGGTGAATGTTGTGAATTTCAACGGGCATAACTGGGAAATCTTCGACTCTTGGAATATGTGTGAATCCCATGGTAGCCCAAACGACAATATCATCGTTTCTGACATTATCAGTACCGTTGGCCCATACTCCCAAACCAGTATCAGTCTGTGATTGATTAGTAAATTCACCGGCGGCAAATAACTCGTGATCTCTATACTTGGTGACCCACAACTGCTCTGTTGCATATTTAGCTCTTTTAACATTGAAGGAGTCTTTATCGCCCAAAATCGTCTGAGTTGTTGGCATGACAACCTTGTAGCCTACTGGACCCTTAGAAACAGGGTTCACGACATTTTCGTTAATGATCTTACATGAACGATTTGTGAATGGTGATTGCTCAACATGGCCCGCTTTTTCAACGTAGGATCTTTCAGTGATAAAACCAACTCCATATGGATTAAGTTTATCTCTAGGCATCTTGACGACGTCGTCGTATACCACGGTATTCTTATGGCCATCCACTGCTGGATCAATTCTGAAAGATAAGATATGCTGGTGATAAGCGGCCATTACATTCGGTCCAACAATAGTTCCCCATGGAACGGTCACATTCTCGTCAATTGGCATAGTGGACAAGATACCGGTGGCTCTCACTTCGATATCAATCAAACCATCGTTGACAAATTTGATATTCACAGCATATTCATAATTTGCAACGGTTGCGATAGTTTGAACTACAAATTCTCTTCTTCTTGCAACGACTGCATTTTCAGTTCTATAGTTCACATGCTTGTACAAGATACCATCGTCTTGCTCATGCATACAAACAGTATTTGGTAAGACAATAGGCTCGCCATTAGCGTGGATAGATAATCCATCAAGATATTTGATAACACCCAAACAATCGCAACCTAAGTGCAACAGATTACCATTTGCTCCGAATCCACAGTCACCTAAATCAAAAGCTTGTTTTCTATGATAAGGTGCTCTTGGATCACCGTAAGGAACAGTCATTTCACTCAAAGAAAGACGATAGAATACTGACCTTCCTTTGAAACTAGCGTCGTAGATAGCAAATCCTTCTCTTACACTTGAAACAACCCTGAATTCCCAACCTTGCCATTTAACCTTCGATCCATCGATGGTGAATGAAGGACCCTCCGGTTGACTCACAATTAAAGGCTTGACGTCTCTAAATTGAGTTTCTCCATTTAAATCAGGATAATATTCAACTGCTGGAACTTTATGCCATGGAAAAGTAGGTGTTGTAGTTTCATCAAATCCACCAGGCAAGAAGTCCATTCTTACGAATTTGTTTGTGAACACCTCAAACACAGGTGAAAACTTTAAAGGCAAAGAGTAGTGATTTGACTCTGTATGACCATTACCTGCCAATACATACATGAAAAACTGGACCAAACCTCTCTTTTCGTTTGGATCATCAGTAGCGTAAATCCATGGATCGTTTCTGACCGTGTATCCTTTAGGCAATTTTAATTTTTCAATTTCTGCCTTAACAATTGGATGATTATTGCAGAAGTCTTCCAATTCCATCATATCATCAGGTAAGAAAGGACCAATAACACCATGTGGTAACTGAGTCTTCGTAATGATGTGTCCAATAGAAACATTAACTAATGCCTTATTAAAGTCCACTTTGTTCGTATAGTAGTATACATATAATACTCTCAGTATGGGAGGTAACTCACTGCCGAATTTTTCCGCTTCTAAGTATTTGAGCATATCCTTCTTGGGAGGATCGCATCTATCAATCTGAACAAAATGAACATTAGCATCTGCTGGGTATGAGTCCTTTACAAGCTTAGAAGCAAGTCTGACTTCGAAGTCCTTGACGGAATCAAAAGGGTGAATAGCTGGACCCATGTTTCTTCTACAATCTATTTCTTTTCTTCTAAAGATTGTAAATTTCAGGCGACTTTCTAGTCTTTTATATGTGAGATCTTATGATAGCGCTATTGGACTCATATCGCGAATCGGTAGGACTTTCCTATAATGGAAGGTCGTCCCGGCTAAAAATTAGTTGATTATGCTACTGAGCTTTACTTTTAGAAGAGAACTTCGACTGAGTCAGCGGCATTCGAGTTACAAAAAGATGGCATGGAGAAACTAGATGCCGTGAATTATGCGAAATATTTAAATCAGCCTATGTCTAATTTGTGCAATCCTTTGACGGACCATCTACCAATTTTCCGGATCCCAAAATCTTTGAGATTATAGTTAGTAAATATAGCAGGATAAATGTAGAGCTATTACGCCATTATGCTGCTTCAAACTTTTAAAATTCTCAGCTGTTCTAGCAGATCATTATAGCGTTTATCTTGTTTTTGGAAGTTGTTCGGCAATACCGCCCAAAAGGTTCGATCTCTTAGATACCCCTTTCGTCGCCTTTAACTCTTTATAGACATACAATAATAGTATCTATTGCGCAGCGGCCTATAATCAAAAGAACCTTCTTCTACGAAGGAAGCTTTCTTACAATAATATATACAAATATATATACATTAGCCTTTTATCTTAGACCCCGTCATACCCTTTAATCTAAATTCGAAAATTATACCATAACAAAACGTAATGCTGTATTTATTCATTAATCATTAGTACCAGCAGAATATAAAGTTCAACATACTGGTACATAGTCACAATTCATCCCTCTATTTGTTATTGATCCCAGGGGATCCGACTCTTACCTTAGAATGTGGATTAACAATTTCCAAAGGCTTTTTTACCCTTGGCGTATGTATCCTAGGTGGATGGCTTGAGTCCGATGGAGGACTATTCTGTGTACTAGTTTGATGGTCTTGACCTGGAGAGAAAAAAGTTGCCGTGTAAGGGTTGAATCTCTTAATGGTTGGACTAGAACCGGAACCAGCATCAGGGATATCTGGACAAAACTCCATATCATCCTCAATATCGAACGACTTGGAGAGATAGTATCTCAATCTTGGAGCATGAAATGAATAGTTTGAACTAGAAGATTCTGGAGGAGTGACATAACTCAAATTACTGAACGTGGGAGACGTTGAGCTCATCGTGGAGTTATTTTCAACTGGAGAATATTGTTGATAATTCGTATATCCGTATGGATTCGACATCCTTTAACTAAAACCGTATTGTATATTTGACGTTGTAATAAAGAGATACACTAGACTTTATCAAAAGAATATAGAAATATAAGGAGAGTTTTTAGAATGTTGGTGCGTGTAAAAAGAAATGTTATGGTTACGTAATCCTTATCGTGCACCTATGAGGTAAGTCGAAAATGTTCCACAAGAATAATAAAAGACTGCTGAGCGAAAATATGACTCTCTGTTACTGGGGTAAACTAAAAAGGTTCATACAAAAAGTCTTCCCTATTCCACTCATCTTGCGAACGAGTTAAAAATTTTACTTCTCGAAAACCGAAGTGCTTAAATATTGACCGTCTTCTGTTAAACGTTGCCAAAGCAATTTTTTAAGACTTGTGTGGGTTCATGGGTTGAACTTCACAAGTTGTCAACATTTTGCTCTAAAAAGCGGCAAAACTTGCAAAAGTAGCTGGTTAAAGAATGGGAACGATCTGGATTTGTATAATTTTCACGCAACAAAAAAAACTTGAATTAATCCGATATAGTGTAACGGCTAGCACGGTTCGCTTTCACCGAGCAGACCCGGGTTCGACTCCCGGTATCGGAATGTTTTTTTTTGTTTTTTTGGATTCCTTATTGACGGTGGGGGCCTGGATTATTCAATTGTAGTCTAAAACTAAGAGAAGCCACATGCAAATGGACTTATGACTGTAGACTTTTTACTTTCTTTCGTATCTGTCGTTATTTGTGTAAATAAGTGTTGTCATTGCGAGCTTCCAAAATAGTTAATGATGTCACGAAGAATTGACACATTCTGTAATTTGATCTTCTAAGATATGAGAGGACCATGATTCTTTAATTTTGACAAACCAGCTCAAAAACTAGTTTTTTTTGCTATGTCAGAGAAGTACCATTCGATTACAAACTATCTGGTCAACTTTAAAAAATCCTTATGCGACTTGAAGAAAAGCTATATGCTCATCCGTTTGAAAAATGGACTACTTAGTTTATTGGTTTCCGATCCTTATTCGGACTTTTCCTCTGCATCCCTTTGTGTTTCTACTGGATCTCATCATGATCCAGAAGGCATTCAAGGTTTAGCACATCTATGTGAGCACATGTTGTTCATGGGTTCGAAGGAGTTTCCAAATCCAAGTATATTCTTTCACATCATAGAGTCGAATGGAGGAGAGACTAACGCTTATACTACTGGCGAGCAAACCAATTTTTACTTTGAAGTTAAAAATGCAACAACAGTGAATGAGCACGGCTCGTCTTTTGAAAAAGCATTAGATATTTTTGCAAGCTTTTTTATATCACCTCTATTCAGTGATTCAAGTATCTCCGATGAAGTTTCTACGGTTGACGAAGAGCACTCTTCAAACGTCACAAATACTTCGAAAATTTTTTATCACGCTCTCAGGCTTTTAGCAAACAAAAAACATCCTTTTCAAAAATTTGGAACTGGTAACTATTCATCCTTGAAGAAAGAGCCTAAACTCCGTGGTTGGAATCTCAAAAAAGCACTTATCGAATTCTTTTACACGCATTACATCGCAAATAAAATGACACTTGTTATAAAGGGACCACAATCCCTAAATCACTTACAGAAGTTGGCATATTCGTATTTCAATAGAATTCGTCTGCCGCATTTCATGGACTGCGAATTTTCGATAGTAGAGCGTTCTTTCCAACAGCGATACTTCAAAGAGCCAATATATAGGACTGAAGAATTGGGCAAACTATTAATAATTCAAAACGATACAAACCTGCTCTTAAGAATCACCTTTCCAGTGCAATTTCTGAACGAAATTTCTGATTTCGACTTTTTTTCCAATATGTGGTGCAATGTTATAGGAGACGAAAATAAAGGAACTTTTTGCGACTTTGCTATTCGCACTGAAAGATTAGCAAGCTCTATTTACGTACATAAACAGAGCTTGACATATAACTGCTCAGTCTTAAACATAGATATTACATTACTTAAACGTGGCGAAAAAAAAGTTGATGTCTTAATTGAGTCACTTTTTAAATATATATCTCACATTGTTTTTGATTCAGATTTTGATAGTATTTTGCAACTTCTCAACTATTTTGCAACTATTGATCGATTAAATTATTACTACAAAAAAGCATATAATTCAGCATCTTTAGAAACCTCTGCTATAGCAGAAAACATGCAACGTAATTTATTGACTTTACTACCAATCAACATCCTTAAGGGTTATAGGAATTTGGGTGATGATGACAAATACTACAAAGGCGATTTATGTCATGAAACCAAAGTCTGGTGGATGGAAAAAACACAAGAGTTTTTGAAGTTATCACGAAGTATTTTATCGTGGAAGAACTTCAACTTAATTATAATCAACCCAAATCCTCTAGTATTTAGGAACTTGGTGACACGCGCTGGAATTTTGATCGAAGAACCATACTTTAGTTTTAAATACAGCGTGAGTGATCTAGATGTTGGTTCATTTCAAAAACCGTTATCGAAGAAAACAAAATTTGAATTGCCAGGGATCAGCAAGTTCTTAAAATTCACCCAGATTGGCCTAGATATTATGACTGAAACGTTATCGAAAGGCGACTTTGGATTTCCTACAGGAATTTGCCATAGCGAAAGCCCTTGTTTAGTTGACTTCTCTCCAAGACATGAAGTCTGGCATAAAAATGTTGCCCATGATGCTTTTGACTTTCAAATATCAACATCATTTTTAATTCAGTTTTTTGATAATAATTCAGTTGACATTCATGTTGGATTAGAATTAATCAGCATTTATATTGGAACGACTCTAAAGCAGAGTTTTTACCTGGAAGAATTAATAGGATTCTCATGGGCCATATATCCTGCTAGAAATGGCTCTCCTGGTCTCACTTTCAACTTCTCAGGTATAAGGAGCTGTTATGAGACAGCATTTGAGAGTTTTTTAAAAGAAATTAAAAGTTTGTTGATGGATGTCAAAAATTGGACTAATCGGAACTTCATGGACGCAAGAGTTACCTTACGGAAGGAATACGAGCTTCTTCAAAAAGAGTCAGGTATCACAAAAAGTATAATTGGGCTTACAAATGTACTTGAAGAGAACTCCTGGTCTTTAATAGAGATCCTAGAAGCACTTGAATTACTTGAATTAAAAGATTTATCAAAAATTGGTTATTCTCTCTTGAGAGAAAATAATTATACTAAAATTTTAGCGCACGGAAATCATGAGCTATATTCAGTTTTAAAGAGCATAGGCGAGTTTACTGGATATCGCAATATTTCAACGATGCCTATCACATGTATGTGGGCATCATCTTATCTTCTCCATAAAGGAATAAACTATTTGATAGAGGAAAACAATATGCAGGATAACATGGATACTGTTCATTATTATGTCCAGCTCGGTTGTCGGGAAGATAGCTTTGTCAGAACACTAGGAAAGCTCATATCTTATTGGTTGTCAATTAGATCTGAGATAGTTTTGAGAACTCAAAAGCACATAGCTTATTCAATTCAGAGTGGCCTTCGATTGAACAGATCTACTGTGGGTATTTACATAATAATTCTGACTGCTAATGTTGATCTCGAAGATATCACAAGGCATATAGAGTCCCTATTTCTGCGATGGGAAGAAGATTTGAAGAAATTGCAATCTAATGACTTTCAGGAAGATGTCGTGGTTCCCTTCTTAAATGGTTATAACGATAAAACAGTAAAGACAGATACAATTAACCTTCTGTTTAGTGCGGAACCTCTCAGCAAGAGTTCAAATTTCGCAGTCGATTCTCAACACAACACACATCAGAGCGACTGGGAAAAAATAGTCAACAACATATATCGATTTTCTGGTCCAGTTGGGGAGGATGAGATAGATATTTCTCTTTTGAAAAGCTTGACCTTATCTTCATTTTTAACGTTCTTTCATCAAAGACTATCATTCATTTCAAGTCTGAGAACTTCTCTTACTATTGTAATACCGAAGCGGAAACTGTCAAATTTAATCATCAATACTGGGGCTCAGACACATTCCTCTAAAAGTTTCTCATCTTTTGAAAAGCGATCCAAGACCGAATCCCATATGAGGTTAAAAATTTCGTCCGTAAAAGAAATTGGGAAACAATTTGGCCTTAGGAGGCAGAAACCAACGTCAGAAAAACTTAACAGTTACAAGAAAAGTCAATGGGGAAAAGATTTTCTTGAGCCAACAACTCATAAACCATCTTCAAATATTAAAGTCTGGGACCTCGAAAGGATACGGAGATATAGTAGTTTTACGAACAGTACTATCGATCATTCACTATACAACAAGCTTTGTGATATTTCAAGTGAGGAATCTTTGCTAAGTTAGCAATTGATTGAGCCATCCACGAGAAGATATTATCGAGACATATATTGCACAAATGAAACGTCTCTCTTCAGGTCAGTTTCTTCATGTCTCTCTTTCTTATCTCGCAGGGCTACATAGAAATGACACAAAAAAAATTAAAAAATTTATACCATGAAATGTAGTTTAGTTTGAACTTATGGATATTAAAAACAATAACGTACCTGTAGTCGTCTCCCTAGATCAAATCAGAAATGGAGTTGATTTTGAAACTCTTGACAAGGCATTTGGATCAGATTCATTAGGAATCCTTTTAGTGAATGGCTTACCAGACGAATATAAGAGGTTAAGGCTTGATGTCTTGAAAAGTGCCTCAGTTTTGGGAAACCTTCTGGCTAAAGAATTGAGTTGCTTAGAGCTGAAGGAATCTTCGTGGCTCATAGGGTGGTCTTGTGGAAAGGAGATTTTATCGAAATCGAAAGAACCTGACTTCAATAAGGGGTCCTATTACATCAACTGTGCCTTTCATACAAATCCAGATTTGGAGGGCCCACCACAGGATGTTTGTGACAAGTACACCGAATTCAAGAGTTATACTTCCCCAAACATTTGGCCATCCAAAGAAACGAATGGACTAGAGCTGTTCGAAAGTAATTGCAAAAAATTGTGTAATATGATCATTGACATTGCAGAAATTGTGGCGAAGAACTGCGATAATTACATTCAAAAGAGCAATATCGATTGTGAAAAGGGATTTCTTGAAAGAGTTGTGAAAAATTCAACCACCACAAAGGCTAGGCTATTACATTATTATCCTGTAAATAAAGGAAGTAATACTAATGATAGCTGGTGTGGAGAACATTTAGACCATTCTTGTCTTACTGGTTTAACATCTGCATTGTTTATAGATGAGTCGCAAGGGTTGACATCAAAACTTTCTTCTTCTCCTGATCCTGAAGCGGGCTTATACATTAAAAATAGAGCTAGTGAAATTGTAAAAGTTAATATTCCAAATGATTGTTTAGCTTTCCAATCAGGTTCTGCTCTTGAAGAAATATCTAAGTCTTCTTTTAAAGCAGTACCTCACTACGTGAAAGGTACATCAATGGCAAATATTGCAAGAAATACGTTAGCCGTTTTCTGTCAGCCTAATTTGGATGAGCTTGTAAACGAAAACCAAGATTTTGCTCAGTACGCTCATAGCATAATAAGAGGGAACCACTGAATTAGTCTTCATTGTAGAGTTATATTTTTAATTTTCTTTCAATTTGCATCTTCTTTTGATGTTGGCCTATGAATCGTAGCTCTGTATCCAAATTCATTTTCGAGCACACTCTGAAATCATCTCACTGTTTTGCTTAAAGAAAAGATCCAACTTTTAGTGAAAGATGGAAATTGATGACATACCAATTGTAAATGACCATGTTAGATCTCAAGACTTTCGAAGAGGTGATCATATTACTTCCGATGGAGACGTGCGGATTGAATTGAGAAAATTGGGAGAGCCTGTGACTTATTTTGGGGAGAACAATGCTGATAGAAGAGAAAGGTTATTAAAATTACTTAGAGAAAAACCACATACGGATTTTGAAGTTGCTTATATTGAAGAGAAAGATGCTGATGGACAACTGGGGCTTAGATCAGATGAGGATACAGAAGAAGAAGAAGAGGAAGATTTCTATACTCCTGGTTCAAATGAATTATTAAAAGCGAGAATAGACATCCTACATTTCTCTTTAGCCAGAGCTTCTGAAAGAATACGAAAATCAAAAGAAAAGTCAGCTAATCAGGATTTTATTAAACTTCTTAAACATAGGCGATCGATAAACCTGTCTCTACTGAATTATGAACTTTTCGGAACTCAACTGATTCCTGAGAATACACGAGCCCTTGCTGCAGTTAGATTTAGCAAGGCAGATGACTCCTACTTAGCATGTGGATCATGGGATGGTCAGATATTCATTCTTCGTAGGGAGAATTTGGCAGTTGTAGCTACGCTGGCTCCCGGTGCACATCAAGAAAAGGCGAGTGCAATAGATTGGTGTGTAACAAAAAATGTTTTAGTAAGTGGAGGAAGCGAAGGTAATATTAATCTTTGGAGAATAGAAGAAGATGACTTGCATTCAAACCTCAAGCCAATAATTTCCATAAAAGAGGCTCATGGTCATAGGATCTCCAAGTGTTTATTTCACCCTTCTGAAAATTTCATTGCTTCGACTTCTTTTGACCAAACTTGGAAATTATGGGATGTAAACAGACCCCAGGTGCCATTAATAGAACAGGAGGGTCACTCGAGAGAAGTTTTCGGTGGGTCTTTTCATCCTGATGGAAGCTTGTTTGCGTCTGGAGGTCTAGATGGTATATGCAGAGTATGGGATTTGAGGTCAGGAAGATCAATTGCAACCTTAGATAAACATGTCAAGGGAATATATAGCATAGACTGGTCACAAAATGGTCGGCACTTTGCAACCGCTAGTGGCGACTGCTCAATCAAAGTTTGGGACATAAGAAAATTGGAAAGAGGGTCCGATGAGATATTTTCTATACCATCTCATACTAACTTGGTTAGTGATGTGCGTTTTTTCTCTCAGCAAAGAAGTACCCCTTTAGCTAAAGAAGTAACCGATGAGAACGATCAATTTCCCGAGGTATTGGACGCGAATGGAACATTCCTCGTTAGCTCTTCGTACGATGGAACTGCAAAAATATGGTCAGCCGACAACTGGGTGCAAGTTAAAACATTAAAAGGTCACAGCGATAGAGTGATGAGCTGCGATGTCAGTGCTGATGGTCTGTCTATCGTCAGTTGTGGCTGGGACAGATCCCTCAAGCTTTGGACATTTTTTTAGATCTTACATATAACCTGCAAGATGTCAAACCCGAGAGAGTACATAAAGTGTAAATAGAAATGAGGTCAGAAACATCAGAATATTAATCCGTAGAAGAAGATACCTTCCATTCTGAAGTAGAAATTGTTTGTTTATAATGAACTTGCTCAAAATCTTAGATAGTACTCCGGAGCCGCCTGTCATAGACCTTCATTTAGATCTGGTCAACCAAAGCGGAGATTATCTTTTAGCCACACCAATGTATGAGTTTCAAAAAGAACTTACTGACCAGATAGTGTCTTTACACTATCCCGATATATTAAAGTACTGTGAGACGAACGACAGTAAGGAATTAATTGTGAAGTCTTTAGAAATTTGTGTCGAAAATAGTATTTTGGTTTGCACTCATCCCTATTTGTTGATTAATCATTACATGCCAAAGAATTTAACGCAGAAAGACTTGCCGCTCAAATTGGCAGAAACAAGTGGGAAGTTCAGTGTATTAAAAGATCTTATCAACGTGATTATTTACAATTCCTTCGCTGGTCAAAAAAGCATAGGAATTGTCATGAAAAATAATAGCAAAATTTTTGATCTCGTTGAGGCACTTTTATTAGGCTGCAATGGGAATAAGACCATAAAAAGATATGTAGGGAATAACCTCAAGAAAGATTCTAACAAATCAGACAAGAACGATAATGGAAGTAATAGAACTGTGATACATCTTATCCCAGGAGATGGAAATGTACAGAAAGATGCAGACACGTTGAAAAGTGCCAAATTCGACATTATCATAGTTTTCGATAGTTCCGTTGATACATCACTTCACTTCTTCCAGAAATTGAGGTCTCAAAATAGGCAAAATGAGGCTATCATAATAAGGTTGATGCCTTTAAAAACTATAGAGCATTGCCAGTGGTACTATTCTGACCAAAAACACCAAAAAGACTATCTTTACAAATTAATTTCGTCAATTGTCTGCTTGAGAGATTTCATTGGGAACCTTCCTCCAGATATATTCCCCATATATAACCAAAACTTAAATTATTTATCCAGCCGTTTTTTTGATCAGGTTTTTAGTGGGTCAGGAAACTCTGGCTTTCCTCCATGGCCTTTGCCTGATTTACAAAAAATTCCGAAGTTCAGTGCAACTGATGTCGAGCGATCCTTGCTAACAGAAGTTCATTTCCATTACACACCTTATGACTCTATTGACTTAGCAAACGATAAAGTGAAGAAGCCTTCGTTTTATGAAAGTAAGAGATTAGAACTGGATTACGTTACAAATCCATTGAAGAATGATTTCAATAAACTTACCGGCATCCACTCACCATACTCAAGTGACAGATCTCCTAAAGCCGATATAAAATCAAAGATTTTGACACATAAATTAACGATGAGATTAAACAATGCATACATCGAGTTAAGCAATGTGGAAAATGAAATAAAAATCTATGAGAAATATAATGAACCATCGAGTCAGGAGAAGGTAGGAAGGAGAGAAAGGGAGCTCAAGCAAGCATTATCGAATATAGTAAATGACGTAGATCACGCTGAATCAAGAATAGCGTTGACTGAAAAATTACTAGTCAAAAGAACAGATGAAATAGCGGACTTGAAAAAGCAACTAGAAGATACCACTGAACATTTGAAAGGCTTTATCGAGAGAAACGAAGTACGAGATCCTTCCAAAATAAAATTTATTAAAAATCAATTTGACACATGGGATCTTCAGGACAGGATAAAGAATACGTTAGATAAAATCACTTCTAAAAATGAAGAAAAAGGCTATACAAATTTAGCATATGAGAACTCTAAAACTTCCATGAGTGATTCAAAAGAACAAATCGAATCTCTTGAATCCTCAATGGACGATAAAAAGAAGAGAATAAGCTCTATTATTAATACTGAAGTCGAAGACAATGATAAATACAAGGTCCAGAAGAAAAATATGCAAAATCTTTTGAAAGAAGAACGTCTTAGAAACCAGAGCCTTTTATTAAAGCTTGATCATTCTTTCAAGTTTTTGAAGGATACTTCTCATTTAAAAAAGCGAAAAGCTAGAGGTCTAACTCCTAATAAATGATTTCAAGATTAATTTATTATAGAACGTATATGGACATGTCAGATCTTATCGAATCTAATATTACTACGTTGTTTATAGGGCTTTCTTTTCCACTTAAAAATTGAATGACGTCTTGAGATAAACAGCCACCCAAGATTGCGGCCACAGGGGAAAACTCAGCGAAAGCTTGCCTGCAAAATAGATCCAAATACTCTTCATTTATAACTGTAGAAGGAATGTTAAGTTTATCACACACATTTAAACTAATAGATTTCAATTTCGTCTTATCTAATATAAGTTCAGGATCACTAGGTCTATTAAATTCAAATAAAGAAAATATTAAAGGCAATGCAGCAGATAATCTCTTCATTTGTCTTTTGTTCAATTGACTAGGGAGTTCTCTTGAATTCATTATACTTTCCATTGGAACAAATTCATCAAATATAGTTACCAATTCCTTCTTCCCTTCCTCGATGATGTCAACACTTGTAATGGTTTTGCGCTTACTGAGTTTAGTATTTGGCTTTCTTGGTTGATTACCTGTTTCCTTTTCTGTCTTAGCGGTATTGGAAATCAAATCAGTCATAATATAGCCAAACATACCATGAATCCCAGCTACATATAGCGGTATACCTAGACTCCTAGAGCATTCATTCAATTTTATGATTTCGGCCTTTGACAACTCTGTAGCGATTATCAATTCAAATTGCTCTAAATAAGACGGATTCTCAAAAACCTCCTCTAAGAGATTTGTGTTGATTGTTAAATTAACTCTATTATTAAGCTCTTTAATCTTAGGTTCAATTATCGGCAATTTTAATTTGCCTATTATATCATCGGAATTTGGCAAGAAAAACTGGGTAGCAAAATCTTCCGCCTTTACTACAGAACCATCCAATATTTCAATTGAATTCAAACCTCCTAGAACAAGGTTCTTAATTATTTCGCTCCCAACTCCACCTAAATTAATCAATAAAACTTTGGCTGATCTCAATCTCAATTGGGTTGCCATCCCCCATAATCGAATTTGTCTATCATAGAGTGCAATCTCATCTTAAGTCGTTAGTCTTTGAACACTATGAACATATGTATCTGACTTACCTGCTGATAGTTCTTCTCTTTGCATTCCTAGTGAAACAGTTCTCCGAAAACCATTGAAATGTGATTCAAATAAATGAAAAAATATTTTATCGAGGTTTAATAATCAAAAGAATAAATCTACATATTTAATGTTTTAAAATCGCATGAATGACTTTTATTTAAATGGATCATAGTAAATCAAAATAGAGTAGTTCTAATAGATTGGAAGGTGATCAATTAAATTAGCTTGAACCTGATACAACCAAATTTTGCAAGTGGCTCATAAATACTTGCAACGAAACATCGTCCGTTAAGACAACAGCACCACCGCTTGTTGCGAAGCCATTATTGTTATATGTGGTAGAGGGGTTCAATTTTGAAAATAAGAATCTTGCTTGCGAGCCTCCTTCTTCAGTATCGATAAATCTCGGCAATGGAAATCTATCTACTAACAATTCCGCTGCTTCTTGTTTTGGTTCATCTAATAATGTTTTGAAGTTCTCATATTCGGGCTGGTTCTGATATCCAGCCTTTCTCCATTGAGCAATTGTTTTACCATGATAGATCAAAATGTGGAAAAATGTGTCTAACAATAATATTGTGTCGTCCCTGAGTGAAATTGAATCTAATAATACAGGCTCTGGTTCACCATCTAATGAGAAAGACGTCAACGTAGGTTGAATCATAATTAATGAATTATTGGTATCTTCTGTCAAGAAAACGTGTCTGTAGAAAGCAGTTTCATCCGGAGAGTTATTAAAAACTTGCAAGAATTGCGATCTTCTCAAGTAGTAAATAAATTGTGGGTATAATTGAAACTGTGGGCCAAGCCTGAAAGATTCTTGAACATCTTTCCTATAGTCGGCGAATTTCTGGCATAACCTTATTAGCATACGATCAATCCACCTCAAAACATCTGCACCATCATCTTGTTCTGCTTTAAACAATGTTACTCTTGACATCAAGACTGCTGCTGCCTCTTGATCAAATGAATTTGTTAGCGTCTGCTCGTCACTAGTTAAGAAATTAGATATAGTAGTAACCCGAATTCTATAAGTTCCAGATGAGTGTTGGTAATGGGTGATAAATTGAATGAAACTTTGGGCATTTGGTGGCAAAGGTTGAGTATTAGAAACATCAAAGAAGACAGCATAAGTATGACGAGGAGTCACAGAGCATAACCTGTATTGCGACGTACCACCAATTCCCAACTCATTTTCGGAAACGTTGGACGATTTTATATTAAGTGAGGATGCGTGTCCAATTAAACCACTGACTTTCAACTCTCTTGAAGTCTTGATGTCAAATGTGCCATTGAATCCCATTAAAAGATAACCTTCTTCATCTTTATTGAAAAGCCTTAGGAACGATTGTTTAAAAATCGAAGTCGAGAAAGCATCAGTTAACAAGATAGTACCTCCCGTTTTGCTACATAAATTTTTCATTTCCAACATTCCGATTTGATCCAAGCAACCCCCAAATACATCCACTGTATGTGAGTTTTTGACAACTTTTGTAGCTAGAGAGTCATAAAACTTGACTGCCTTTTTATAATGCTTTGCGTTGTCTTTATCAATATCACTATGGGACCTAATAGGCTCCCTTAATTTTTGACCTACTGTTAATCCTGGGTTTAACGTCCCTAATCCAGCACTGAAAAGCATGATTCTTGCACCGAATCCAGGATAGGTTAATCCTAAAAGGTTTGCTGCGACGTTCAAAGCCGATCCAGTTGACCTTAATGGCCTGTCACCATTCGCCACTGGCCAAGGGTCTCTAGTTAGCTTTTCTAAAATAGATGTCAATTGAAATTCCACATCTTCAACAGGTAAAAAGAATCTGCTTAAAGAATTTGCAAATTGGGGACGTTGACCTTGGTTAGCTAAGACTGGTTTGTTCAACATATCACTTATTTGCTTCTCGTTGTATTCTTTATCTCCTCTAAAAATATAAGATTTATTAACCTTTTCAGAACCTAAATCATGTACCTGAACCATAGTTCCAAATGTAAGTAACCCAACGAGTGCATTTGGAGGTAATAAGCTTAATGATATAACTAAAGTTTCCTTAAGAGCTTTCAAATTATCATCATCTTGGCACAAATCAACCACAAAAAAGAAAATCGGAGGGTTCTGTACTGGTCGAGCCGTTATGTATTCCATAGTTGAACTGGTAGGGTTCAACTCCACTGGTAAATTGTCCTGGCTGATTCCTTGGTAGTGAGCTGGAAGAGGATTTCTTGTACCACAAATTGAGCAGTGCCAAAAGCCATTTGGGTCGACAGAGCAGTATGGATTTAAAATACTTCTGCAGGTTGCGCTATTACAAAATGTTGGATCATAAGCAGCGATAGGTAAATCCTCTCTATATTTCAATGGTGTGTAGAGAGCTCCAGTTGGCACAACAATCTTGCCTGCTTCAATCTTCGTCGAAGGAAAAGAATTCCAAGCGAAACGCACACCGTTAATGTCTTCAGCCTCTTCGAAATCCATTTCTTTAGGTCAATGCTGCCAAGTCAGATGCAATTCGTTGCCTGCGAAAAATTACGTCTGTTTGTTTGGATTGAGAGGACAAGTCAGAGAAATCAAAATCGAGATCGAGAATTTAAAATTTAAGTATTTCACAATCACGTGATCAAAATTAAATTTCATCAGAGCGTGCCTTAGTACGGCGTAGGCGTATGGCCAGGTGACTAGCATTTCGATCCCCCGCCCCGCATCAGCCTTAGTGGTTCGAACCTCACATCGGAATAAGTCACACACAGATTAATAGTGGCCCAATGCCAAATACTACTTAAGTGAGGTTAGCTTATAGTTTCAGCTATCATGATAGTTGAGGCATCTCAGTCTACCTATCTCAGACCTGAAACAATGTAATCTGGGGTTATTTTCTCCATATATTTTTACAGTTTCGGACTTAAATAGGTGATGTTTAAAGCCGGTGCGTTATATTTGAACCTTGTAGGTACTAAGATGCATCTTTAAAAGCAATAGCGGGCTCTCTTAGTTATAGAGTCTTCTATTCTACAAATATTGATTCAACTAGGGCTAACTTTTCATGACATTTTCCAGCAACACACAGCGTTAAAGATACATGATGATGTCAGAGAGGGCATGGTCGTGCTCACTTGTGATTGTTGACTTAACCCCGCGCCTTAGCAGAAATTTAAAAATCCTAGCTATGGCTCATAAGGGCTGTAACAATTTTATTTCGAAAACGATACAGCAAGTCTTGATACTGCAAGATGGAGGTTGAAACACTATCTAATTGCAATATTGGAATGATTGGTACAGGGCCGCCAGGTGCTAATGGAGATATGACTTCAGAAGTTCAAGATCGGCTTACAAACGAAGGTTTATCAAGTGCACCATCGACAGATTTAAAAGAAGACATGTTATTATTGAAAGAAAGGGAAAGAAAGTTTTCATCTGTAGGTGCTCAAAAGCCTCAGGGATCAAATAAGAAGACAGACATGAAAATATTGGCGGATGGTAAAGTAATGAAAGTACAGAGGGCAAGACAAAGAAAAATTTTGAGTTGCGTTTATTGTCATTCGAAGAAGATTAAATGTTCACGAGTACGCCCTATGTGTAATAACTGTGATAAGCTAGGTATTGATTGCAAGTACTTCATAAACGAAAGGGTTAGTAGAGGGGGTAAAAAGTCTTCGAAACTTGAAGGCAGCGATGAAAAGGAAGAGATTTCTGATATGAAGAGAGGCTCCACTTCGTCAGGATCTCCTGGATTAAGCTTCGATCATGGTAATGGTAGTTCTGATTCTGATAATATGGACAAGTCTCCTATGTCTCAGTTAACTACAAGTGCTAGTGAAGTTTCAGAACTTACCAAGGCTTCGACTGTCCCTGAGCTTTCTCTCAACTATTTGAATTTAAATTTGGAGGGGTTTCCTCATAACTATAGCTCCAAATCTACAAATTCAAATGGATATTCGAACAACAATCAATCATCAGGAATATCCAACAGTGTATTACAGACACCCATCTTAAACAATACGACAAACAATATGTCGAACAAATTTTTTAATGTTGCCAATTCTAATGCATCACAGCCTGCTGGAGCTGTGAATGCAGAGGAACAGTTAAGTTTTAATCTTAACTCGTTCAATTTTCCAAATAACAACAATTCTGTAATTAATTCTCCTGAGCAACAATCATCCAATCATCAACTTAACGTTGCTTCATTATTTGCTAAATCTCCAAATTACATTGAAAATTCTCATGTCCCTCCAACCAACAGAAGCGGCGACACAAATGCTCACAACGAGTCGTCTCCATTGACTCAATCAAAGGCTCCTTCAAATCCTGGTTTGCACAGCTCTTTAAATGCTTATTCTTCAAACCCTGCCACAACTACTAATTATTTGTACGGTACGAACACATACTATGACAATGAAAATTTGCTTGATGATTTGCTTAAGCATATACCTTCTAAGGAAAGATCATACGAATTGTTGAATCGGTATATCAATTCAGTTCATATTCTTTTACCAATCATGATTAACTTATTTGATTTCATCAAAATTCATGACAAATATTGGGAGCTAGCCTCAAACAACTTCAATTCTTCTGAAACTGCGTCAAATTCAAGCTCAAATGGAAGTCCCTCTGGTGATTCACCGGATTTTGATCTTTTGCAATTTTACACTTTATATTTCCCGCTATTATATGCTTCAACTATATCTGAATTCGAGGAATACGATAATCTACTTCTAAACCAGGATATCAATAAATATTTGAAATCGTTCAACATGATTTGCCAATACTATAACTATCCACATGGTTTGAAGACGATACCACTTTTGTTAGGTAATGTCATCATTCAATCAACGTCCCCAAATCCTTCTACCATGGAGATGTCACAAATTATCAGATATGCAAAGTTTCTTCAACTACACAAGGACCCTATTATAACTTTAAGAATCAACGATTGGGAAGTTGTTAAGTTCAGAAGATTATTATGGTGGATCATATTTGGGTTAGACGCTTTGTCTAGTCACAATTTTTGCCTACCGCCAGTTTGTAGATTCGATGATTTTAATGTCTTGATGCCAGATGAAGAAGAACCAGTTTTCAATGAAAATGGTGTCGTTGTTGATAAAAAATTAAATGCAGCTGTTTTATCTCTTTGCATAAAGTTCAGATATGACAGAATTCTAAGCGAACTTGTATACGAGTTGCATAATGGATTATCTGCCAACATTACTAAATCGAAAAAGGAAGAAATCAAACAAATGATACTTGATCTATTTGGTGATACTAATAAGGCGATGAATAAAATGACCGCCTTTTACAAGGCGAATCCTCCAGCCACTGTACATGAAATGAATGTGGTTAATTTCATTAAAAATCATTCCTGGAGTTTTGTTGACAGAGCATTAATGTTGTTGCATAAGAAAATTTTGCTCACTGATAATAACAAAAATGAACAAAGATATGAATTCAATTTGATTGAAAACAGAGGTGGTGCTTTGTCATTTAGTAAGTTCGAAGATACTTTTGGACGCTGCCCAGAGGCAAATATCGTCGTTAATTTCAACAATTCTTCTATTGCGCAACTAAAGTTCAATCAATTTGGAACCTTTTCTTATGATAACCTACATAATAATTTGATTCCTTCGATTCTTCACAATCTCAATGATTTCTTGAAATATAATGATTTCATAAAATATGGAAAATTTAATTGGTATATTAAAAGAACGATACCAATTGATTCGATTATTTTGTTGTTTATTATCATTTGTGTTAAGTTTAAATATGAATTCATGTCCTTGAATGAATTGGTAATTTACGTGAACCTTATAAACAAGGGTTTATACATCTTGAATCGTAAATGGTTCAAGAATGAAAAATACAAAAGAATGTTGTCATTAACGAATCTCACTTGGGAGTATATTTTGAAGAAGTACAACGTGGTGTCACTAATTAGCTCATATAATGGGTCAATTGAGAGCAAGAATAAGCCCGAGTTCTTCGATTACCAAGTTACAGGATATATGAACATGAGCGAGCTTTTCAGTATAATGAATGTTCCTCAACCTGTTTTTCAAGACAATCGCAAGATTGAATTCAAAACGTCCAGATCTTCTTCCGATGTTCTACAAAAACCGAAGGATGGTCCTTCCGCTGCGGAGCTAGAAAAATCCTCATTCTTTCCTAATACAATGATCCAATCCTATGCTAGTGACTCGACCGACTCAACCAGTGAGTTATCGCAATTGAACGAAAAAATTTACTACGACTTGAGAAATAATTTTGTTGATATAAACGACTACTGTGCTTTCTATTCTTCATTAGAAAATATCTTGCATGAACTAATGGACTATATCCACAAAGATTGAGAGTGTATTTTTGTATAGTTATTGTACGATAAAAAGTTTTGATGAGTATTACTATAAGATATGTCATAGTATATGTCTTTGATACTTAAAGAATCTGTAAGAACATTAAAACTGAATATAGCTTGGAATTGAATGTAACCACCATACTTTTATTAGCCGTGCATCTTTCTTTACCCTTGGCGTCGAACATGCGCTTTGAGTCAGTGATAAGTACACTTTGATTTAGCGATAAGTGCTAGTCCGCGACTAATAGAAGTTCCACCCGTAATAGTTTTTAACCGACCATCAATCCCGGGAAGTTAGAGTGGGTAGGCAACCCATTCTAAACGAATCTCCGATTGTTTCCGGGAACACAACAACTTTACTAAGGAGCAGCTGCGACATTTTTAAGTTGAAACCGAAACTCCGGTCATTCCGTCCGCTTTATATTACACAAAATCGCTTTCATCTAAAGGGACTGAAGCTGGTGACTGGAGCCAACGGGAGAAGAGCAAATCATAATTTATTCTTTCACCGAGTATAGAAACTTAAAGAGTTCAAACATATATTCAATAGCTTTGAATTATTTATACTAAACAGTACCAGAGAATGTTGTCTAGAAACATAAAGACATCGTTGAAGCATTTGCCAGCAATTGCTAAGAAACCAAGTACATTTACTGCCTTGAAAGCAAGTACCGTTGTTTCCACCAGATCTATACACTTGGGAAGCTCTCAGGTAGTGAGGAGAAGCAACATTAGTCCTATTAACAATGTAATGTGCTTCAAGCGTTATGCTTCGCAGACAGTGAAAGTACCAGAGATGGCAGAGTCTATCACTGAAGGTACTTTAGCTTCTTATACTAAGAAGGTGGGAGACTTTGTTAATCAAGATGAAACCATTGCCACTATCGAAACTGATAAGATTGACGTGGAAGTAAATGCGCCATGCTCGGGAACAATTACTGAACTTTTAGTAGAACCTGAAGAAACTGTTGAAGTGGGACAGGACTTGGTGAAGATTGAAGAGGGAGAAGCTCCAGCTGGAGGAGCCAAGGAGGAACCAAAGGAAGAAGCCAAGGAGGAGCCAAAGGAAGAAACTTCCGAGCCAGCTAAAAAAGAGCCTTCAGAGCCCAAAAAGGAAGCACCACCACCTCCTAAGAAGGAAACACCACCTCCACCTAAGAAAGAATCTGCCCCTAAGAAGGAACAGTCAAAATCTGAACCTGCTACTTTCACTAGCTTCTCAAGGAATGAAGAGAGAGTTAAGATGAACAGAATGAGATTGAGAATCGCTCAACGTCTTAAGGAATCACAGAATACTGCTGCTTCGTTAACTACTTTCAACGAGGTTGATATGTCCAACTTGATGGATATGAGAAAATTGTACAAGGACGAATTCTTGGAAAAGACTGGCATCAAGTTAGGGTTCATGGGTGCATTTGCTAAGGCTTCTACTTTAGCGATGAAAGACTTTCCAGCTGTTAATGCAGCCATTGAAAACAACGACACATTAGTTTTCAGAGATTACACTGACGTATCAGTTGCAGTAGCCACTCCAAAGGGTTTGGTTACCCCTGTTGTTAGAAATGCCGAATCGTTGTCAATTTTGGGCATTGAGCATGAAATCGCATCCTTGGGTAAGAAGGCAAGAGATGGTAAGTTGACATTAGAAGACATGGCTGGTGGCACTTTCACTATTTCTAACGGTGGAGTTTTTGGTTCTTTGTATGGTACCCCTATTATTAACTTACCACAGACAGCAGTGTTGGGTTTGCATGGTGTTAAAGAGAGACCAGTGACTGTAAAGGGACAAATTGTTTCAAGACCAATGATGTATTTGGCCTTGACATACGACCACAGAGTCTTAGATGGTCGTGAGGCGGTGATCTTCTTGAGAACTGTCAAGGAATTGATTGAAGACCCAAGAAAGATGTTATTAATGCAATAATTAAGTGAAACATGGTAGAGTGAGTGCATTAGAAGTATGTAATTCGGTGATGCTTTTCACTACTACTAGTTTATCTAAGAGTACATACAAGCACAAAAGTCTATAGATATAGGTTAGATAACATTATTGGTATTGCCCTTTTTACGTGTGAACCTGGGCTTGTTTTTATAACCCTTATATATCATTACATGTGAATTTTTTTTAGAATGGCTTGTATAATTCGCATCGTTCGATAACAAGGCATTAACTGGAGTTATTGTCAAATATTTCTAATAATATGTCCTGTATATATTCACCATAAAAGTTTCCTCTTGAAATATGCAACTAAATTGATGTTGTTTACATATTACTCCTTTAGGCAAAATACACTCAAAGATTCAAATATGATTTCAACTATTGCTTATGTTAAGATTTCTTTCAAGTATTGACTACGCCCTGAATAAAAGCCTTGAGTTACTTTTCTTCTAAATCATCACTTTTAAGTCTTGTTACGTATTAAGTAAAATATAAAAGCTTCATTATCAAATCGGAGAGCAGACACTCGGTGCCACTTCAAAAACAAATATTGCAGCTGCTTTACTTTTCGGATTAGCACACCAATAGAAGTTACTCCAAGTGAATATGGAGCAGTACGGAGAATGGGATGAAGTCTCAGGGGCAGCCAAGGTACTTCCTCTACCACAAGAAGAGTTTGATCAATACTTTGCACAATATAACGAAGTCGACAATTTGTTCAACGAAACATTAAATGGTTTGCAAGACCTTGATGTTCCTTCAGGCTTTGCTGGCCAAGAAACTAAACCATTAAGGCTGCTGGTACACCAAAGGGGTCACAGTAGAAAAATAAGTGGTACTGCAATATTCGGATACGCCGAACATACCAGAGAATTGTCTGTAAATGGGTTAACCAATGACTTTTATAAAAATGGAAAACCTTCATTAGATTTGGGAAAATCAATCTCACCTGGTCAGCTTCTAAAAAATTTGGGTAACTCTTCTATCCAAACCAATAATATTGCTACTAAAGAAGAACTAGTTGTACCACCACCGATTCTTTTGAATGAAGAAGATGAAAATGAACAACAAGGCTCTTCTTCAAGTAATACAGCAAAGCAGCAAGATAAAGATTATATTGTGACCAATATGTGTCCCAAGTCCTACAAATTTCCTCCATCTCCTTCCCCTACAAGATATAATGGAAACGAATTTAGGATGAGCAATGATAATGAAACAAATTTCACTCCAGTGAACAGCTATTCAGCAAAATATTTACAAAATTTAAGATATAGTGATACTAAGCGAGCAGGGATTGATTACGTGGATGATATTACCCCTTTGCTTGAAAATTCAACTAACGAACATGCAATTAGGACCAACCATCAAGATAATATCACTGGCTTTCAACAAGACGAACTACTTTCGATGCTGTCAACACCATTTTCAAAACAGGTATACAAGTATGTCTCAATCCCGGTTCAGGAACCAGATGCTCAGAAGAAAAATATTATGAATAATAATTTTCAACAAGAGTTCAAAAATGAAGCAACAATTTTACCACCTCCATCACCACCGACATTGTCTAACGGTTCACCAGAATGGCAATCATCACCAGAACCCCAGTCCCCTTCACCAGTGAGGACTTCCCTAGGGAAGTTCTCATCTCCTGATAAGGGTCTAGCAAATCATAAACCTTCATTTTACAAATTACAGTTCTTTTCAGATCCAGATTCGTCCAATGCTGGCATAAACGACCTTGACTATCAGATACAATCCTCACCTGTTTATGAAGCTTCCTCTTTAAACTCATCTCCGATAAAGTACTATGATAAAGATTCTAAAGAAATGTTCAATGATGACGATTTAGTTGATGCAAATGCTACCATTACGCAACTAACACCACTTAAAAACAGGTTTCCGAACACTCCATCTAAAAATAATGTTACTTTGGAATGGAGTCCGATAATTTCACCCAACGAAAAGGCATCGAAAGATGTCAAAAAGCATATCCAACAAACTACCTTAAGAAGAAAAGTCAAGAAGACGTCTTTATTGCCTCCTGGGGAGTTAGATAGATTTTGGGAGGGTCCTGATGAGAATAAGGTTTTCACTTGCACCTACAGAAACTGCGGAAAGAAGTTCACAAGAAGGTATAACGTCCGGTCTCATATACAAACCCATTTGAGTGATAGACCTTTTGCTTGTTCTTACTGTCCTAAGAAATTCGTGAGACAGCATGATTTGAATAGACATGTCAAAGGTCACCTTGATGCTCGTTATTGTAAATGCCCATGCGGAAAGGAGTTCGCAAGACTTGACGCAATGAAAAAACATAGAGAAAGAAATATATGCATTGGGGGGATCGCAAGTAACACTAATAACTATGTCACAAAACCTCAAAAGAAAGGTAAACATGAAACCCTTGATAGTATCAAGTGCGAGAAATTGAACGAGGAACTATCGTTCCCAGAGAAACTAAATCCTTTCTTAAGTGAAACATAGCGAGTCATAAATTGATCCCCAACTTGTTGCATACCTTCATTTCTTTTCATTTAAGCTACTTAATTTGTTATTTTATTTCATTATTGTTTTATCCAGTTGTTCATGTCTAGGGTTTGAATTTCATTAGTCAAATGCGGTTAATATCGTTTATATAAAATATGTATTACAATCTACGATAAAGTAAGATCGATAGATTATACGAATGTAATCTTAAATTCGAAGTGATAGGTGCATCCTAGAACAACATGATAACGTCACGCGTTCATTGCTTATGAACCTGCCAACTCGTTCATTGCATCTTCCTCTTGCTTGTGAACTTTCAAATGTTGATTTAAGTTGTCCAGTCTGCTAAACTTCTTATGACAAATCGAACAATCATAAGGCTTTTCAAATGTATGCAACGATCTAAAGTGCCTTTTTAAGTGCTCTTGTCTTTTAAATCTTCTTGAGCAATAGTTGCATAAATATATCTTTGACAAATCAACCAAATCAGCTTCTTTATTTTCTTTACGCCCCCTAGTCCTGTTTTTGGAATTTATGATGCTGGTGGGAAATATTTGGGTGTTAGGAGGCAAATCTAAAGACTTTAAATCTACTTCTACTTCGACTCCTTTTGTTATTATCGTCGCCACATTTGGATTCGCTACCGCATTTTTCTTCTTAGGCATAAGTTTGGAACCAAGCTTTCGCTTAGATGCCGCGGTGAGTATTGATTGTTGGTGATCCAGTCCAGGATCTTTTGCATTACCAGATTCAGATCCATTTGAGGATAAATCAAAGTCATCACGGTTGTTTTCATATCCCAATAATGAACTATTGGATGAAGAATTTACCGACTTCTCGTAGTCTTTATTAGTCATTTCCACCTGACTCAGAGATTTTTCGAAACTTGAATTCAAGAATGTCGAACTCTCACTTTGACTGCTAAACTCAGGTTGCAGGTCGCCTTTTGATTTTGATTTTGATTTTATATAATTAGCAGGCTTGACGATGTTCTTGCGCTTTCCCACCTTTTCGAACAATGCTGCATAATCAGGCTCCTTCAGAGCCGTTTGGTTGTAATTAGCTGATCCACTCAGTACGCTGGGGTCTAAAGCTGTTACTGCAACATTATGAGAAGTAAAGCTTGACGAGGGTGTTTGACTAATTGAAACTTGACCCGCTGAACCTGAACTATAGTTACTCTCGTGCTCACCCGTTTTGAAAAGATTGTCATCGTTTCTAAAAAAATCGCTTCCTTCCACAGGCTCGCTTTTTACTGGGCCCTTGAATCTAGTAAATAAGCTACGCTTAGTTCTTCTTGCTTTTTTCGGTACATTATTATTATCAATTAGTTCGGAATCTTCTTCTCTCGTTGGACTCGTTATCATTAAATCTGTTTCGGTCCCATCCGGCTCATAAGTGTTTTCGACGTCATCAGTGTTCTCATTTACATCTTCTGGAGGTAATGAAGAAATATTTGAGCTCTTAAATATACTTCGAATTATGTGCTTTGATTGTTGTGGTTGTCTCTCTGGTGCAAACTGTCGGGAATTCGATGGCGTGGAAGAGGGGGAGCCTACTGGCGCACGAGAAGACCTATTGCTATTCCTATCTCCCATGAAAGGAATATAGTTACTTATTGAATTTGTAAAACTTGAATACCTACCCCCGTCTGTTTGATTTCTCTGGTGTATTGATGATTGCTGACTATCAATTGAATTTCTATTCTTGCCATAAAGATCAAACGAGGGTCTGTGTGATTGTGATGGAGGCTGATCCATTGAATTCCGTGTGAAGTATTGTTGAGCAGAAAAGAACGATGGTTGATTTGAATGAACGGAACTCACGGAGGGTGTCATAGAAGTAGTAGTTGTCAAAGGGGATAGCTCATTATAAAAGTTATTGCTAATGCTCAAACTATGATTCGATAATGAGTTGGGGTTTTGGATGGCACTATGGCTATCTATTGATGCATTTCTCAAATGATTGTTGAGTTCGCCATTTTGTGGCAAGAAGCTCACACCTGAGTCTGATCTTCCTCTATTATTAATCATGTTTATTTCTGATGGTTCAACATTAGAACCAAAATTTGGTGAAGGACCCTGGTAAGAAGCCAACGGCCCATAATTATTATTACTATTGACATATTCATCTTCAAACTTGACGTCTGTCTCCAACATAGAGTCAGGAAAAAAATCCAGCTGTAAAGTAAGGGGGGTACCACCATCAAGCTCCATGCTATCCTGATTCATTTTGAATGCACCAGGCATACTAAAGTTAGGAGCTTGTACGGGGGGATCCTCATTCAGTTGGGTTATGAATTTACTTCTATCTCTATCATTTAATGCCGAACCACTAACATTAGGATCTTGTACGACTTGAACATCATACAGATCCAACTCAAATAAATTGTCATAGTCACCGCCCTCCAAATTCCTCTGAATATCTTCTCTCAAACGCTCTTGTGAGTTTTCATAACTTAAAGGTACCGGATCGTAATAATCGTTAGCGCCACCACCATTGGCGCTACGAAAGTCTGCATTAAAATGTTGTCCATCTTCAGCGAAATCATCGACATTCATCGAAAACCACTCTCTGATAGTATTCTTGTTGCAATAGTAGTTTTGATTTGAATATGGGAGTTTATTTTAATTTTCCTTGTTTAAAGCTCGGTCGTTCTCTTTTCCGAGAGATCAAGAAAATAAAATATTTACTAAAAATACAAGGATGCTGATAAATTATAATACACATACATTATTGATACTATAGATAGGATATCATTACTCTTCATACTCTTCATTAGATGGTACTCTTTGCCTGATATTAGAACTTGGTTCTCCCTTTTCGATATCTACATTCTCGAAGGTAGAGTCTTGATCTTCAACAGTATCTAAGTCAGGATTAACAATACGAAGGGCCGATCGGCGCTTCGAGCTAACTAGCACTTGTACATCCAAATTGTCATCCAAGGATGATTCAGACTCTGAATGGCCGTGAGCTTTGTCAATTTTTTTAGTTATATCCGATTTCTTGTTAGGTTCTTCTGTGAAATCACCGAAATCAAGGTTCGCTTGTTGAACCAGAGACTGTATCGTATTGATATTACTTAATTTTTTCTTCAATGGGACATAATCAGCGCTATTTTTCATTATAGCAGGGGAAGATAAAGAGGCACCAGTAAATGAGATTGATTTTCTTAGTTTTGATAAGGATTTGTTGGAACTTTGTATCAGAGATAGCGCAGGGCGTACTTGCGTGGTCTGTAGTTCTGGAAGATCGTAAACATGATCAGATTCGCTGTGGTCACTGGGTATATGATTTAGCGTTTCGTTTGATTGAAAATAGCTATCTCTCCTGGTCATGCCTCTTTGCAGATCAAATTCCTGTCTCTTTCGCACCCAAGAATCAATAGACGCAACATCAATAGTAGAATTGCTGTCCAGAAATCCAGGCTTTGTGATTAGAGGCCCTTTATGTTCCCGGGACTCTTGGTCATAGAAGTTTCCAATCTGGTAGTCATTTTCTTCCGCTTCTTGTCGCTGACGATCGCGACGCTTCTTTAAGAAAAAGAAGCTAACCCCTAAAACGAGAGCTATAATCGAAATTGGTAGCACTGTTCCTAAAATAGCTTTTCCTTTCAAGCTTAAGTCGGAGGAAGATTTAGAGGACTTTTCCTTAGTATTATCCTTCAAGCTCGAGACACTTTCGAAAGTGGAAACATCGTATAAGTTGATGGCGTACTGAGATGAGCTGGACAGCCTTCTCTGCTTAGTGGTTGAGGAGTTTATAATGACAAGTGTTTCAAAAATTGTGGCAGCTCCAGCGATCTGACTGTAATCAACATTGGTTGCATTTATCAAGCTCCAGGACCAACTATTAGTGTTTACCGACAATCTGGCATACAAGTTAGAAGGATTATCTTTCAGGACTTCTCCTCCCACTAAAACAATTTCTTTAGCTTTGTAGTAGTCCGAAATCGCCTCTTCAGAATCATTTGCTAATGGCTCAAAAACAGGTAAAGCCAAGGCGAATTTCCTCGAATAAACTTCTACCTTTGCATTTGGAGGAACTTGTTCAAAAGACCATCCTGCACTGAAATCCCATGTAGCTAACTGATTCATGCTCAACCAGCCCCCATTGCTCTGGCCCCCCACTACTAATTGCTTTTGAGGTGATGGTGCAATTACGTTTGCAGCTCCATAGAATGGCTGTGGTTTGGTTGCAGTCGATACGTTTGAAAATTTCAATTTCTTTGGATCAAAAGAAAGCAATCTACTTGAAGCCTCATTTGATTTACCACATAGCCCTCCATAAATGAAAACCTCATCAGATACCGGTGAGGTTAATATTGTTGGATAAGCATAGAATGAGGTATCTTCAATCTCATCAAAGTTTAATTCGTCAGTATATTCCGTCCATTTGTTGTCTCTGTCATTGTACTTGACGACTTTCAAAGCTCCAGTTCCACACAAGTCTTTTGAACTGCTTGAATTTGACTGAGAATTCAATCCATATAAGACCTCATCAACAAGGAAAAGTGTAGATCCTAATGGCGGTGATTTTATTGTGGTTACTATTTGATTATCAATTAGATTTGTATGTTCATTACCGCTTTGTGACGATCCGCTAAAGCCTGTTATAGAGAAGTTTAATTTAATGACATCGTTATTATTTAGATGGACGTATATTTTTCCTTCAGATAATGAATACAATGTGTTCCAGTAATTCGTATCCAGACCGAGCGATCTGCTCCAAAAGGTTGACATCAAAAGTAGTAGACACACAAGGGGATGCCTCATCCTTGTTATTTATAATAGTAGAGAAGTAATGAACCTTCAATTACCTTCATTTCCGTTCTTTCCCATCTCATTTTCAAATTTGGGATATTCATTCATAATCATGCCCTATTTACTTCTCGTACCAATTCGGAAGTATGAGATATCATGCAGATTCTTGTCCACGTGATCGATGTCTTTTTTTTGGTATAGTGAAAATTTCTGTTACGCATCAAATGACTCAGATTTACATTACATCAAAAAGCTACTATAAGATATAATTTATTCTCTGAACAGTTATTATTTGTTTTGTTTATTATATGAGAAATAATGTCCACATTTGGTAATATATTTAGGGTGACAACATATGGTGAGTCTCACTGCAAATCAGTAGGGTGCATCGTTGATGGTTGTCCTCCAGGTTTAGATTTAAGTGAGGATGATATTCAACCTCAGTTGACTAGAAGAAGACCAGGGCAGAGTAAAATTTCCACGCCTAGAAATGAAAAAGATAGGGTAGAGATTCAATCAGGTACTGAGAATGGCAAGACGCTTGGATCTCCAATTGCAATGATTGTAAAAAACGAAGACCATAGACCAAATGATTATTCTGAAACAGATTTATACCCAAGACCGTCGCATGCAGATTGGACGTATATTCAGAAGTACGGAACTAAGTCAACTTCTGGAGGAGGTCGTTCATCTGCAAGAGAAACCATAGGAAGAGTGGCAGCAGGTGCAATTGCTGAAAAAATATTAACTAAGGCCAACAACGTTGAGATAGTTGCTTTTGTCTCAAGTATTGGTGAAATTTCTATGGATAGAAGTCCTTTAAACTTAGATTTTCAAAATCTTTTGAATACGATTACAAGAGAACAGGTTGATGGAGCTGGACCTGTAAGATGCCCAGACGATGCAATCAAAGAACAGATGGTGAGAGTGATCGAAAAATACAGAGACTCAAAGGATTCAATAGGAGGCGTCGTGACATGTGTTGTAAGAAATTGTCCAATAGGTTTAGGAGAACCTTGCTTCGATAAGTTGGAAGCTACCTTAGCCCATGCTATGTTGTCTTTGCCTGCAACAAAAGGCTTTGAATTTGGTTCGGGCTTCATAGGTACCACAATCCCGGGATCTAAACACAATGATGCTTTCTCATACGATGGAACATCAAGTAGATTGAGAACTAAGACGAATAACTCTGGTGGTATTCAGGGAGGCATTTCAAACGGCGAGAACATTTATTTCTCAGTTGCATTCAAGTCCGCTGCCACTATATCTCAAGAACAGGCTACCTCAACTTATGAGGGTAAAGACGGAGTCTTGGCTGCGAGAGGTAGACATGATCCTAGTGTCACACCCAGAGCTGTTCCTATTGTTGAGTCGATGACAGCATTAGTATTGGTGGATCAGCTCCTTATTCAAAAATCTAGAGATTATGGAAGATCAATTGTATCTAAATAAACGCTTAGACAGACATTATATATATATATATTAGTATGAGAAGCCGCCTGCAATGCTATTAACTAAAGCTCGTTTGTATGAAGTTATGTACAGTACTATTAATATCGATAATATTTTTCATCAACAGTGTCAGCCAAAGTTTCTGCAATTAACAGGGATTGATAAAACGGCTTCAATGGATACAGTTCAGCTTGTATTAGTGACTTTGATAGTCGGTCTTGTAGCATTTTTGTTGATATCTTACCTTCAAACTGCGGATTTCTCCAGAAGAGTTGAAGGATCATCAAAGCTTAAAAAGCCGACGTTTTTGATCTTAGGGCTCAATAATAGTGGGAAAACTGCTTTGTTTTATCAGCTCAAAGAAGATGCCCCCCAAAATGGGTTTGAATTTGTTAATACGGTCTCATCAATTGAACCTAATATTTCAGAAGTGAATATACCATTCTCAAAGTCATCGGTTTCCAAAGCGTATCAGTTGATCGACTATCCTGGACACTTGAAATACTCACAGTTGCTAACAAAGTTAATTTTGAAGGATGTCACCTTACAAAACATTAAGGGTATACTTTATGTAATTGACTCGTCTTCGAACTCGATAAATCAGCAAAACCAAGTAAAGCAAATTTCTAGATTCTTGTTCAGCCTATTTTCTCAGACAGAGAAATTAATGAACGGAGTTGATTTTCTTTTTGCAATCAACAAGCAAGACTTATTTGATTCAATACCTGTTTTTAAGATAAAGCAATTAATAGAAGAGGAAATTACAAAATTGGTGAAAGATGAATTAAGCGGCGTCAATAGTCATAGTTCAGGAATTGATAAGGATGAAGATTATGAAGAAGCTGAAAACGAGGACAAAATGGCAAACTACGACAATTTGAGAGAATTTTGGTTACCAATCATAGGCAATGTTAATAATTCATTTAAGTTTGAAATGCTAGAAGGAGACGTTACATTCATAGGTGGTTCAGTTTTGAAAAATAATATGGAACCATGGAAAAATTGGTTTGACGAAAAAGTAGTAAACTAGCACTAAATATCTATTTTATTTGGTTCGATGGGGCACTAGGAAAAAAGCCTGGCTGGCTGATTTCCTGTTTTTTTTTATGGTTCAAGTGAACTCTTGCATGACTTCTAAGTCTATTTTTATAGATATCTTTATCTAATCGATAATTTTTTAGTTGATAATTTTCTATACTTCGTGTTAGCTCTCCATCACGGGCTTCAAGCTTCTTGACGCTAATTTGAAGAGCCTTGTAACGATCTTCAATTTTTTCAGATGACTTTACTTTAGACGGGTCATCGCTCTTATCTGCCTCGGCTGACTTTACTTGGTCTTTAGAAGTCTGATTTGTATCACTTGAAGATGACTTGAAATTACTGATGAGCTTGTTCCATCCAAAAGGCTTTGCGCTTTCCATTTCCTTACGCTTCTCTTCTAGTTGTCCTTTGAGTTTTTGTCTCTCTATTTGCAACTCCTGGTATTCCTGGGGGTAAATGACTTCGCAAAATCCCTTATCACTCAAATGTCCTCGGCATATATAGAAAAAGTCACTTTTATTTTGAGATACCAAAACAGTAGTAGTTGGTTTGTAGCATATAAGACAAGACTTAGCACTGCTTTCCGCCACCAATCGGACTACGTAGTCATTGGGAAAACTCATAAATGGCACTTCTTTTAACTCTGTCACTGATGCGAAACTAAGTGTTTTCTAGGCCCCTTAGCTTGGTAGGTCAAGCCTCCGTCGGCCAAAAAAGAAATTGAATGAAATGAACTTAAGTAGTCAAATGACCCTTAGTCTATCTTTCTCTTAAACTAACTACGCTGCCAACCTTGTTTGACCATATATATCTCGTTTCACGTATCATGGTCGTTTGTAGCATTAGATGTAATTCCGGGTAATGCATTTTGATTGCGGGAAAAATCGCCATTAAAATTTTCTCTTGGTGTCTCTGCACGGGCGAAAGTCGATTAGTCTACCACCCCAAAAAAAAAACAAAGATATTGAACGAATCTGACGGAATTTAGGGAATCAATCAAAAAGAAGGACTAAATACCTAAAATACGTGGGGTATATCAACGACTAATCACGGAAAGATCACAAGGCGACTAAACGAACTTGTATTATAAACGAGCGGTTATAGCAGCCAAGATTTTACTTATTAGTCAAAGCCGCTGTTGAGGAATCCCTTAATTATAAAGACAGGAAGCTTTTTTGTTTTCAAGAAAGGAAAGCGAACTGCTTGTGATATTCAGGGTCTTAGAACAGCTTAGTCAAGGCTTCGGCACGAAACGGACGTAGGCAGAAGCAGAAACTGGCAAAGGAATACGACCATCGGAATCGGGGGATATACGTGTCAAGAAGCTTAATCAGTTGAACTACACGCTAGACAGACAGCTATTGACCATTCTCGTATTATTATTGCATTCCACGTCTTCCTATCTATCCCATCTTAGCGTCAAGCTGTTTACTTTACCAATATAGACGACGTTATCATTGGACAAGACCTTGCATTTTTGAGTTTTGAATTTAAGTTTTATACAATAGTGATTGTATTAATATAAGCAAGCGATATCTAGATTCAAATAATGTCATCTGAACATCAAGAAGCTGATATCGACTCGATCGTTGACAGATTGTTGGAAGTTAGGGGCTCGAGACCCGGAAAACAAGTTACATTGTTGGAACATGAAATAAGATACTTGTGTACGAAAGCACGAGAAATTTTTATTCAGCAACCAATCCTATTAGAATTGGAAGCACCTATCAAGATTTGCGGTGATATTCACGGTCAATATTATGATTTATTGAGACTTTTTGAATATGGTGGATTTCCACCGGAGGCAAACTATTTGTTTTTGGGTGATTATGTGGATCGTGGTAAGCAATCTTTAGAAACTATTTGCTTGTTATTGGCATATAAAATCAAGTATCCTGAAAACTTTTTTATCTTAAGAGGAAACCACGAATGTGCTTCGATTAATAGAATATACGGATTTTATGATGAATGCAAAAGAAGATATAATATCAAATTATGGAAAACGTTTACAGATTGTTTCAACTGTTTGCCAATTGCAGCTATAATCGATGAAAAGATCTTTACAATGCATGGAGGATTGTCGCCAGATTTAAATTCCATGGAACAAATCAGAAGGGTAATGAGACCCACTGACATTCCTGATGTTGGTTTATTGTGCGACTTGCTATGGTCAGATCCTGACAAAGATATCACCGGCTGGTCAGAAAATGATAGAGGTGTGTCGTTTACTTTTGGGCCAGATGTTGTTTCTAGGTTCCTTCAGAAACATGATATGGATTTGATTTGTAGAGCCCACCAAGTTGTTGAAGATGGTTACGAATTTTTCTCGAAGAGACAATTGGTGACCTTATTTTCGGCGCCAAATTATTGTGGTGAATTTGATAACGCGGGCGCAATGATGAGTGTTGATGAAAGTTTATTATGTTCATTTCAAATATTAAAACCTGCTGATAAAAAGCCTAGGTATCCGCAACCATCCATTGGTAACAATAGGCCGGTTACGCCTCCCAGGAAACCAAAGAGAGGTTCCAAATAATGAAATTGTCAAGACAAGAATGAAATGAAAATCGAGAGCTGTTTGACTGTCCAATTATACAAATATTGTACTCCCCCAAGAAGAAGAGAAAATTGAGAAGATCGAATAATCACCACTATGCACTATATTGTCACCGTGTCGTAGTTTCACATCATGCCACCTATCTTTGAAGTTATCGTCCAAAGTTATTGTTTATTTTTTTCTACTATCATGTTTTTATTCCTTTTGCCTTTATTACTAGAGATTACGATGTGATGTGAAGTATGATGTTGATTGTTTTCGAATGATTCGAAGTTCAAAAAGCTGATAAAGTTAATGATGATAAAAATGGAAGGAACGACACGAGTGAATATTGGATTTTAAAACTTCTTTGCCATAAGGGAATTCATACTTGGAGAATTCTGAATCATTAAAATCCAAGTACTATTTTATGTATAGACCTCAGAAAAGATATAAGTATATATGGTTTTTATTTCTTTTCATCTTTTTCTCATATATCTACTTCTATTAGGATCCTTTTAATTTCATGGTTCCTGCTTGAAGGAGTAGTCAAAGGTTATCCGATATTGTTGACATACATATTGGATTGTCGAAGGGTTCTCGCTTTTCTTTTGTTATAACTCTTTATAGTTCTATTACTATATCATTGATATGATGCTTTTATCAGAGTTTAAATTTTATTGTCAAAGAGATAGACTGCAACACTGGTTCTGGTATGCAGGTTATTGTACTGGCAGTTCTTTTCTATCGTATATTTACTGTTTATATGTGTTGGCAAGAAAGCGTTAAATTTTCGAAAAACAAAAACAAAAAAAAATTTAGTGATAGGAAGTGAAGTCACACGATGACTCTGAGCTTCTTTATGTTTCTTTCGTATTTTATATGAAAAATTTGAAGTGTATATTTTTAGAGACATTATCGTGTAGAGTTTCCAATTTACGAGATCTCGTAGTTTTGACATATTTCTGGATTAAATTATAGGGAGAGGACCAGGGCCATACGTGACTAGGCTCAACCTTATTTTACTTGAGCATAATGATATGGATAACCACTACTATAGAAGTAAGACTCATTTGTTTTTCAAATGTTAAACTTAAGACGAACCATTCTATAATCGCGTGATGCGTGTTTCCGACATGCATAACAACAGTATGCAGCGGGTGTCTACCAAGATGAGCCATACGAGGTAAATAATAAAATTGGAGAGGCATCTCGATTGGTTGCCAAAACAAGATGGCAATATAAGTAGCGAAAACCCTACAAAAATTTTTTTCAGAAGCTGACTACGAGATCAAGATATCCATAATGCTAGTCAATGTCATATTGGCTGCATTAGCAACCCCATTAGTCGCATTTTCTGCTATCTCACGCTACAATCCCGACGACCGTCCTTTCGAGTTGCATGCTCGTCTTACGAAGGTCACTGCTACTGAGAATGCAGACGGTTCATGTTACGCTCATACCATGGCAACCAATGAAAATTGTCAATTTTTAATGGAGAAGTTTTCAATAACTCAGAATGATCTCTATTCTTTCAACAAAAACACATTTGGATGGATGGGCTGCGGAACTGGTTACCCATTAAAAGGCGATAAAGTATGCGTTAGCACTGGAACACCTCCTAAACCTGCAGTAAATAACAATGCAGAATGTGGTCCACAAGCACCTGGTTCTTTATATAATTCCAAGTGCCCACTTAATGCCTGTTGCAGTCAATATGGCTACTGTGGTGTAAGTAGTGCTTTTTGCCTGGTTACGAAGAGCCCTACTGGTGCACCAGGAACAACACTGTGTCTTTCAAATTGCGGTTACGGTCTGCTACCAAATAAGCCGGTAGCAACTTTCAAGAATGTAGGGTATTGGATGAACAGTGGGGGAAGCCTTGCGATGGACCCTTCCAAACTTGCTCAGTACAATTTCGACATAGTTCATTATGGATTCATTCCTGTGAGTGCGGCATTCGTTGTCGATAGTGGAAGCACTTTTAACACCAAGTTCAGTTCAATTAAGTCCAAAAAAGTTGCATCATTTGGTGGAGCAGGTGGCTCGAGTTACTTCTCTTCAGGGGCTACTGCAACAAACAGGAAGAAATTGGCAACTAATATTGTCCAATTTTTAGCTGCTCATAATTTGGATGGAATAGATCTCGATTGGGAATATCCTACAAGTTCTACAGATGGTAATAATTATTTGGCTTTGGTACAGCTTATAAAATCTTTACTTCCAAGTGGCAAGACTCTTTCAGTCACTTTACCCGCTTCCTATGCGTCTCTTAAGTACTACCCAGTTTCATCAATGCAAAACTACGTAGATTACTTTGTATATATGACATATGATCTTCATGGGCAATGGGATTACTCAACTGGAGAAGGAGTGCAATGTCATACAAACAAAACAGCAGTCAATGACTCATTATTGATGCTTGCAAAGGCTGGTGTAACTATGTCGAAGGTATATGGAGGACTCGTCAATTACGGAAGATCTTATCAGTTATCTTCTGCGAAGTGCACTGCAGTGGGTTGTCCTTTCACGGGGCCCAATTCAGGGGCAAAGGCAGGACCTATCACTAATACGCCAGGAATACTCTCTGAACCTGAAATCAACGCTATAGCATCTTCCACCAGGAAAAATAAGAGATCGACAGATTCTAAAGCTCAGTGCGATATCATGGTATTTGACAATACTCAATGGGTCGCGTGGCCAAAGGCAGGTGAAAGAACAACCATGCAACTGTATTTCAAAGCTTCTGGGCTTGGCGGCTCTGCCCTTTGGCTTTCAAACTACTATAACACGTAGCTAGTATATATCAATAGGTACTAATCGGACATATTCTATTATCATGTTTATCTTAATTACTCAACTGTACCTTGAGAATTACTGCAAAATTACACTGTTTCGTTGCGTGGTAATGATGCTCCTCAAAATCACGTGCCCGTGGTCAAAGCCCTAGACGAAAGCAGAATTGAATTTCAATTACACAAAATGATTTTTTTTCCCTCGCTTACCTGTCTAGGGTGAAAAATTCATCAAATACTGTTCGATAATCAAATTGTTGTCTTCACTTGACTTTCTAGTTATCGAAATAGGTTTTAAATAATCGAAATTCAGAATGGTATGTTTAAATATGTGAACTATTATGGATTTCGTGAGATGCATTGTATTTTTGGATGGGAATGAGACATTAAGACCTAGTTCAAATATTTACATTATGGGTCTAAAGGAGGATTAATATCAACGGTAACAAGTAGTCGTCATAATGGCTTATGGTATTCAAAAAGTCTATCTGTTAGGAATGAGCTTCTAAGTTTGAAGGAAACTACAAACAAAATTACTATGTATGAATTTGTATTTTTAAAGACAACTGCTGAATTTTGTATCTCATTGAATCCATTACTCAAATAGGGTATTTACTAACTACTATTAGGTTTTAGTTCAAGATTTGTTAAACCCCAGCCCAGCCTCTGAGGCCAAGAAGCACAAGTTGAAAACCTTGGTCCAAAGCCCAAGATCATACTTCATGGATGTTAAGTGCCAAGGCTGTTTAAACATCACAACAGTGTTCTCACATGCTCAAACTGCTGTTACCTGTGAAAATTGCTCCACTGTTTTGTGTTCTCCAACTGGCGGTAAAGCTAAGTTAACTGAAGGTTGCTCTTTCAGGAGAAAGTAAATTTAACGATGACGCTGTGGCCTGGTAATGTCCTTGATTCATTCAGAATACTGTAATTTTAAAGTGATTAATACATCATTGTCGTTACTAGCTTCAAGGCAACGCTAAATAACAAAAATGAAAATATAAGTAAGTTTCCTTTAGATTAAATAAAAGTTTAATGCATATTTTATCTGACTTTCGTATATGTATGTTGATATTTATTTTTACTCAAAAAATCAATCTTATATACCTCTAGAAAGCATATATACTATAATTTTGCCTTCGCGTAATAACGAACAACTTCATCAATAGCTTTAGCTACTTTTTGAATGTTTCCTTCATTCAAACCCGCAACGGATGCTCTACCAGAGCTCACCAAGTAAACACCGTGAGTCTTCTCTAATCTTGCTACCATTTCTGGTTTCAAAGCTGTAAATGAAAACATACCAGATTGATTGGTAATATGATCCCAATTGCCTGGTGTCTTCAAAGTATTGGTCAACAAATCACGTAATTCTTTTCTCATATCCTTAATTCTAGAACTCATTGTAATGAGATCCTGTTCCCACTGTTTCTTAAGTTCAGGAGTCGATAAAATTTTATAAACAATCTTTGAACCATAAGCAGGAGGGTTGGAAATTTCAGACCTGATGACTTTGTTTAATTGAGATTTTATTGCTTTGTTCAAAGATTCGTTAGTTTCAGAAGAAATAACGTGAACAGCACCAACCCTTTCACCGTACATGCCAACATTTTTGGCAAATGATTGACAAATTAAAATTGGCGTATCAATCTTCTTTGATTCGACTGCTAACCTAATCGAGTACGCGTCATTATCCAAACTGCCACTTGCAAATCCTTGGTAGGCCGAGTCAAACAAAGGAAGATGATTCTTCGAAGCAATCTCATCCAATATTTGTTTCCACTGTTCTTTGGTTGGATCTAAACCCGTTGGATTATGTGCACAAGCGTGTAACAAAAAAATTGAGCCAGAAGGAGCAGATTTAATGGCAGATAAGAAACCGTCTATGTCGAGAGACTTAGTTTCTGCATTCCAATATGGATAAGTTTTAACAGTTAATCCCAAACTTTCAAAAATTTGGTTGTGATTTGCCCAGGTAGGCTTTGAGACGTAAATAGTGTGCTCTCCATTATAAAATGTCTTCAAAAACTTACCAGCCAAATGCAATGCTCCAGTGCCACTTAAGGACTGTTGCGATACAATTCTGTTCTCCTTCAAGACAGCAGAATCTGGACCTAACAAAATCTTGGAACTTTCATTAACGAATGGTTCAAAACCACTAATGGAAAGATATTCGTGATTATAATCAGGAGAATTGATCAACTCCTTCTCAGCAATCCTAACTGAAGGCAAAATCCAAGGCTTACCATTGTTATCTCTGTATGCACCAATACCCAAGTCTACCTTATCCTTCCTATCATCTGCATTATATCTAGCTTTTAACCCAAATAATGGGTCTGGAGGCAACTCTTTAAGATTAGTATAATATTTAGACATCACAGTATGCTAGTAAGTTGCGAGTGGCTTGAATACAATAAATATTCCCCTTTCTCTTCAATATCTTCAAAAGTAAGCGATCCTTCTTGCCGTTGTAGAAAACTCTTCATATACGAAGAGTCACCCTGAGTGGGGAAAATAAAGATCATGTGATTATTAGTAAAAATAGGAAGTTTTAACAGACTGTAATTTTTCAACTTTATAAAGAAGTATAGACCTATAAATGCAGATGTGGATGGAGAAAGCATGATTCCGGGACAAGATTACTTTATAATTTTAAACAACAGCTCTAACTTCGAAAAATCTCCTTAAGTAGTAGATCTGAAAAATCGAATTGGAAGCAACCACCACTATTTGAAATAACGACCACCACTTAACTCTAGAGTTAGTTGATTCAGCAGTATTTCTGTGTGTTCTTTCTCTAATTACTAAATAGGACTGTTCTGCTTTGACATCGTATGTCAATTGACTCAATCTCAGAATTGCAAAATCCAAGGTGTCGGATTTTGGATCATCGAAATCAACATAAATAACACCATGAACATTAAAAGAAACATCTAAATCAACTCTTCCTGTTCTTTCGTTTGAAAAACAGTACTGATATTTACCACTTGTTGTTGTCTTGTACGACTCGTCACCGTGGTCGAGGGCATCCACTCTTCTCACAATTTGGCCATTTGGAGCGATAACCTAAGAAGTTAGTACTTAAAAACTCTTCAAACGTTCACTAAAAAGCATACGTACATAGAAATCAATCACAAATTGTTCAGCATTTGAAGGATTTCTTGATCCAACTTGGAAACTAATCGACAACTCATCATTCTTCTTTAAATTTTCGAAAAAACATTGTTTCCCATACGGAGGCAATAACACATTGTGAGCATTAATGATAGACAAGATTGACAATAAGATAGACAAAAACAAAAATCTCATCTTGATTAACTCGTCTACTTTTTATTATGTACCACTGTGTTATTTCACTGGTTGATTAGCTTGATCTTTTGTTAATGCTCGGCATAGTTTGACACGCGTTCAAAAAAAATTAAAGAATCGTGCACGTAAATTCTTCTAGCCTACAACATAAACATAAACAGAGAATGCAAGAATGTCATTTACCATATAATAAACGTAGAAGGTTACAAAGGAGGAATAATTGAAGAAGAATTGAAGGTGAGTTGAAATTACGCTCAATTCTTCGAATATTATTTTTATGGAGCACCACGCTCATAGATACATGATATCGCTATAAAGGCTTCATTATTTCATCGAATAATAGTCTTTTCAATTCTTCAATACTCAAGTCTTCCTTTCTTTTGTCAAAATCAAAAAAGTCTTCTGGAATTTTTTCACTTACTGGTTCATCTTGAGGATCATGATATAATTTCAAATATGGGTGGCACAAAGCGTCATCCACCGTAATTCTCTTCGTAGGGTTGAAAATCAAAAGCTTCTCCAACAAATCTATGGCTAAAGGATTGATATTATTCGAGGATTGAAAAAGAGTTTGAAAAGGAATTTTCTTACAAAACGGTAGGGACCGTATATATTCTCTTGCCCTTTTTGATTTGATATTATAGTAATCTTCCATGTTTGGAGTACCCAACACTTCCATAATCAACCATAGCTGATTATGATAATCTCTACCAGGGAACAAAGGTCTTCCACTAAGCATCTCTGCAAGGATGCAACCCACAGACCACACATCTATCGCAGTCGTATATTCTTGGAATGTCAACATAATTTCAGGTGCCCTGTACCATCTTGTAGCCACATACTCAGTCATAAACCCGAAGTTGTCTTCACTTGAAGCAATTGATCTTGCCAAACCAAAATCACATATCTTCAAATCGCAGTTAGAATTTAACAATAAGTTGGATGGCTTTAAATCTCTATGTAAGACATTAGCTGAATGCATTGCTTTTAGGGCCCTTAATGTTTGATATACAAAGTACTGGATATGATCATCACTTAAAGTTTGAGTCCTAATTACTCTATGCAAATCCGTTTCCATGAGCTCTTGAATTAAATATATCTCATTAAACGTCTCGTAGTTCAAAGGTCTTTGAATTGCCAAAATGCTAATTATGTTTTCGTGATTAAAATGCTTCAAGAGTTTCAACTCCCTTAGGGTTCGAAGGCAAAGCATGCTCCTTTCGAAGGGTTCTATCTTCTTAATAGCTACCTTTTGTTGAGTAGGCTTATGTACTGCCGAACAAACTACACCATAGGCTCCTTCCCCAACAATTTCTAGGACTTGGTAGTGATCAGATACATTGAATGACACCTGTCGAGGTTGGTCGATATTCATGCTACTATCTAGTATTATCCAGTATTAGCTAGTAGATTTATTTCTCCTAGCACTCAACTTCTTCTAGATCACTGGATTTGAAGTCGATGTCCTATGCGACCTATTTGATGGTGAACAACTTATTTGATGACAAGGGATTTAAAAAGGTTCCAGAGCTTTTCTTAAAAATTTAAATACACACTTGATTGATCCTGTTTCAAGACAAAATTCTGGGAATATTTCAGCGCGGTAACTCTTTGACATAATCTGAGGATCATAAGTACAATAGACTTCTGAAATTAGACTTTCCAAACAGGAACCTAAATCGTCATATTTCGTAAACTATAGCTAAAATAATACACTAACAATAGCTTCAAAGAATCAGAGAAAAAAATACATAAACCGTAACAGAGGATAATATCGAGTGAGAATGATTGGTGGAAGATGTCAGTAAACCATCACTTCTTCTTACCAAACAAACCTCTCTTTTTCTTCTTCTTCTCTGGCTTCAACGAGGCTGCGCTATAATTTCCAGCAGCATAGATAGGCTGCTCTCCGCCAGAATTGAAATTGATAACAGGACGGTCATAATTGGTATCTCCATTTGCGTTCTCAGATGACGTAAGATTGTACGGAGAGAAGTCTTCATGGAATCCCCATCCAAGTCTTGTTGTCTCTAGCTGGTCTCTATAAGCCAAGTCACCAGTAATGGCATATTCAAATCCTCTAATTGTGTCTAATGGTCTTTCATTCCTTGATCTGGTAGGATTCGACATATCACTCTGCCTAATAGGATTTCCAAAGATGTCTTTCAAATCTTGCGAATCCTGAGATAAATAACTAGGACGTCTATCACCACGTCCGTAGTCAGCTGCCTGTTCAAACGGCTGAGCTTCATTCATTGCTGAAAGAATAGGATCATGCATGGCAGAGGCTTTATATTGCTCTTTGGTGCCGCTGTTTCCTCCTCTTTGGTCATCCTCAAACTCCCTGCCAGATTTTGATCTGAAAATTGCCATAACGAAAGTGTTTACTGAAGTTTTCTCTCAGTAAATTTAAATCACGTAAATTGTCAACAAATAATTAGCTTAATCTGTTTATATCAATCTCTTTTGCGGCTATAAGGATCAGCTACAATCTTTTTCCAATGTGCGATTTAATCTAACACGTTTTTTGCTCACTTAAAAAACAGCTGGATCAAATAATCAAAGAACTGTTGTCAATAATTCATCAACTAACGATAAATTTTGAAGCGGGCATAAATTTTAGCATATATGGAGGGCCAGGACTCATTAATTGAGGCTAAGAGACAATTCGGTTTAGATGCCCTCGGAAATCATGCTCCCATTAGGTGCAAAAATTGAGACAGGCTGTGTTACTGCGATTTAACAACCAGGGGATCGCCTTTAAAAAAAAATTTGGTAGTACACGGGCAACCCGGGAGTGTCTAGTCAGCAGTTGGTGAGCCCCCCATTCGGATTTTACAGGCAGGTATAGTACAGATATCTCCCAGCATCGCCATAGGTGGCGCGGGTGCTCCCCTGGAGCTGGCGGTGCTAACATCCCTTACTTATCCAAGGGCTTATTCACTATATTGTATACAAGATGTGAATGGTTATGATGTCTTTGCTGTTGAAGAATAAAGACGGCTTTCGAACAAAAGGTGTAGTGTCTGGGACATGGTGGCCATGCGTCGCGGTAGCAAAGCTAGGAGAGTTACAGCGGCAGACCAATATGCATGCTATTTTATTACTATGTTCTGATAATGCAGAACGTGCCATAGAACATGCCTCTTTATCTCCAAGAAACTTCGAATTTTCTGAACAGGCCAATATTATGAATACTGTTGAATGATAGTTTTCCTTAGAATGACCCCGAAAGTAACCTCGAATGTGTTATTTTTTAGAAGCACTCAAATTTCTAAACTTGGATTCGGTCCTCGGGAAGATACATTATCTTAGCTACATTATTTTTAGTGATCTGATTTATTTTGTAAAATCATCCGATATAGTGTAACGGCTAGCACGGTTCGCTTTCACCGAGCAAACCCGGGTTCGACTCCCGGTATCGGAATGAATTTTTTATTTTTTCATTTATTAATTTCACTAATTTTTTAAGAGCCTATAAAACATGATCAGCCTCTCTATCTCTCATTGATCTCGGTGATTTAAAAGCACTCTAGTTTTCAGTCTTAATGCATTTTATTACATACTTATAAAATTTTAGCTCATTCCGTTTTGTTCTTTAAAGATATCCCAAGATTTATTTAACGTGATGAAGACGCCTTCACAAAGTAATCTGTCTTCCAATTGAAAATTGCCAATTTTGTCTGGATGAATCAAACTTATTACTTTCATATAGCTGATCTTCACTTTTTTAGGTAACATCAAATCGTTAAGAGTTATCTTTTTGTCATTGAGAAAAGGGAATCCTAATCTAGATGGCAAGACATTAGGAAGGGTGGTGAGTAACGTTCTGATGTTGTCTTCTTTTCCATTGCACCATTCAAAGACCTTTTCTTGAATTTTATCATTAAGTTTGAACTTAAGCTCATCTTCATATTTAGCTTTCTCTCGTTCTCTCTGGAGCCTCCTCAGGTTTTCATTATTTACACTCGGGGAAGCTGTGTTAGATCTAACAGGTTGAGATGCTGGTGCTGGTTTTCTCTTCGGTTTGACTATATCATTAACTCTTCTCTTACCATCCATGATCTTTTTATTGACTACGCCTAGTTGAATCAATTCCATATAGCATGATAAACTCTCTTGAAAAGATTCCCTCATTTCTAAACTTTCGGCCTTGCGAGATAGTAACTTGATATACCATTGTTTGACAGGCTTACCACTTATCATAACATCCACCTTAGTCAAATCATTCTTGTCAATTAAGTCTAACCCGCTTGCACACGATTCAATTGCGCTTTTATAGTTACCCAATTTTATGAAGTTGAGAGAAAGATTAGATTGAATTACAATTCTTAGTTCGTGATTAGGCGGCAAAGCCTCTAAGCATTTCATATAATATAACAATGCACCATCATAATCTCCTTTACTAAAAAGTTCTGTAGCCTTTTCTTTTGCTTCATTATAATCCGATTGCTGGAATTGGTCTAAAGGAGTAGAGATTGTCTTCAGTGGGCTCTTTGTTTTATTTGATTCGTTTTGGGACTCATTAAAGCCAATCAAATCAAATTCTTCCACATTTTTGTCATTTACAGACAGTTCGGAAGAAAATGATCTAAAATCAGAAGAAATGATACCGGGCTGTTTAGAATTATGAGCAGAAGATAACTCTTCTTCGGGCATTTTTTCGTCGACATCGTTTTCAAATTTGGAGTTATTAGAAGAGGAGAGTTGTGATTCACGATTGGAACCTTGTTCCAGTTTACTAGCGGGAGAATTCCTTCCAGAGCTCATAGAGCTTCTAGCGAACTCCTTGACATTGTCATATCTCATTCTAGCCTTTTCTTTTTCTTTCTTCTTTTGGTTCCTTATGAAGTCATCAATTGCTCCTTTATCAATATTTTCTTCGTCCGACCCATAATCTTCTAACTTTTCACCATTTGACCTTCTCTCTATTGCATCTTTCTTGTATATATGCTGAGTTTTCAACCAATTAGGTACATTAGTATCAGTTTCATAATCCATCCCATGTTGAAACTGCTCCAAGTTTTTCATCACAGTCTGTTTTGATTTACTTAAAAAGAACGATGCTTTGTTAAATATATCTGTAGACACCTCATTTATTCTAGCACTAATATCTGATTCGGAACTGCTAAAATCGGCTTTGTTTGACTGCGGTATCAGTGCCTTTTTGCTTTTTGAGCCATCCATAATAAAATTCACACAAGATTGGACATCGGGCCCAACCTTGCTTATTGCTTGATTGGAAACCTCAAGAGAAAATCCAATATCAACTAATTCGGCTAAAACTGTATCTCTCTTCTCATGTTCACTTTCAGGAGTGCTAAGTCGTTTAGTATCAATCACATTTTTTTGAAGAGAAGAGCTGAGGTTGCTTTGTTTTCGAGCTGGTAGTTCTGGCTTGTTAATTTCTTCTATTGGTTGTTCAATCTCCGATGAAACGAATGCATCTGTAAATTCATCATCAATGAGCAAAGATGACTCTTGAACTTTTCGTCCTTGTTTTGAGACACTATTTGGTAATGGTTCAGCGGTCGCAGAAGTTATTTCTGATCTCAATTCAAATAGGGAAAATGGATCATCCGTTGCTTTCAAGTGCTGTGGTGAATCGTTCCTGGGAATTTCAGAGGTTGATAAAGTATTACCTGAACCTCTATCATTTATAAATATGTCTAAATCATTCCAATTGTTTTGTTTTGGTATCCCATTTCTATTATCTTTCTGATTTTTCTTCTGCCTCTCGGAGAGTGGCAAGTTAGTCAACGAAGTATTCGACGTCGAAGAATTAGCTGATTTGAAAAGATCCGCAAATGCATCCTTTTTTGGGGGGGACATCAACTAGTTTTTATACGATAGAATTAAGTTCGGTGTTCAGCGTTATTTTGGGTGTCTCTAGCCTCCAAATCTATACTTCCACCGGTAAATATTGTTTCGTCTACTTGATATCGCTAGAATCAGTAAATAGTCGTGGCCGTAAACCAAAAATGCATTTTTTCAACCTCATCTAAAAAGATGAAAGAAATCTTTCACACAGCTCTAAGGTAGGTAAAATATAATATATTCATACGTTAATAGCCATGCATTTAATGTACACTATTGGGGAAGATGGTAAAAGGATATATACCTTAAAGAAAATCACTGAAGACGGAGAAATCACCAAATCTGCTCATCCAGCAAGATTCTCACCAGATGACAAGTATTCCAGACAAAGAGTAACTTTGAAGAAGAGATTTGGCCTCTTACCTACCCAGAACTGAAAATTTATGGATTGAGGATACTTCAACATTCACTTTTATTTTTCAATAGAACGATTTGAATAATCAAAACAGAGGGATAGGATAGCGGCTGGGAACCATCTCTTTTTTAAAGAATAATTTAGTACATTTATTTTCATAGTATGTATTATAAATGAATAGATGATACTGCTTAAATTCCACTTGAACATTCCATGTAGTGATACTAAGGGACTGAATATTTTTTTGGTTTTAAAATTAAGTAGTGTAAAGTAATTATCAGTGTAATTTTGGCTTCAAAGTTATAGGTCAGTCTCGAATAATGGCTAGGGTAATAAGATGGAGTAACTTAAATACTATTGTCTTATTGCTATAGCTATAGCGCCGATAGCATTGCTTTAATTAAATGTGGAAAACTTGCATTTCATCATATCGGGTCTTGTTTTTGGCCAGTAGCTTCTAAATTGAACTCCGAGTTTCTTAAGTAGCTTTCCCACATTTGGGATAAAATTTCATTATCTAAGTTGCGTTTATTTATCTCTTGTAAAGACTTATTCATAGTCACGATAGATTCATTTAAGTTTTCCTTTTTGTTGTTAGTATTGATGTACGCGCCTGTTACATGATAATAGACCTACTTACCATATTGTTTATTATACGCGATAATAAAGCGTTTTGAACTTGTTCATGTGGATTTTCCATGGCCAGTCCTTCTTTAATGTTGTTTTCTGTTGTATTATTGGTGTTTGTTGATAAAAATTGTTTATAGCAGTCGCGATTATCTTTAAATTTTTCGATAGAGATAATATAATATGGTTTATTCCAACTAAGTAGAAGTCCAATGTCGCCGATCGCGATTTTCAATCATGCCTGAGGATTTCTCTATAGATACTTTCTTACATGACAGTGTCAAAAAAGGACGAATATCAGGTGCGTTTCTTAGATCCCAAGAATTTATAGACATTCTTGACTCTTGGGAGGTAAATAAAACTAAAGGCTATGAACAGTTATTCTATTCCAGAAACGAGCAACTAAAGGTGAATTTAACTAGAGAGGGTGCAAGGCTATATAATTTGAGCCGGGATATCTTCAATGAGGAGGAAGAGGTATTAGATGGTGTTAATATTGATCTAACTACTGGCTACAAGGATTATAAATTTTACAGTAGATCAAGATTTCCAGAAGAAGCTGTACGAGGTACGAAGTATGTTGCCTTATTAGAATATGAGAAAGTGAATGGACCAGTAAGAACGAATATCATAACCTCAAGGCATACTCTTTTAGATCTAATGATGATTATTTTCAAGAAAGAATTCTTTTGTACCAATTTAGTTCATTATGGTGGTCAAATTTATATGGAAAGTAATAGAAAATCTCTGCCAATTGATAAGTCTAGTATGACGGGATATAATTTTGAAGCTGTCGTTACTGTTCAGAATGAAGACGATACCAAAAAGCCTTTTGTCTTCGTCCCTCTGAAAAGCAACGCAATTAAATACAACTCAATGATACTTCATGAATTTCCTAGCTTAGATACCTCCATTTTAGTGTCTTGCGAAATTGATGCTATTAAACAGGAGTTTGACAAGTCTCAAGAAATGACTCTTGAGACTGATTCTCGGACTGAAGTTTTAGAAAACTATATTGAATTAAAATCAAAAATTGGCATTTCAAACTCATCCATAATAAAAGCTATTTTGCAATGCTACGTGGCCGGTACTTCTGATCTAAAGGTTGGAATTCGAGATAAGCATTCATCCTGCTTAAAAAGAGTTGCGGAAATTGATGTAAAAGAATATATTCATAGTAAAGGTTCGTTCAAGCTTAGGTATTTAGATAAGTGGTTGGCATTCATTTGCTCGTTTATAAAGCTATCAGTTCGTCGAAGATGTAAGGGGGGAAGCAAAAGAGAGTTCAGAGTTGTATTTGACCTGCGAAACGATATGTTGAAGATTTTTCCATATTCTTTGAATAAAGATGATTTAGAAATAACCGTGCTACCTAAATATTTAGCTTGGAGAGCCCAAGAACTTGAATCACGAAATTTGAAAGATAGCTTTGGAGCCAAGAAACACTGTAAAAAAGCAGACCTCGTTAAAGACAATAAAGAATATAAAAGAAAAAAAGGAAAGAAGAAAAGGCAAGAATTACAAAAAGGGAAAGATGATATCAGTAATATTGATGGGATAAGTAATGACTTAAAGTCCATCCATTTTTAAAAAGTGAGAATATCACAAAGAATATTGATAATGTATATATAAATTCAACATATAAACTACTATCATAAATTAGCATTTACCTTCCAATATCATGTCAGCAACGATTGGCCTATGGTCGCTCATGTAGACTCCGTCAAACTTTGAATGTAGCATACCCCATGACCTTAATTTGAGAGATAAGTGATCCGATGGCAAGCTAGATAATTCACTGCTGCAAATATCCTCGTTGCTCATTTTTTGAGAATACTTGGGGCCAAATATATAATCAATATTTTGACCTCCTTGTAATAACACTTCGCCCTCGAATCCTGTAACTGTCGATTTCAGATGACCGTATTTGTTAAATGGTGTTGTCAAGTGTGACAAATCTTTGAATGCTTTGCTGAACACACTATAAGCCTTGGACCCAGGTTCTGAATTTAAATCACCACACATGAAGGACGGCCATTTATTGAAGTCATCGATAGTATTCCTCAATAATACAGATGAACCTGCTTGTGCTCTCATACCAACATGATCGAAGTGAGTATTAAAAACATTGATGTAATTTCCCGTTTCCCTATGCTTTAGAGTCACAAATGACGCTATCCTTAGATATTTAGCATCCCATCCCTCATATGCCATCTTAGGATTGATTTGATTGAGCCACATAGAATCACTAAATATGAGTTCCCATTCACTCGGTCGATAAAGAATTGGGACGAACTCCCCTGTCTCTTGTCCATCTATTCTTCCAACGCCATAAGCGGCCCATTCAGGCTCACCTGATGACGTATATCTATTAAGCTCCTGCAAAATGTCATTTAACTGAAATCTATAAAGTTCCTGTAACGTTACAACAGTATTTTGCTTTGAATGGAAGTCAATAGAAGCAGCAATTTTCCTAAACCTATCATGCCATTTGTCTTCACCAACTACCAAATCTGTATGACCACCATTTTTCACATTGTGTGAATAAATTCTAAACTTGAGTCGCTTTATTTTCAACTTACTGAAATCCTGTGGAATAATTGGGTAATCTTTATACTCCATGACTGGTCTTCGGGAGTTCAGGTGTATAGAGGAAGCTCCATTCGCTGTTGTATCGTTGTCATCAAAGTTGTCATAAATATTTTTAATGAGCTCCAATTGATCATCATCTAATTCACCTATATCCCCTAAAAAATTGTGGGGATTCCTCAAAGCTGCTAAAATCTCCTCTTCATCCTCTTCAAAATCTCCATCATATTTCTTGGAGTTGTATTCTGATTGGGCATCCTGAGTCAGACTAGAGTTACTATTTACATTTGATCCTAGTTTAGCTCTTTGTCTAGCCCGCCAGCTTGCAAAGTCTTCATATTCATCTGTATCTTCCTGCTGAGGTTGATCATTCAGCTGCTCTTTATTTGAGCTTAAATAATGATTTGAAATGCCAAGCTCTGAATCATCATCCTCTGAACTTTTACCAAAAATGGCGTCTTGTTTGCTTTTTATTCTCTTCTTGTCACTAGATGTAAGATATAGCGCAGTCAACCCAATTAACACTAAAAGAGCTAGCAAGCGAGTCCGTTTCGTACTTTGTAGCCTCGTCATCTTATATGTTTAATGTAACGTATTCAGTTCAGCTGTTGAAGCTATTTCACGAACCATGTGGCTTCGCTCTATATTTTATGTTTGTCGTTAAGCGAATTCTCGTATCCTATTCAAAGGAGAACTCGTTGATCCAAAATGTTTCAAGAAAGGGAATTAATAAAAGAAAGAGCAGTACTTGACTAAATTTATTTTTCTTCTCTTTCCAATGAATGGTTTTAATTATTGAATCAAGTCTATTACCACAAGCTTAAAACTCTATTATCCTTGCTGAAAATGTTTCTTGCACAGAGTAGTGACACGAAGTTGATCTAATCCTGAGTTCGACTCCAAGTGTCGCCTAACGTTTTTTTTTTCCTATCTTTTCTTACTTTGAAAGCCGTTACCGTCGAAAAGATATTGACCCCTTTGTGGGAAGAGCTTAATCCAACCAGGGATAAAGCCTTTGGTTACACGATATACTTATCTTTATTTCTTTATGATTATTTCCCCTGCTTTTACTCTTGTCTGAAAGGTAAGTGTGTATTCACCAGATTCTCAAAATTTTTCACCATTGGGGCATTACATAGAAGGAACTACTAGCAAGAGTAGTTTCTTTCAGAGAAGAGTATAGAGTAACTAGTAAAAATGTCTGCCGTACTCGGAATTACGTTTGGAAATACTTCATCTTCGATTGCCGTTGCTTCGCAAGATGGTAAGGTTGACGTTATTGCAAATCCAGATGGTGACCGTTCGATTCCTTCAGTTATATCATTTGTTGGAACCGATGAATATTTCGGCACCCAGGCTCAATCACAATTAGTTAGAAATGCTAAAAACACTATTATCAATTTTAGAGACTATGTGGGAAAGAAGTTCAGCGATACAGATGTCTCAGCATCAAAATCTGGTGCCAAGGCTGTTGAAGCAAAGAACGGGCAGGTTGGATTCGAAATTACAAAAAATGGAGATAAGACAGAGATTATTTCTGTATCTGACATCTCAAGGACCCATTTGAAGCACTTGAGGTTAGCTGCTGAAGATTACAGTGGTAAAACTATTGAAGGTGTGGTCTTGACAGTACCGACAGATTTTAATAATGAACAAAAAGAAGAATTAATTAAAGTCGCAAAGAGTGCAGGTTTAAAGGTATTGCAGTTGATAAATGAACCTTCTGCTGCATTGATGGCTCATTTATCAGCTCAGCCTGATCGTTTAATGGAAGATAAAATTTTCGTAGTCGCAGATTTCGGTGGTATCAGATCGGACGCTGCTGTTATTGCAGTCAGAGGAGGGATTTTGACGATCCTTTCGACTGCTCATAAACACGGGTTAGGAGGTGATGAGCTCGATGATGCCTTGTCGGAATATTTTGCAAAGGAGTTCGAAAAGAAATATAAAGCTAATCCAAGATCAAATGCCAGATCTTTGGCTAAATTAAAGGCTGAATCAATTGTTGTGAAAAAGACGTTATCTAACGTACAAACTTCTACCTGCTCCATTGAATCTTTGGCTGAAGGTATTGATTTTCATACTTCCATCAACAGATTGAGATACGAATTGACTGCAAGAAATGTATTTACTGAGATGACAAGGTTTGTTGAAAGCGTAGTTAGCAAAGCTGGGTTAGACACTTTGGATATTGATGAGGTACTTTTAGTAGGTGGAACTTCGCATACCCCCAAGTTGGCAGCCAACTTTTCGGCTATATTCCCTGAAACAACCAATATTATTGCACCGGCGTTAGACCCAAAGGCATTAAATCCTTCTGAGTTGGTGTGTAGAGGGGCTGCATTGCAAGCATCGTTGATTCAATCATTCGATGAATCTGAGATTAAAGAATCCTTGTCACCTATCGTGGTAAACACTCAACATTTATCTGCTCCGATTGGTATCAAAGATGTAAACGGGAAATTTCAAACATTATTAGCCACGGAAACAGCTTATCCTATCAAGAGATCAATCCAAGTCTCCAATGGTGAATCACCTGCAGTCCTGGTTTCTTTATATGAAGGTGAGAGAACCATTCATGAAACTGTCATTGAGTCAGAAAAGTATTCTGATGATGAGGAAGATGATCTTTCGGAAGAAGAGCCTGAAGTTGTCAAGAAAGTTGTTTATGTTCCGGGCAAATTATTGGCTGAATTATCTTTAAAAGATTTGAAGCCTAATTCTAAGTTAGATATTACTGTCAACATTACGCATGATGGCGTATTGCATTTTTCAGGAAGAGAATTGAAGCAAGGATCTGTCGCTGTGAAAGGTGAAGTGCTTCCTACTCAATAAACTCTTTACTTCTAGACCTATATAGACTATCCGTTAATACTATGTGCCCAATTTAATTTATATCGTACACAAAAATCGTACTATGCAAAACGAGACATCCTCAAGATTGAGACAAAGACACATGATTGTTGGATTATATCTTATTAACCATTGATAAGAGCTGAGAGGCTTTAAAGTTTCGAAGATGGAAAAGAAAAAGCAAGAGATGTCTCAGATTTACAATCCTAAGAATGAATTTATTTTTGGGGAAAATGGTGGTAAGGGCAAACATTTATCGTCTTTCCTAAAGAACTTGTCATTGACTGGGAGCACATCTACAAGCTCCAAAAAGCCTAGTAGCTATAAAGATGCCAATAGCAATATCTATGGAGACATGTCTTATGGATCGTCGAAAAATACAAGTGCTATTGAAGGTTATAAAGGAGGATCACCAATTCAGAGATCAACTTCAGTAGGGGCTTCGTATACACATTTTAATCCAACAGATCATCAGAAGGCTGATAATAACCCCTTACTGTCTTATGCGTTGAATCCAAATCATTCTAAGTCTTCGCCAGCAATAAAGCGGCCACATGCGAAAACTCGATATGCTGATTTAGATGATGACTGGGATGCTGGCCTAGACGAGGTCAATGCGTCAGATATTAGGAAAAGCTCCCACGAAAAGGGCCATATTTCAAGAATTACGAATGAGGATAATAAGTCATCAAGATCATCATTGAACTTACCAACAAATACAGTTTTGGATTCGCTTTATCCAGATTTAACAATATCTGCTGCTGGTACAAAGATAGATCCACCAAACACAAATAAAGATAAAATTTCACTTGATAACGAAGATTTACGAGCAAGAGCTGAAGTCATTAAACTCAACCAATTGAATTCTAAATATTCAAAATTCAGAAAATTGTTGACCGAAGACGGAAACATTCAAATACAAGAGTTACGAAGGTTATCATGGAATGGCATCCCACCAGAACTAAGAGCAATTACGTGGCAAATACTCTTAGGATATTTACCAACTAATAAATCTAGGCAATTCTCCACTCTCAAAAGAAAAAGAGAAGAATACTTGGAAGGATTAAGAGTAATTTCTGTGGACCTTGATGATGATGCTCCCTCGAATACTTCTGTCTCTTCTCTTGCAAGTAACAGTACAGCGAATAGGGAGAAACAACTCTCTCACCAAATTAAGATTGATGTCAAAAGAACAAATCCCACAGTGAAACTATATGGCTATCCTGAAGTCCAACAATCTCTAAGAAAAATTTTATTCTTATGGGCAATGAGACACCCAGCGAGTGGATATGTTCAAGGGATAAACGATCTTTCTACTCCATTTTATCAAATATTTCTACTCAATTACATCTGGCAACTACAAAAGAAAAAGGATGAGAATGATTTGTTCATTCCCGGATTATTGGACGAATCAGACACGAAAGAACAAGATCTATTAAATGACCCAATGCTTATGCATTATAACTTGGAAAACTTCAATCCTAATAAGCTTTCTTCGCGGGTTCTTTCCATAATTGAAGCGGATACTTACTGGTGTTTATCACGGCTTCTTGAAAATATCACAGATAATTATATTCATGAGCAACCAGGAATAATTCGTCAGGTCGGTGAATTAAAAAATCTTATTGCAAAAATTGATATGGAGCTTCTCAAGCATTTTGACGATGAAGGTGTTGAGTTTATTCAATTCTCATTTAGATGGATGAACTGTTTATTGATGAGAGAACTTTCCATAAATTTAATCATAAGAATGTGGGATACGTACTTGAGTGAGACCCCCTTAGGATTCAATAATTTTCATGTATATGTCTGTGCCGCATTTCTTATCAAGTTTAGCAGTGAGCTAAAGCAAAAGGATTTTCAAGAAATTCTACTTTTCTTGCAAAACCCTCCAACATCCAAGTGGAAAGAAAAGGATATCGAATTAGTTCTTAGTGAAGCTTTTATTTGGCAGAGTTTATATAGAAATGCCAGCGCTCATTTGAGGTAAAATAGATTAAATAGGCTTTAAAAAAAGATTGCATATTCTCTACTGCCCGAGTCAGTATTGCATCTCTAGCAATTTTCGCAGAGTTAATTTTTTATAAATTGACCTAATTCTCATTCGATTCGAAGTACTTTCTATCGCTGGAGGTACCATACTGTGAAGCTGTAAAGCGCTATCGTTTGCTCAACGCATTGAATATATTGTTAAAGAAATTTTTCAACAAAAGATTAACATAGAGTGCCTTAAGCAACAATGACAGAAGCCACCAAGGAAATAAAACCCGCTGGAAGAACCATTTTAGCCTCAACAATAGCCAAGCCTTACACGGATGAAGTCACAAAGAACTTACAGAAGCTTAGTTTCACCCCCAAATTAGTTGGTTTCTTAGCAAATGATGATCCAGCTGCCAAAATGTATGCGAACTGGACTAGTAAAACGTGCGAATCATTAGGATTCAAGTATGATTTGGTCACAGTTGATAAGAATGATTTAGAGGGAGCCTTGATACGGGCAAATAATGATGAACTAGTGAATGGTATTATGGTATACTTTCCAGTTTTTGGTGACAAGCAAGATCAGTATCTACAGCAATTGATTTCTCCAGCGAAAGATGTGGAAGGATTGAATTTCTTGTACTACAAGAATCTTTATCACAATGAAAGGTTTTTAGACCCACCTCATAATGAGCAGAAATCTATACTTCCATGTACTCCACTAGCATTAGTCAAAATTCTAGAGTACCTAGGTGTCTATAATAGTCTATTACGTTATGGGAACAGACTCTACGGAAAAAAGGTAATGGTTGTCAACAGGTCTGAAATCGTTGGTAGACCCTTAGCAGCGCTTCTTGCTAATGATGGAGCAACTGTTTATTCTGTTGACATTAATAATATCCAACAATTTACGAGAGGTGATGACTTACTGGAACTGAGGCACAAAGTCATTGACTTGAACACCAATGAATACACTATAGAAAACCTCGCACCGCAATGCAACGTGATAATTACTGGGGTACCTTCAGAATCGTATAAGTTTCCTGCTGATTTAGTCACTTATGGTACTGTCGTCATAAACTTTTCAAGCAATAAGAATTTCAATGACGATATCAAATTGAAAGCTGGACTTTATGTCCCTTCAATCGGTAAGGTTACAATTGCAATGCTTTTAAGGAACCTTCTCCGATTAATAGAAAATAAGCAAATAAGGATACTGAAAGCTGATGGCCCTAAAGAGGTTGAATAGACAGATGCATTCAATAACACTTTCTTTGTATGCAGTATCATGTAAAAGGGGAACGAGTCAATTTTTTTCCTTTTAGTTTCTGATTAAGAGATATGTGAATCATAATATTGCAACATAGTGAATAAATATTCTACTCTTATAGCTATATCATCGTCATCTAGAATATCTATTTATTTTATATCGATTGAGCTACCTCGTTATAGACATATTTTCCAGGAGGTTATTGAGCAGGTATCACCAAAGCTTTTATATGTACGTGGATGAGGTCCAACGAAGAGGGATTGCAAAATCTGAAAAGTAAAAAGGTCCAAATTGATCCCTTGGCTGTAACTGAGTCTCTTGGATTTCAGACGTTCAGAAGGGATACAAGGAAGCCATGGACGAAAGAAGAGGATGAAAAACTAATGTCTGTTATAAGTCACTTATATCCACTTCAAAATAATTCCTTAGAAGTTGATTCAATTAAATGGGATATCGTTGCTCAAAATATTTCGCCGAGTGGTTTGAGAAAACCAAAGGACTGTCGAAAAAGATGGAGTAACTCTTTGGATCCAAGTTTGAAAAAAGGAAAATGGACGAAGCTGGAAGATGAGCAACTCGTTAAAGCATATGAAAAGTTTGGTCCTTCGTGGCAAAAAGTGTCCGGGGAGATTAATGGCAGAACTGATGATCAATGTGCAAAGAGATACATAGAAGTTCTTGACCCAAATACAAAGGATAGGTTGAAACCATGGGAAAGAGAGGAAGATTTGAAACTAATCAGGTTGGTCAAGGCACATGGAACAAAATGGAGAACCATTGCAAACGAATTAGCTGGTCGGCCCTCTTTAACATGTCGTAATAGGTGGCGAAAATTAGTAACAGAGGTTGTTCGTGGTAAAGCAGATCTGATAATTAAATCCGAAGTAGATTTAGTAACTCAAGGGACTTCAAAACTGCTGGGCAGCTTCAAAGATGGAACTATGATTGAGTCTGGAGATATTGCAGAGCCTTCTTTTCGATCCTCTCTATCGAACACATATTCGGAGAATTTGAGTTCTCGAGTTTCCGAGCATTCAAACACACTGGCACGTCAAAAGCCACAACCTTCGGGTATTAGTAGACCAGTCCATAGGAAAACCGAATGGACTTATGCATTGACAGATGATCGGAATGATCAGAACGCGCTTACAAAGCATTTATTTGGTGCAAATGGAGGTAATATCAAGAATCAAGAATTAGCACAATACTTGGTTTCTTATGCTCAAAATCAGAACTTGAAAATTGATATCCATCAACATATACACCACCACTATCCACCAGCACCTAGTGAAAATAACAATTTTCTTAATTATCAATCTATGCATCTTCCTGGAATAATTAATCAAGCCCCGTCACCAGATGATTTCAGTGCTAATAGAAAGGAAGCTTTTATGGATTCAGAGCCTCTGAAGTCAAGATATCAGCATTTTAATTATCTTCCCCCTTTGACAGAAGTGCCTAAACTCAACTCATCCAGGTCACTTAACGAGATACAAAGATCGGAGCCTCCCCAGCATCATCATCACCATCACCATCATCATCATAGCATACACGACACGTCAAGAGAAAATGATCGAGAGACATATAGGCAAAGTTTGTCTCAAAAAGAAGCTACCAATTTAGAGAAATTATTGAACCAAAATGATCACCAACAATCATCTGGCTCGTTAGATGCTTCTAGAACTGTGGGAGAAGAATCTATGCGTTCAGGTTCCTTGACTCCTCTAACGCATGCAGTGGAACTAGCGGCCGCAGCAGAGGCTAATGTCAGTAAAAGAAGACCATCAAACTCAAGTGTCAATGGTGGCCGAAAGCGATCCAAGCAGAATACTAATGACACAAAGAACAAGGGTGCTGAGGACGAAGAGGGCGATGGTTTCGATTTCTGGAATGCAATGAGAAACTTAACAGACATGGCAACACAGCAGAATAATCAGACCTCTCCATCTCAAAGGTTTCAAGAATTCACTCAATCGAGGCAAAAACCTGTTTCGCAGCACCATCCTCTTCATTATAGCAGAGGAAGCACAACCCCACAACCTCAGGTTCCTCAGAATCTGTCTCATCAGCAGAGAAGACACCGGAGGAATTCATCGAGTGGTAATGAAGACTACGAAGAGCTCGATGAAGAGGTTTTGAACTCATATGGTTTATTCTATAATGTTTATACCAAAGAAGGCTCGACTTTACCTGAAACCCAACCACAAAAGCTATCGCTTGAAGATGATATGATAGACTTATATGGTACTATTCCATTCAATCCTTCATAACTTAAGTAGTTCCTAAGGTATTTTGCAACTGTAGATCATATACATTATATACTTGCGCGCAATGATGCACAAAGATATAAATCGGGTTTAAGATTAAAATAAAACTTAACTTGAATCATTCATTCACAAACGTACAAGATATTAATGAACATAATTATATAGACTAAAGGGGTAAAGGACATTCAGATATCCGATAAACAAATGTCTAAAGCTAAGGGTTTAGACAACGAAGTTAATGGGTATCCCCTGAAAACGCATGATCTAGAAGCTAAGTCATTCTATATCAAAGTAATCAACAAAGAGTTTCGAAATCTACAGCTAGATAAAGCTTTGAGATCTAAGTCTATATTTGATTTAATAGACTACTGTGAGCTCCTTTATGAGCAGCTGTCCGCAACAAGAGATAAAAATGATGCGATAAGATTGTATGTCAAAGGATTTTTGATTTTTAATTACTTCATAAACAGTTTCATAATGGTCCATTTTCATGGTTTTGATGCATTCATTGAATCCAACGAACAGGATTTCATTATCTACTTGAATGTATTTGCATTTTATGTCAATAAATTAGCTATCGAAAATGATTCTTTCACGATCCCCTTAGAGCATTTGAGAAGGTGGATGTTGGAATATTTAATGGACAACGATCTTCTCAATTTCGATGTCAAAGAGCTATACGAATGGTTATTCGAGTATATTGATTATCTAAAGAATAAAGATAATTCGTTGGAAGAAAATAGTGATACAGGTCGTGATCTTAATTCACTTCAAGAGGACCCATGTGAGTACACAAATAGCCACCTATTACCCAAGTCCGACAAGATATATAATTTGGCTGATATCAATTTAGAAGATTCCACTATATCCTCTAATAGCCAATATAATGTTGATCCAGTGAAACAGTTTGTAAATAGATACCCTTCGGTCAAATTAGAAAAAGAGCCTATCTCAACGAATGAAACTTATGGAATTTCGTTTCAAAGATATAAGCCATCAGATTCCATTTCAACTTTGCCTGATCTCCCACAGGTGGCACCGCCGGCACCTCCGCTCGCTTCATATCAAGAGAATGTTTATTCATCTACTCCTTACCCCGTTGATGTGCCTCCTAAAAGAGCTCCTTATCCTATCCGAGAAAATTCATATGACGATTCTACTTTCATAGATGAAGATTTAAATGGAAGTCTGAAGCATCATTTACGATCTAATGGAGAGTCATCTACAAATGTTCTAGAGAGAGAAAAAGAATATCATCGTCCTCAACATCCCTATAATTTAAATAAGAGGCCACCTATCGCTGTACCGAGCCAAATAAATGCCAGCGGTGTGATACCTTACAAACTGGAAGTTGAACGCCCTCAGGTCATACCAGCCCCTTCAGTGTTGCCTTTCAATGGAAATGGAAGTAGAAGTGGAAGCACATCATATGTACCTCCTGTGGCACAGCAGCTGCTTATAGGTATAAGTCCACATTTTGGTCTTCAGTATAATAATAACAGTGATTTTAGTAATGGATCATATCCATCACAATCTAGGGTAAATTTCCAAGCTCCTCAAAATAAATCTCAAAAAGTAGAAAGCATGAAGGAGTATGCCATATGTGGTCTTAAAAATTTTGGCTCGTCCTGTTACATAAACCTGACTATCCAATTATTATTTGGACTTCTGGATTTTAAATCCGTATTTCACAACCTGGAGTATCAAAAATACATTCGAGATCCGAAATATGTGGATATTATAAGGGCTCTGAAAATGAATAAGAATCCAGTTTTGCTTTCAGAAGCAATTTCTAGTCTATTGAAAGTTTTTGAAAGCCATGGAAGTGCGTCCATTGCTCCTACAAAATTCTTGAGAGTTACTTCTTTATTGAAGCCAGATTTTCATATACCCCATGAGCAGCAAGATGCTCAAGAGTTCTTATTATTTATTTTAGAAAGATTGCATGAAGAATTGTCTTGCAAAGTACCAGAGCTGGTAGAAATTACGGATGATTCTATTGAAAGATATATATCAAAGTGGAACATTGTCATTAGCCAGAAAGATAAAGAGGAATACTTCAAGTGGTATAAGTCTTTGATCAAAAGTGAAGGCGACTCTCCAATTCATGATTTATTCCAAGGGCATTTACAAAACAAGTTGATATGTTTCCGATGTAAATACGAGTCAATTAATTATTCTCCATTTACAATATTATCGTTGCCAATTCCTAATAAACATGGCGAAAGCGTGGATTTGTCTGATTGTCTCAAATACTATATCCAAGACGAAGTTTTAACTGGTGATAATGCCTGGAATTGTCCCAAATGTTCTAGTTCTAAGCCACTGGACTCTTCTAATAGCTCACTTGATAACCACCCTGTTTTTAATAATAAAAAGTCTGGTATATTCAAATTCAGTCGAAGGGCTAAGTCGCCGTCCAGAGACGTGCAAAAAACCCCTTTGAATCCTACTGAGGGTTCTATTTCAATCAAGACGCTTGATTTTATAAAGCTTCCTCAAGTTCTTTTCATTCATTTATCAAGATTTTCAATGTTTAACGTAACAGACAAGCTAGACACAAAAATCCAGTATCCATTAGAATTAAAGTTCAAAAATCACAATTATAGCATTGGATACAAGTTGACCGGTTTGATTAATCACTATGGAAATCTCAAAAGTGGACACTATACGTCTTTGGTGAATAAATCTGTAATAGGTCATAATTTAGATAAGTTGGACAACTTAAAGCATCCTTATTGGTGTTTGTTCGATGACGACTGTATCAGAGTTAATATGTTCCATGGAGATATCAATCACAAAACCCATAACTCATTTCATTCAAGAGATGTCTATGTGTTATGCTACGAAAGAACCTCTTAATCTCATATTGTGCATTATTTAGAAAACAATTTGTTACTTATTGCTTCAATTTTCATGCTTTTTCTCTTATTCGCACCATTCGTTGAGTCAGCACCATTATCATTCTAGTCGGTACTACTGGCGCTCTAATCTTCATTCTCATCGTCATAGTTGAATGCATTTTTTATTTTAAGTTTCTTATTCTGCTTTTGTAGAATAGTAAGTTTTACAGGCTCCTGTGAAGCGATAGGCTCAGGGATTCCTTGAGGCTCTTTATCCTTTGCTAGCTCTTTACCTAACTTCATTTGTTTATCAATAAATCTCTTTGATACCTCTTCGTCTGACTTGAAAGTTTGATTCCGTTTTTCTAGCTTTTTTTTCTTCAACTTGTTTTCTGATGAAGAGTCAACCAACAGAATCTCTAAATTAAATTCCGAATCTGAATCTGAATTTGGCTTCAAGTTTTCTACTCTGATATAACCCTTGCTTCCCAAGTATCTGATAAAAGATGTTAGACTTGACCATCGAGTCGAATTCATGTGAATATGATTTCTATCTGTTAATATGTATTCTTGATAAAACTTGTTTGCGTTTATCTTCTTTGTTCCATGATTTATCTTCAATAGCCTAAGAAATTCTTTTCTAAACTCTTCAGAAAACTCCTCAACTACGTGGTATCCCTTTCCACTTTCATTTAAACTTTCAATTTTTCTTTGATGGCTCATTGAACTCAAATGGTTTTTGAACCCATTTGCATCCCTACACTGTTTAGCACATAATTGGCAATAAAATTTTAATTTCTGTAATCCTGAGGCCTTGAGTTGTTTAGAATAATATTTGGCAGTTCCTAATTCTGCTTTTCCCATTACCAATAAATAAATTTACTATAAAAAGGCTGCTAATGATAATTATTAGAATATTAAATTTTGTGAGACATCGTCAGATTGACATTTGATTATATGATGATACTAATTGAATCATGATTAGATGGAAACTTTTGAAAGAGACTTCTAAGTTATCAGCAAATGTGAACAGACACCTTCATAGTTCAAGGCTGTATGTCAGTTACCCTCCAAGAAAGTCATATTCAGCAAACTTAACCCCATTGCAAGTTTTTTGGAATCGAAGAGTTCCAATAAATTTCAAATATTTTAGCTTGATAGGTGCTTCGGCGTGGGGATTGACTCATATACATCCTAATATTATTGTAACATTGGGTCCACCTATTGCATTAGGTGCTTGGTATTCGTATAAAAAGTGGATAGCGAAACAAAGGAAAGTGGAAATTGGGAAGATCATACCAAGATCAAAATCTGAAATTACCCTTCAAGGAGATAAGGTTGAGATCTTAGTTTACGATGAAAGCGATATCTTCAATGTTTTACATAACCTTGAAAACCAATACGACCATTTTAAAATCCAGGTGATCGACTTGATAGAGAGGAGGATTATTGATTACATTACTTTAAATAACGATGAGTCGGCTCAAAATTTTTCCCTATTGATAGATGAGAATAACCAATTTTGTTTTAATCTTGAACCCAATGACATCGAAACTTTCATCCTGACGAAGGTTCCCTTTCCCAAATTTGAGGACGATGGTCGAGTTTTGCCGAGCTCAAATGATAATTTAGACATGGTGGACTATATAAAGTTATCTTTGCCAGTATTCACTAGTAAGGATGTAAGTTCAAGAAAACGGGTGGGTACCATTGAAGCTTATATGCTCGAAATACCGTGTGAAAGTCCTCGAGACTACAGTGAGTATTCTATGCTAATAAAGTTTACACCATTTGCTTCATTCCGCAGAAGCTCAGGAGCTTTCGAAGTTAGGAACATTAGAGATAGAGGGGTTTACCAAAGCCAGCTCTTGAAAGAGGTTCGCTCAAGAACAAAAGGGGGCTCCGAGGAAGATCCTGAACATGAAATTACTGTAAATATATAAAATAATAGAATCTAAAGCTTTTGCTCATCTTCGAAAATAGTTATTGTAAGATTTAGAGAATTCCCCAAATTGATATTCATGGCATCCGGACGATTCTTCAATAGTCTTGAGCTGCGGTAACCAAGATTGAATGTCTTTTATTCTCTTAGACGTGGCAGGGTGTGTAGAGAAAAACTCTTGGAAATATCCCTCTCTTAAGTTCTGTTGTCTTTTCATTTGTTCCTCATATGCGTTCATCCTTTGCCAGAATTGAACTGCTTCGTTTAAATTGAAGCACAGCTTAGCCATTAATTCACAGCCAATGTGATCAGCTTCAGATTCCATTTCTCTCGATGCTGGCATTTGCAAAACACCCGCAATAAGCAAATCATTAAACCAAGAGATCCCAGTTAAGGCATATAAAAATGTCGAAAGAAAGACATAAAATGGTTGTGAAGAAAGCTGTTCTGAGGAATGATGCGCCAATTGGTGAGATAATTCATGAGACAAGACCGTTGCCAACCCATCATCGTTCTCACAGATGGGTAATATTGATGAAAAGATAAATATCTTTCCATTTGGTAAAACGAATGCGTTAGGTGGAACCTTCCTTGGATCGACCTCTATTATATGAATTCTCCAACCTAAACTTTGTAAGTGGCGCTTTTGCTTCTCATCCATAGTTCCCAGTAACGCAGAAGTCAAAAGCTTATTCATCACATTGCTCACTCTTCCATATAATGGATTGTTTTCCGGAAGTATCTGGTTATTATATTGATACAATATTTGTCTATAAGAATAATCTCCAATTTTTGTCTCTAGCCAATATGGAATCCATAAGAATCGCCTTCTATGAGTGTACGGCGCTTCATCTTGATTATAAAGGTAAAAGCCAACCAATGATAATCCAACATAGACCGTTTTTCTGCTCTTCAAAACGTCTTGTAATGTAGGCCCATTAGTTCCATTAAATCTCCTGTAAGTAGCATACTTTCTTACAGGATAATTAAAGTAGCTATTATGGGAAACTGAGAATCCACAACGAGTAGCAGACTGACCTCGGAAACCTTGTTTTATCAGCAAGAGGTTGCGTAATCCTGTTACTTTGAACATCCCTAAAAGTGGTCCTTTACGAGAGCCTTTAACTTAAATCTTTTATTACCAAAAAAATAAAAGCGAGGATACGACTACATATATATAATATATAAATGAACAAATAATATTATCAAATATTGGTGAGAATGGAACATAAAATATCAAGCTAGAACTAAATGAACGCTTGGAGCCAATGAAATATCGAATTTGTTTCTATTTATCTTTTCTCCTGAGACAATGCACTGTGATTAAAAACATGCCTATGTTAATTTTTTAACCCGATTTGAAATTTGATTTGAGATAAAGCTCCAAGAGTTCTATCAATTGAAAACTACTTCAGTAGCCGGCTCTTCCTCATTGAAAGGTGAGGCAGCTCCGGATCTTTCGTTCTTACTGAAGTCATCGTCATATTGCCCCCGTAATACGTTCCCCAACTTCGTATTATTATCCCCCTTCTTTTCCGTTTCTTGATGTTCTGTTTTGTCACTAGTATTCCCTAGTATCACAGGGTTTGTACCTTCAGTAACAACAGGGGCTTTTGCCTCATATACGAAATTATCATTCATAGCGGTGTCATTTACGAGATCAGTCTCTATGATGACATCTGAGCTTGAGTTGGTGGAGGACATTGGAATTCTAGGCTTAACAACCATAGTTGCGGCTCTTGAAGGGAGTTTTTCGAAAAATGTGGGACCGTTCAACTGTTTAGCAAGATTATCCAAAGACTTTTCATGCAGAGACCCTGCAATGCTGATATTAGAGCTCCTACTTTCATCTCCATGGCCATTTTCTGTAATGGTAGCGGGAGGTCCCGACTCTTTATTTATTGTTACCAGAGATGAATGGTGGTTGCCGTTTTGGTGTGGTAATATCGGAATGAAGGTTTCGTAAAAGTCATACGATGAAGCTGTCTTCAGATGCTGTGGTCTTTGTGGTAAGGATGTCGAACGAGAGTCAACAAAGTTAGAAGACGAAGATCCATGTGAGAGAGATGATTGGTACGGCTTCTCGGCAATGTGTTCGAGCTCGCCCTGAGGTGCATTCGCCTGATTCTTGTTATATGGTCTATGAAGCTCATCTTGAAACTGGCAAAACAGTTGGTCATCTTTTAACCCAATGTCTATCTCTGATTCATTCAAGTCCTCCTTTTTTAGCTTACGATGATTTCTAAACCAGAGAACTGATCCGACCATAAAAATCAAGGCGCATGGCACCCCGATAGCCAAACCTACCGCTAGCCCTTCTCTGTAACCCATGGGACGCTATCTGCTGCTTGTGCTACTTTGCTTCGGCTTCAGTGCGTTCCACTAGAAAGCTTCCTCCGTACTTCTAAAAAAAGCCTGAATCCGCAAGTCTGACACTTCTCTTTTTGAACGAATGTGGTTGATATCCTGATCCTTTGTTCACCTTCCTTTCGAAATGAAATTAAGCGAATGTATTGATATACCAGAAGTCTATTAGATCCAACCAATATATCTAATTATCGAGTTGCTAGTTTTTCCTTTGAACTACCCTTTTTTCCCCTGTTTCCTGTAATTTCTGCTCGCTTCTTGAAAGTCTTTCCGGCACCCTTATTTCTTACAACGGGGCATATTTGTCGGGCGCCTTATTTGGAAATACGAGGGCTGGCTTACTGTGTCGCGGGCTTAGTATTAGACATGAATTAATTATAATGCTATATACAAGCTAGGGCGGTCGGACCGGTAAAATCAGCTCTTAGTGGGAAGTTCTGGCGACCACTTATAATGCTAAATTTGCCTAGATTAAAAAAGAGACCGCAGGATCACTAGTGAGGTCGTACTGCTCACCGTTTACCTCAAGAAGGAAATGTTCAACATTAAAAGGGAGCAACTTTGATTCTCTTTTAGCCTTAAGTAAAACTGTACCGTTAGCAGCAGAGCCTGAAACTTTGAACAGAATATCAACGTTACCCTTCACGGCATTCAACGTTCCCCATATCCAGGGCCATGAACTTGCAAAAGCTATGTGTTTGCCTAGGTGCTCTTTCGCTATATCCGATCTTCTTAGAAAGTACATACTAGAATTAATAATAGGGGACCTTGTCTTCTCGTAGTTAAAGATAATGACGCAAGACAAAGTGACCCCGATACCATATGCCCAAAAATATCTTCTGTTTTGCTTCTGTTCAGCGAAAGGATCTGGAAGCTCCCTATCCATCGACGGTTTGGCCGTCCAGTGTGGTTCTGCTTGATTCCAGACACGAGCACTCATGTTTATGCTTCGCGATGCCAACCTCCATCTCAAGAAGGTATTCAATGGGCTTCCTAAGCCTATGCTTCTCTTTGACAACATATACGTAAGATTGGCTATTCTTAAGTGCTTTTTTTGCTTGGTTTTATGGCCATGTAAGTATATTGGTCGCTCTGCAATAGAGCAGAGCTTGATGGTCGCTCAGATCAGTTCGTGCACGTGAACTTGACGTATAACTGAGTACGTCCGGTAATTTTGAGAGCGCGCCTACGATAAAGCTTTTGATATTCGCTAACATAATTAGCCAAACCTGCGCATCTGATTTCATAAGTCAGCTAGAGCTTAAATACAGGGCATCTCTTTGGCTAAGAAGATATCACATCCTTAGCACGGCGATCTCAGTAAGATGTCAGCCATTTCGGGAGCTTGCCTGGTGGCTAAAGTGTCAGGCATGATTCATATTAGAGAGGATGCCACTCCTCTGGTGTTGGAATGGCGAGCTATTGATCAACTGAAGACTATACTTATTCCTCTTAGGTCATTGAACAAATTACAGGCATCAAAGGAAACGTCCCCAAAGATTATGCTTAACGTTATCTATAAGGCTGAAGATGGCGAAAATAAAGAGCTAAGGTTGACGTTCACCAATCGACCCACCATGAATAATATCAAAGAGTCTTTGCAGACTATTGTAGCACGACTGAAGACAGTCATCAAGGACAGTCCAGCTCCAGGAACGCCAGGAGGAGATAATTCTGGAAGTAATTCGACACCATCTGCGACACCTGTCCCTGGATCTGCAGATTCATCTGCTTCAAATCCATTATCATTTGCAAATCAAGAATCATTATCTGATTCTAGTTTGCTAAAAAATCATCAGTTGCAGCAGAAATTGTTGCTAGAAGATCGAAATCTAAGAAACATATTTACATTATCGGTCATCAAATTCAAATTATCTCCTACGATTTTCTGGTCTACGAGGACAAATCAATTGAGAACATATGCATTGACAATTTCTCAACATAGGGGCCCCTATAACGTTTTGTCCACTATAAAGCCAGTTGCTTCTTCTGACAATCAGGTTAATGTGAATGTAACAAGAAATACAATCAATGAAATATTCGATACATACCCTATTGTTAAGAAAGCATTTAATGAATTGGTCCCTCATAAATTTCAAGAAGGCGAATTTTGGTCAAGATTCTTCAATTCAAAACTCTTCAGGCGTTTGAGAGGTGATAAAATCAAAAATAGTGACCGTGGAGATGTTATGTTGGATAAATACCTATACATTGATCCTAACTTTCGAGAGGATGGGCCCGGCGAGGATATCAACTCGAAAGACGATGTAGATAATGAAAGGGAGCCTAGCGTTAGTAAAATTATTGACGTACAAGGCAATGAAGAAGATCATTGTGAGACCTTAGGTAATATGCCAGATATAACAATGAGATATACTGAAGAGTCAGTTAAGCAAAACCCATTGCTCAGCTCCACTGCAAGGGGTAGTAAGCAATCAAGTGCGCCGCAAGAAAATGAAATGATAATTCTCATGAAGAATATGAATAACTTATCTTCGAAGATGGTTCAGATGAACCAACCTAGTGTAATCAAGTCTGCAAAAAAAAGTGATACAAACGGAGAGCCTGATCAATTATCTATAGAAGAAACAAATGAATTACAAGAAGAGTTGAGCTTGCATGACTTGAACGAAGTTCAAGATCTGAAATTCATTAAGTTGAACATTAATACAAACGCCCAATCACACCATTCTAATGCCGATGAAGAAGAGTCTTTTAGTTCTGAGGCTATGTCTAATTTCTTTAAGAAAAGTTTAATAGAGCCAAATGGCGATAACGGAATTGATCTTACTGGGACTTACTTGACTAAAGTTGACGACATAGATAAGTCGGCAGCGGAAGTAACTTCATTAACCAAGCAAAATGCCAGGACCTTTAGACTAGTAAATAAGATCAACACGAATGAAAATAATATCTTGTCAAGAAATAATGTCCAAGATATTGTCACTTTCAATATAACGATAATGGAGTTTTTGTCCCATTTCTGGAAACTTTATTTGAATGGGCAAAACCCTGGACAATTGAAGAAACTTTTCGCTAGCTTGAAAAGCTGTAAGTCTGGGCTTGATACATTGAAACAAAATATAACCAAAGGATTCGATGATAACCCATTGGTTCGTAACAACCCTAAAGTGAGAGATAAGCTAGTCAAAGATCTACAAAATTGCGTGAAACCAATGGAAGAAGGTTTATCAAGGGCTTTCGAAGTTTACATCGAAGTCGTTAGGCTCGCTCGTGAGCTGTCTAATACTAAAAACAATAATGGCAAACGACCCATTGATAATTAAATGCCGTTATATAGGCTTGTACCTTTGACACTATACTAATTCCAAATAAGCATATTCGTATATACATATATTTATATATATATATTTACATTCTCATTGATCTATATTATGGGTTAAATCATATTATGAACACTTATTATGTAGTTTTATAGTATAAGCTCTGTGAGGCAACGCCGTGAATGTACTCTTTTCCTGGCTACTTTTGTTGTGATCTGTCTTTAGGTGAATTAATTGACTTTGATATTAGCGACATATCGCCTTCTAAAGATAGCAAGGAGTCAGAGGTCGAGTTTTGAGACAAAAGCCTTATGAGGCACTGGTCTACTAATTTGACCATGTTTTAATTTGCTCGTCGTATCTAACTAGTTCTAGATTTTTCATATGCTATTTGCATGTATGTACGTTGGTACATAACGCCTTCAACTATTACTCAACTAATGTATACCTAAGTCTGATTACCTCGTCATTGATATATATGTACATATACTCTTATCAATTATTTTGTTAATTATATTTCCTCTTTATATTGTCTTTTTATAATTGTATATATTCATTTCTGTACTTTATATATTTATATTTTATTTTATTTTACTTTTCTTTATTTTAATTTATGTATATTTTTATTTTTGTTTATTTTATTACTATTTAAATACAAACCTTTTAAATACAAACCTTACTTACTGTACTAATACATTGCATCTCTGTCCTATTAGCTTTCATTGTATACTCTCATCGCACTACTCACATATAGAAAGCGTTAAGATGCTAATCATGATTGTAGGTTGCATGACAAGCACCAACACAAGCCAAATGTATAATCGTCAACCCCACATTGACAGCATAATTTGGGCATAGGTCCAGTAAATGTTTCAAAGCCTTACACGAATTAATGCATGAGGAGAAACTCCTCTTCCCATAATCTAGGTCATGCGCGTCAGCGAATGTATTATTATATTCTAAGGCTATGGCGTACAATTCATCATAATCAATGGTGTTAGAACCGTTTGTGATGGATGCACTTATTTTATCATTAGTGTGGGGTGCTAGTGTCACATTTAACCCTACCATATCAAATAATTCCATATCATCATTTAAGTCTCTCTTTCCCACTTCGCCTGGGTGATGTTGACACACCCATTCACAAGTCGACACCCGACACCCATACTTCCAGTCGTCGTATGATATTCTCTCATTATTGAATATAGAGTCAAAGTCAGGCCCATCACAATTATAGGCGCCCTTGCATCCCGTGTTGTAACCCTTTTGGTCACAGTATGATTTACAGGTTGCTGAAAACACGATGTTAATCAATGTGAGGACTATCTACAAATTTGTAACAAATTTATTTGTCATATTCATCAATGATCTTCTCGTACAATTGCTTTTCACCCTCTAAATATAGATTAGAAGCGTGCTTGTCGAATACCAATCTTAATAAGATCAGGTAAGTATAGACGTTGATTACATGTAGTGGTGTCTAAAATATCAATAGTAACGACCCAATAACTTTAATCATATAGGAAAAATATTAAGCTACGAGTACAACAGATGAAAAAACCAGAAAAGAAAGGATCAAAGAGAGCCGGTGAATTTTTCCTCAAGAAAAGAAGACAGAAAACAAAATATGACATGGGAACGACCGACCACTCGACTCATGTATATTATATGCAGTACCCGTACATGTACTAGGAGTAGAGGGCCGTTACCTGATCTTATTAAGATTGGTATTCGACAAGCACGCTTCGAATCTATATTTAGAGGGTGAAAAGCAATTGTACGAGAAGATCATTGATGAATAACTGGTTTCCAGATCACATGACCTAAGAAGTCTACTTCTGTTAGCATAAATTCACAAGTATTCTCTTTTAGTACTAGCCTGTGTTCTTGAAGTATTCCGAACACTTCTCTAACGTCATTCGTTATGTTGTACTCTATCCTTACTATGGATAAGAATGTCGTCCAAGTATACAATCACACTCCTCCCTAGCATTGGTCTTAGGATAGCGTTCATCATCCTTTAGAATGTCGCTGGGGCATTGCATAGTCCAAACGGCATGACATTCCATTCGAATAGCCCCCTGTTAGTCGTAAACGCTGTCTTGTGCCGATCTTTGGATCTACTTGAATCTGGTGATATCCTTGAGCTAAGTTTATCTTCGTAAAGTATTTCAGTGACCTACTTCATCCAACAAATCTTCGATGTGTGGAAGTGGGAACTTATCCTTTATTGTTTGAGCATTTAAAGCTCTGTAATCTACGCACATTCTCAATGAGCCATCCTTTTTCTTTACATAGCATATTGGGGCGCTATATGGACTTTGACTAGGTTGTATCAAATTCACCGCAATCAAATTTTGCAATTGTATTTGAAGCTCATCTTGTTCTTTCGCACCTAGACAATATGGTGGTCTTACCGGAGGTTCTAAACCTGGTTTAGATGTTATTCTATGTACCGTTTCCATTCCATCTACGTCTTTTCCCAATTCCTCTTGATTGAAGGTGCTACTATAGTCCTTTTTCAATTCTTTGATTAGTTGTCTTTGAGCCATATTTTCATGTCTTTCTCTCTTCCCATGATCGGAGATTTTGACTACCGCCCATTCTAATCTTTCTTTTTATCTTTCATCATTCCTCTGCTGAAACCAAGCAAATATTGACTTGTTCCTTTCCTATTTCCTGATAATCTATCAGGTCCCCCTGATCTGATTTGTCTTCCTTTTTCGGCTTCCTTGACTTCTTTCCCAAATCGTTTTCTTTTTTCCGTATCTATACATTCTTTGAACAATGCCGTTCCAAACTTCTTGATAGACGTATTTTTAATAATACCTCTTTTGCACCTTTTCTAAGATCAAAAGAATTGAATACCCAAAAAAAAAAAAAAAAAAAATTTATTTGATACTCATCTCACTGACTCAAAGGCATTAATCTTTTTAATTTTATCTTTGCTTTTCATATAAACTAAAAGAGTTCTAATGGCGAAGAAAAGTAAGTCTACATTATTTGATTCTTTTGAATTCTTCATATACTAACAAGGGACAGTTTCAAAGCACAGTAGAGCTGCAAGGCGTGGATTGCATGATATTGAGCATGGGGAAGCAAAAGATTTGGCAAAGGTGCCATCTGAAACTTCAAGGGATGTTAAGAGCTCTATAATAAGAACCACTATCACAAATGAAAGATTACTAGAAAAAAAAATGGAAACTAAAAGAATAAAGAAATTCAACAGAAAGAAAACAAGTAATTTAAAGCGAAAGGCCGACAGATCTGAAAAAGTTGACGGAATCTTGGCAGCAAAGATAGCCCAGAGTATATCTAGGGCTAAGTATATTCAGCATCTGCGGAAATCAGCATGGGATCAAATCAACAAGGAAATTGAAGTAAATAACTTACTGATAGATGAGGATCAGAACGAGGAAAAATCTGAGAGAGACCTCGAAAAGGAAGCCGAAGATAGATATGTGCAATCGTTCTTTGAAGATAATGATGACTCCGTTAAGAAGCTGGTCTCTTCGGAGAGAAACAAAAACATTTTTGCAATCTTAGATGAGGCCCTGGCCTGATGGTGAAAATCTTTTGAATCTAACTTTTAATTTTAACGGTACCTATGCTTTAAAGATATAGAAGTGTAAGTGTAATTAGCCACTTTAAATGTATGTAGCACCTTTTTATTTAAAAAGTAATTCTGCTTCTTTCCATTTGTAAAAAAAAGGACAGATAAGGTGTCAGGGAAAATATTGGCCAACTCCGACCGCCTGGATCAGTATTTTCCTTTGGAGCACCTAATACATACTCTTTCATCGATTACATCAACAATGCAACTTAGTCACATTGTGCTCGTGGCTTCCTTGCTCTGTGGGTATTCAGTGGCTGTCGGAGAGGTCAACCACCCTGAATACAAACCTTTCGACAAATCGAAGTTGAAATCATCGTCCTTCTTTGAGCAATTTGATTATTCTAAGCTTGAAAAGTCTGGATGGAAAATATCCCATGCTAAGAAAGACGATGAATTTTCATACGTTGGTAAATGGAAGATTGAATCTCCAACCGCTTACCCTGGATACGATGATGATAAAGGTTTGGTGATGAAATCAAAAGCTTCACACCATGCTATCTCTTACAAGTTGCCCGAACCTTTTAATAACACAAATAAAGATTTGGTACTTCAGTATGAAGTCAAATTACAGGATGGTTTGAGTTGTGGTGGTACTTATATAAAGTTGTTGGACTATGGCTTTGATGAGAAGCCTTTTAGCAGCGAAACACCATATCAAGTGATGTTTGGTCCTGACAAATGTGGATCTTTCAATAAAATACATTTGATTCTCAGAACTGAAGATGACGCTGACTCTCCTTTAGAGCATCACTTAACCACATCGCCAATGTCTAACACAGGAAGGCTTTCAACATTGTATACGTTGATTCTCAAAAAAGATCAGACTTTTGAAATTAGGATAAATGGTGAAGTTGCTAAGGCTGGAAGCTTATTAAGCTACCGCTTGTTTGATCCTCCTTTACAGCCACCAAAAGAGATTCCTGACCCATTGGATATTAAGCCTGAGGATTGGGACCAACCACGTTATATTCCTGATCCCAGTGTAGAGAAACCAAAGAACTACTTGGAAAAACATGTGTTAAAGAAAATACCAGACCCCAATGCGGAGAAGCCTTCTGAATGGGATGAATCAGAGCCAGAATATGTGGAAGATCCTCTGGCGGTGAGGCCTGAAGAGTGGGATGATGAGGAGGATGGTGAATGGATACCTCCCAAAATAATCAATCCCAAGTGTAGCACTACAGGATGTGGGGAGTGGAAAGCGCCCCTTGTACCAAACCCTAAATACGAAGGGCTTTGGCAACCACCCTTAATTGCAAATCCAGAATATAAGGGGGAGTGGACACCAATAATGATTCCCAATCCAGATTATGAAATTAAGGAACCAACTAATTTCAATTTGATTGGTGGTTTAGGATTTGAATTGTGGATAATGAATAGCGATGTCTTATTTGACAACATTTATTTGGGTCATTCGATCAAAGAAGCGGAATGCATTGGGAATAAGACTTTCATACCAAAGTATGATATTGAAGAACTGGATTATGATCAGAATAAGCCAAAAGCTGAGCATGAGCCGAAACCTCCGCCTAAGGAATTCGATGATATCTTCAATGAGGATGTATCACACTTTTTTGGTGATTTGTTGGATTCAATCATAAGTGTACTATACAATAAGGCAGCACACATCATCAAATTCTATCTTGAATTTGTCAGTAATCCAATTGGAATGATAGCTACCCAACCAATAAAGGTGGCTTTATATTGCGCTATGTTCGTGTTCGGATTTACTTTTGTATTTGGCGTTTGGAGTGCCATTCTTTATGGTTTATCTTCCTTATTCCATAAAGAGAGGGAAGAAATAGAAGTCAAAAACCCTAGGATAGGTGTCGACGAGGACTTAAGTGAAGAGGAAATTGAAACACTTACGGATGATATCAAAACCTCATCTTTCACGCAGGCCAGTAGTCAAGCTACTTCAAGAAAAACATGATTATCAAGCCTTCCAGTTTGTCAGTTTTTTATAATATGGTTTTAGTGAAAATTTTATATTTCTGTACTGTCTTTTGGCATCTACATTACTAAATTTTTCTCTTTTTGTTTACGGGTCATAACAATTAATATCATGCTCTACGTAACTTAGGTCTACAGGTACTTTCCGACAGTATCAATAAAAGTATTCGGCCAACTTTGGTTGTAAATAAACCTTTCTTTAACTCTCAAGATCTATTTTCAAATCTGGTCATTGAATCAATACAATAAAGAGAGTAATGTCTTAATGTATTTTGATAGCTTTATTATGCTAATTGCCTTATGGACTTTGTTTGTCTTAAATATTCGGCCAATTGCCATGTTTGTTTGAAGAGCGGAACACGTGAGTGTTGCACAATCATGATCCCTGACGTATTTCAAATACTCCACGCTTAGCATTCCCGAATGATCGATTTCTTTTATTGAGTAAGACACTGGACATTACATACTGTGGAACAACAAAACGTGTACAAAGGCCCTAAGACTCAAGCTTTACTGAAATAGAGGATCAAATTTGAGGGCTGTTTTATTCAAAGTCGTCACGTATATATTGTCTATTAGAAGATTGCTCTCTATGACAGCTGTTGGTGAAACATCCCCCTTGCTCGAGGGCTCTCGGGCAAAATGTCATCACAAATCACGGAAAGTAAAGTTTGCAGGTCTAATCTTCGTTTTCTCTTTGATTTCGGTTTTTGGGTACGTTACATTAAGTAGAATGAACTACTTAGAAAACTTTAATGCTGCATTCCCTAGTGCTCTTAGCCCTATCAAGCTAAGAATTTACACAAATAACATTAGATTTGACAACAACTACGGTGATCCTTTGGAGAGACCCTGGTCTTTAAGAAAGGATTCTGTGAGTTCTTCTATTATTTTTAATACCGATCTGGGGAGCTCCAATGTGGTTTGCTTGCAGGAGGTCCTCAGCAATCAATTAAGTGATATTTTATACACTTTGAATGATAACGGTGAAAATTATGATTGGAATTACTACGGGGTAGGTAGAACAGATGGTATTGCGAGTGGTGAATATAGTCCGATTTTGTTTAAAGAAAGTGAATGGCGCTTACTTGACAGTAAAACGTTTTGGTTGAGTGAGACTCCAGATGTCCCCAGTAAAGGATGGGATGCTGCATTAGAACGGATTGTCACTATGATAACAGTACAATCTAAATCAAATCCTACCGTGATCTTGAATTTTTTCAATACACACTTTGACCATAGGGGAAAGATGGCCAGAAGAATGTCTCTGAAGTTGATCATTTCAAAGATGAAGAATTATAATAGTTATCCATCATTTTTGTGCGGGGATTTCAATACACAACCAAAGGATGAACCATATCACATTTTGACGAAGTCCGGATTCAAAGATAGTAGAGTATTAATAGATTATGCACACAAGTATGGTCACGAATCGACGTTTACCGGATTTGACAAACATAATGAAGCCCGTTCAATTATCGATTATATTTGGGCTCCATATTTTGCTGAAAATGGGTATACCCCATCATCGATTGAAAGCTCAGAATGGATTAACTTTTTCAATCTGAATCATCATGAAAAGTATAAGATAAAAATTACAAGTTTTGCTGTATTGCAGAATTTTTTTCACAACTTCTATTTCTCGGACCATCGACCGGTTGTTGCAGACTACGAAGTTTCTCGACTGATTTTTTAAACAGATTTTGCTTTCATACTTTTGTAAATGATTACTTAGAGATAGTATTAGAATTGTATTCATCATCTCTTGAGCGCTCAGCAGGATATTAACAATGTAAAAACG